ACATCACCAAGAAGGAGCAGGACGATCTTGAGCTAGCTATCAAGCTACGTAACGATGGAGTGATCACAACCTCAGGCGCCCCCTTTGAAGCGTCTGATGACCAAGAGATCAGCGACCTCGTAGGTCGTGGAGTCTTTAAATTTGAGCAATACGACGAGAGGCTACACAGCAAGATCCGGATCTTCAAGTCACGCCTAGTACGTGAGGTCAAGGGAAAGACAACCAAGCCCTATGAGAAATCCCGCCTAGTTATCCAAGGCTACCAGGACCACGGCAAGGAGACTATTCTGACGCAATCTCCAACCATACAGCGATGTAGCCAGCGCCTGATTATGTCGCTGGCGCCCGAGATGGTACAACGCGGAATGAACATCGAGCTCCGTGACATTACGCAGGCGTATCCCCAGGCGCAGACAACCCTGAAGAGGACGATACTCGCACATCTTCCTACTGAGCTAGTCCATCGATATCCAGAAGGCACGCTACTCCATGTGATCAAGCCGCTGTATGGAATCGCTGAGGCAGGAGTCCACTGGTGGACAACGTATCACGGACACCATTGCAAGGAACTGGACATGGCAACATCGACGTACGACCCATGCCTATTGATCACGAACAGAGACGACGCAGGCATCTTCGGCATCGTTGGCATGCAGACAGACGACACTCTCATGCTCGGGACACCAGCGTTCTCGTCACGTGAAGAGAAGAAGATCCAGAAGGCAGAGTTCAGGTCAAAGCCAAAAGCAAGGCTGACACCAGAAGTGCAGTTAGACTTCAATGGATGTACACTCACGATGGACGCCAGCAGAGTCTTGACCCTTAGGCAGAAAGGACAAGGAGGAAGGATCAGGCTTGTGGATATCAGGGCACCCGACCGCGCGCAACAGTACACCGAGCAGCGCGCCCGCGGAGCGTACATCGCATCAACATGCCAACCAGAGGCGTCATTTGACCTGTCCGTCGCTGCTCAAGCTCAGCAACCATCAGACGAGGACATCAAGGCACTCAACAAACGCCTGAAATGGCAGATGGAGAATCTCGATCGTGGCCTGCACTACGTCACTGTCAATCTTATGGAGGCCAAGTTGATGGTCTTTGTGGATGGCTCCTTTGCCAACAACAAGGACCTCAGCTCACAGCTAGGCTTTGTCCTTATGCTCGTCAACGAGTCTATTGACGTCAACACCTTCACAATACAGGGCAACGTGATCCACTACAGCTCTACAAAATGCAAGCGCATCACACGGAGCGTACTGGCCTCAGAGATCTACGGCATGGTCAACGGCTTTGACATAGGCATTGCAGTTGCAACCACGCTGAGGATAGTTACAGAACGACTTAGACTACCTGCAATTCCCTTGGTTATCTGTACAGACTCGTACTCCTTGTACGAGTGCCTAGTAAAGCTTGGGACGACGAAGGAAAAGCGTCTCATGATTGACATCATGGCGCTGCGCCAATCATATGAGCGTCGCGAGATCACGGAGATCCGCTGGATCAATGGTGAAGACAATCCTGCAGACGCCTTCACCAAGGCATCGCCAAACCGCGCTCTTGAACGCTTTATTGACGGCAATAAGCTGACAGTCCGAGTAGAGGGATGGGTGCAGAGGCCGACAAGCTTTGATGGTTGATGCTACACACAGTTACCATCAACACATACTGTCACTACCGATACAAGCAGAGTTACTAGCTACCCAGAAAGAAAAGACTTCCAGTGTCGGATCGTGAGTATCGGTAGAGACGTCGGCTGCTGGACACTTCGGCCCGACTTCGGCCCACCTTGCGCAGAGCTTAGGTATACCTTCGTAGCAGCTATGTTCGTAGACAATCAATCACCATCACCGAACAGAATGCATTCCTAGTTATCGTTATTTCCTTTCAGCACTAGTGCTATAGACCTTCCAACATTTTGCGTTCCTTCCACTTCGAAGTGGAAGTAAGATTTTTTGGTCCACCGGCGAAACAAGCGGTCACGTGCGCACGATACATTAAGCCCACAAACAAACGCGCTAAACAGTGGGGTAAAGGGCTGCAAGACCTCGTCACTACGGGGTAATATTCAATTTTTGCTTTGCTGGTCAATTACTTAGGAGCATGGAGCACACTCGGCTGTGAGTGACCCTCTTATGCGCAGCGCAACATGACATCAGGGCTAGACAAGAAAAGGTGATTGTACAAAACGAGTATATAAACTGTATAATTGACTACAGTTTTCTACACTCCCCCAAAGAGGAGCCTTGGCGCAATGGTAGCGCGTTGGTTTTCGGTCAGAGAACACTTTACACCAAAGGTTGTGGGTTCGGTAAGCTTTGTTCTACTCCACACCGGGTTCGAGATCAGTCACTAACAGTCATGTTGCAGATCCCCATGGGCTTCGCTCTTGATTCTATTTTTTTTGCTTCTGCTTGATATTCTTTTTTGTTTATTTCCTTTATTCGGGGAAAAACGTCCACGTTATGCGTTTGTTTAGGGCTGGCATGGACGAGTTTGTTTACCATGGTACGATAGCGTTTCGGCTTTTACGTTGCGTCATTGTTTTCTTTTACGGAAGGGTCCTGGCGGGTGGCTGGGTTTAGTGTTTGTTTGGACCTAAGTACTTTTTCTTTTGGCATGGCAGCAATGGTACTGGCGTGACATGGACAGTTGTTTGCAGTCAGATTGGTTATTAATTTGTGTGGGGTATGGATCTTCACGCAATCACGGAACTTGGGAGATTTGGTCATCAATTAATGATAATCTAACAGCCGCTTGATTAATCGCACGCGCGCCTATATCAGAAGCGCTCTTCTCCATTTCCATTCAACACATCTTACCGGTAGGAGAATAGAGGCATAGCCGGAGAGACTTGATTGCGATGTCAAAAGATAGTCGGTTCCACTCGCTTGTTCTAGATTTCCGTGTTTCAGATACATCGAACCGCATCCCACAGACCGGGTACAAGCTTTTGACGTTACAGGCAAGTTGACACATGTCATGACGATGCGTTGTCTGCCGTTCCTGGAGATCGTCGCGTCTGGTCCAACTAAGGTTAAGGGACGGGCAGTTGTGATACTCGGACGCTGTCGATCGTAATCGTGCCGTGCACTACATTGTTCATTTCGAAACCATATCACAGGTCGCGGAGCTGCGTCGTACCGCTATCTGATGATTCCGAGCTGGCTGCGCGGAGAGGCGAGGGGTGACGTGTCTTGAAATGATGTCAATGGATCGGGGTTGCGACCGACGAACACGCGTGTCATGCACAGTTGTCAGAGCGCCAAAGGGCGAGACCCAAAGTCCTTCTCTATGATTTCGCCTTGGATCATCTCGCCCGGCGATGCATATCCAGTCGCAATCTTCCGAGGATGTAAATGTCAGCTCAGCCACGGCCGGGTGAAGTGCTAATGTCATTTTTAGCCATGGTCATTACCTGGGGTACTCCGTAAATGTCAAGCACGCTAGCGTTGACGATAAGCCGACAGTCCAGTGTATGGAGCGCAAAGCACGGTCAAGAAGCCGCAGGGCCTGTACGCCAAAGTACATGACGGATACCAAAGGATCCGGAACAGCAGTTCCAGATCCGTGGTGCAGATTCGCATCAGCCTTTCAGATCCCGCAGTTGGCGGCTAGACGGGAATCGACGATCGAATCGGATCCAGAACCATGATATTTTCCTCACCAGGCGCACATGGATTGGTTGCAGTCTTGCGAGCCGCATGAAAAAAGTGTTGTTGGGAGTAGGCTCTTTCGGTGTGACGTTGACCAGAGCAGCCACGAAAGCTTGGTGGTGTAGCCGGCCGGTCTGGACAGCGATTGGGGTACCAGACGGCAAGAATCACCAATTAACTGATTGGCGAACAAGTCGGAATTTCTGGCTATTGGATGGTTACCTAGGATACCTAGGATCAAGGTGAAGGCGTGGACGGCTAAGGGATCGGTCGTGTATCTTCGGAAGCAAGGCAGTCACCTGTACTGTAGCCGTCACGTCGGCACTCTGCATGCAGTATTATTGCTTGTTATGATAATATTGCCAGGGAAGTCGCTGGCGCAGGGCAGTTGCCATGGGGAGAGATCAGGTCGGGTTCGGCACGTGACTAGCGTAAGTAGACGATCGGTAGCAATTGCCGCACCAGTAAGAATTGTGGGACGCAGAATATTCTCCAGAACGGTGGCTTACAGGGGTAGCATCAAGGCTTCAAACGCTTCAAACACTTCAAACTGCAAAGGCAAAAGTGTGGGCGCATGGCCGATGTCAATATCCGTCGGGATGGTTCTTTACAACGATTACGTCCACGGTCCCGCCAGGCTGGATGCCTAGCTGCTGTAAGTATGCGAGTCAATTGCAGTCTAATGGCCAGCATATCATGGGGCGTTATAGCCTTTGTGATTTCCCATGGTGCCCTTGCTGCCGAGACAGGCGAGGGAAATCAGAGGTTGCGAGCTGCGAGTGCGAGGGAGGATATGCATGGCGGGGGGGGGGGGGATATCAACGTGTTCCCAAAGCAGCAGGAGACTCCATGTCTACTCCACACAGTCGGTTGATTGGTCGGCATGACTAAAATAGAAGTCGCTGGTCGCGGTCACGGTCGCGCCTTTCTGATGATCGCGTCATCGCAGATGGATAGAGTGGGGCGGGCGATGGTGCAACAGCCGCCAGCAAACCGGCCCCCAAGGCCATGAGACAAGACGTCGGTGCAACAAGCAAAAGCTTCTACTGTAATTCTACGAGTTTGGTGTTTGACGCGTTCAGAGGCATCGCGTGTGCATGGGCCGGAGATGATGGTGTGCACAGCAAATGCACATCAAACACTTGTCATCTCACTGGGCCGCCGTCGTCGGCTGCCCCACGCCTTGGCAGACATTGAATCCATCAGGCGAAGTGAACCTGCAGAATGCAGACATACGGCGGAAGGGCCGACATTGTGCCGCAGACCCCTTGATGGGCTGAGCAGAGGGGGGACGGGAAGAGCGGTTGGAGCAGAGCGGGGTGCAGGCGTGTCGGTGAAGGTTCAACAATGGCCAAAAGACTACGACGACGGCCATGCAGCCCTCTTATCGGACCAGAGCCCCCCCTGGCAGCGGCTTCAGTCGCCTGCAGCCAGTGTGCAGCCTCTCCCACCGCTTTTCATCAACTACTGCAAACGGCTCAGCCGCAGGAGCGCTGTGTGGGTCGCGCCAGGCTCGCCGAGCGGATTGGCTGCAGCGGTCCCCTCGCAGAGGCGAATTCGTAAGTGTTTACCAGATCGCGTCGTATCTCCAGGGCTACTGCGACCAAACGCGTCCAACCATGCACACGTCCTATTCGTGGATATGCCACGGCAATGCTACGCCTATCCACTTTCACTCGCGCACAATGGGTGCAGGTGCGCGGCCAAATTGCAAGCACGCCTGTTGTTGTCAGGTCAAGTCAGGACAGGTCGACAGATGAGACCCTGGAATGCGGGCCATGCAGCGACCCCGGCGGCGCTTTTGGCTTGCTTGCTGCGAGCCGGAATGAGGACAGCAGAGCCAGCGGTGACGTTAAGCATGAACGTCTGCTGTGTCCCGTTACCGTGCAGCGAGAAGCGAGAAGGTTCCGAAAAGGCAGGGTGCGCCGTAGGAATGTCGGAGGATCAGCACGTAGCTATATGTCGACACTTGGCGGTCGGCTGCGATATTTGTTTCCTTCTATCGGCTGCGCCCGAGCACTATTCGCCCGGGGGGGCAGGGACTAGGGTTAGAAGTGAAGCTGGCGAGTTGTGAGCATGAGCATAGCATGCCATGCTCTCCACCTCGATTCCATAACGTCGGCGGCGGATGAAGCGCAACGGCGGGCGACCATGGGCGGCCGACCTGGCAGGGTTACGATGGCGCTGCACCGTTTGACGTCGAGTGCGTGCCCTGGGCCCGGCCTTTAACAGCTTTCCTTTGAATGCGCGCGTTTATGGGCGTTGCCTGTCGCAAATGCCACATGTGCAAGTAGAGCCTGGCCGGACGGCATCGAGTCCTGCCACGGGCCTGAACAAGTAGTAGTGCCCATGGATGAATCCCGCGACGGCCCTCTACCGTGGCCAAGGTGCGTGTTGGCTCCTGGGGAGGGGGGGGGAAGTTAAGTTATTGAATCTCCCAAGCCCTAGCAGCGGCGCCCGTGCGTGCTCCAGAGACTAGTGCGGCCCCTTTGCCTGACAACCTCAACTCTTCACCGCGACCGCCGACCTTGCTCTCCCTCTATTATTTCCTTTTCTGCTTGCTTCTTGAATCGCTCGTCGTTTCCAGCAGCAGACGACCGACACTCGCAGACCGACCAATGCAGGCTTGAGGGACTGCTCGGGAGGCTTGGTACACGCTGCCATCTCCGTCGATTCACGACAGCCTTCCCAGCGCTCGACGACGTTACATTCTATTCTCTGTTTTAATAGTTTCTCGCTTTCCTTCCATAGCAGGTACATACCCCCAGTAGCTGCTCGTTCCCTCGGCGTGTCTCTAGCGAACAGGCGTCGTGCCCAATCCCGCATCCCTTCACTCCATACCCTTCTCGCCCGGCTTTCGGTCCGCAACTTTTGGCCTCATTGCCGCTGCGCTTCACGACGCGTTGCCTCGCAACATCGCCAAAGCACGAGTGCTAACGCTTTCGTCACCCACAGATCTTTATTTGCCTCTCTCGCTTGCCGCTACTGCCGCCAACGAGCGCTAGCCTAACCTTTGAGCTCCCGATAGCGGTACCGACAAGGCCTCCGATGGCTCAGGTACTCACATCAGTCATCCAAACGACAGGACCTCTTACAATGCCCTACTCGCCGTCCGATGCCTACAAAAACACGCCAAACCAGCCAAACCAGCCACAACCACGGGCCACGCAGATGCCGCGCAACCAGCAGAATGCAAACTCTGGAGGTACAGGATACAGAGGGACTGCCGCTCCCATAGCCCCGTATGCCTTCAACAGCACGCCGCAGCTGCGCCAGGAGAACAGGTCTGTCTCTGCACCAACCCCTCAGGCCCTGCAGCAGCCCCCCAGCCACACCACCACCCAGTCCCGACTCGGACATCCCTCCCACCCATCCTCTTCTTCCGACTCCACAGTATCCACTTCTGGTTCTTCCAATCGCTCGTCGGGCGGTCCAACCATGGGTGTAAAAGATGATAGTGACCTTAAGAAGCCCGTCGACAGTGTCGCGCCCTCAATATCCCTGTCCACTTCGATACCAGACCTTTCGCTCTCATTAGGCGGCGATGCACCGACAAAGCCGTCGCCGGGCCGATATCGACGTGGCGCTGGGCGGACAGACTCGTCAAACAGTGTTCCCACAGGCGGCACTACTCCTACGCAGCGCTCTACGACGGCCGGATCTTCGTACATAACAACGTCGCAGTCTACGCCAAATGGAACCTCAGGAGCCCCTGAGCTGTCACCGCCCTTCAGGCCAGGACATAGTCGAGCGAACAGTGCAGACGATACGCAAGTTATTCGATCAGGCGGTGTGGATCCCGCTAAGCGATACAGAAGACGAAGTTTCAATGGACTGGAAGCAGAAAACGCAGCCCCAAGCATTGTACCATTGCAGGCTGCCTCGGCCACCGGCCAAAACACAAACTCGAGCACGAATACCACCAGGCCTTCGAGCTCAAGTCGCACCGAAAGCCGCCCAGACTCGAATCAAAGTCATGAGAGACAGGGCAGCGCAGGCAGTGCTTCTTCGAACAACTCCTCAGCCCCCCAGGTAACTTGATCAAATCCACTAAGCTTGCGCAAACTAATATAGCCCACAGTCTCGACCGGCTGCAAACACTCAACGAAGTTATGCCTCCGTAGCTGGAGGAACTTCTTCCAAAGCACCTGAGTCGAACAGACGTCAAGCACCTTCCCCCTTGTCACATCCCATCTCTCCGTCAGAGCCCACGACCCCTGCAAATGCTGTAGCAGCCAGTGCGGCTATGCAACATCTCAGTGCTGTGAATGACAAGGACAAGGGTATGAAGTCCCGTCTACGACGGGCATTCTCTTTCGGCAGTGCCGCAGAGCTTCGACGAGCCTCCGCTGAGAATAACATTTCAGTCGAGCGTGCCAAGCTGAGGAAAGACAAATACCAGAATGACGAGGACGCTGAGCAAGCAGCTATCATTGCAAAGCAAGAGGCGGCAGGTATTGGCGCTGGTATCTACTCTGGTCAAGGTGGCATAGGCTCAACTGACAATCTGTCTATACAGTCGGCTGCATCGTCTGCCTCTGTTATGCTTCGAAAGATGGGTCATGGTATGAAGAAGGGTACCAAATCTATCAAGGGTCTATTCCGACCAAAGTCTGTCATTGGCGTACCTGCTGCAGATGGACCCATCACCAGGCCCAGCGTTGGCCAAGTTTCTCTAGTCACAGTTGAGGCAGAAAGACAAAAGGTCAATGTCAACGCAGACCCCCACGAACAGACCAGGGGTGGTACTGGCTACCCCAGACTGGAACGCAACTCGATTGATGCAGGGCGATCTGCAGAGATTGTAAATCCCTCCAACCCTGCGGCCGAAGCTGCATCAAGAAAGAGCATTGTAGGGTCCGACCGTGACCGTGCAGAGGTTCTCTCTTCGATGAAGAAGGGTATTTTGAAACGTAGGTTCCCTGCGGCCATGGTACTGGCTGTTGCTAATTGGTCTTCAGGTGCTGGTACAAACTCGGATTCTGGTTCTCCTGTTCTTAAGCCTGTAGACACAGTTCCCAACGTAGGGTCATCGAGATCCAGCTCCCCCGATACACCAAAGACGGAGGTTACGCAATCCCGTAATGAGGATTACTTTGCAAAGCCACCGCGCATTCACAACGGCAGCACGAGGAGTCTTCCTACTACGCCACATGGCGGCATGCGCAACATCAGCTTCAGCCCACGCATTCAGTTCCATGACGCATGGTCACCACAGGATTACGATCGCAGGGGTGACATTGCAACGTGTAATAGGCTTACACCGATGCTTGCGCAACAGATCAAAGAAGAACTGAACTCTTTCAAGATGGTATGTCTCTAATTAAGGCATTTCTAATTGACGACACTAACCGTTGAACAGGAGATGGAAGTTCACGAGCTCTCGAAACCACACACCCATTTCTTCTAATGATTATGCATCCATCATTTGGACATGGCGTCTTGGCGAATACCTCTCTCATCGTTGCACTTCCGGATTGGAGCCATCAGCATTTACCAGTTGTCAGCTCTGTTCCCTGTTCTGGTTACCACGGACTTGTTCTTCTATCTTAGCGAGCATTTGCAATCATGTAGAGGAAGAACGCTTTTGCTTGTGTGGGAGGCCTCAGCAAGCAAAATAGTCTATTGTTGGGGAAAAGCAAAAGACGGGGGAAGCTTCCGAGCTGAAATTAACCTTTCCTTGCATTCGTCATCTCTCTCTGTGGTTCCAGTCGTATGCTGACGTCCTTTTCCTTTACCGTCAGGCGTGTCTTTGTCTCTCATTTATTCTCCTTGTCTCAGTAGCAATCATCGTGGGTAGTCTGTGCACTACATCCATCTTAGAGAAAAAAACGTGCTTGAAGAAGAGGATTGGACGTGCTGGGCTGGCGCAGATGACTTCATAGTAGCTTGAGTGAGTAGCTGTGTGTAATTGGAGAACATTGGGTGCATTTCTGCTCCACACTGAAGTCGTGTATCGATCTGCCAAAACATCATCAGGACCCCTTTCATCCCTGCACCCCTATTCCCGGGGTAAGTTCACGTTGCAGCACACCCTACTGTCCCAATCGATCCAATGACCTACCAAATTAGGTACATGACATCTCCGAAACTCGTATCCGCTTTCTGCCAGTCCCATCTCGTATGCATTGATGGTCAGACCTACGCGCGGCCAGGACACCGCTACCCGCAACACACCACCAAGGACAATTTCCGATGCCTTGCATACACCCCAGTTGTTTATACATAGATGTGTATCCTTTGCCAACATCTTGATCGACTTCATCAACAGAACATCCAGCGAACCACGCCTGCCCGTCTCAGCACTCTTTAGGACAAGCGCCGATATACTGATTTCATCGATAGCATCATTTGGGCATAACTTCCGCAATCTAAATTGTCGCGTGATTATTTCTCGTAAACAACAACGTATGGCATTCGACAAGTATGCCAAGGATATAGGATGTCCAGATGATACATACGAGTACAGGGTTGGGTGGATAGCGCGGATTTGCAAAAATCCTCCAGAAATTTACGCCGAGCAGATCGAGCATGTGGCGATTACATTTGTGCCCGATATATACACAATCTCTTACTTGGACGAAATTAAATGCTTGCCCTGATAAGCTACGTGGGGCGAGAGAAGAACACCCTCCTTGGCGATATGAAGCATTCTGTCACGTGATGTCGCTGCTCGCTTGAAGACCGTTAGCGCGCCAAGGCCACTGTCTCAGCACCTCTCCGCCCCAAATTGACGGACCCAACTCGTCGACAAGGTCTCTCCGCAACCACACACAACCGACAAAATGGTATGTCCCGTCGCTGTTCAACCCAATATATGGAAAAGAGAGGGCGCTGACAATAATAAAGGCACCTGCAGCAACTGGAGGCAAGAAGCAGAAGAAGAAGTGGTCCAAGGGCAAGGGTACGTGAGACCGCAACGCACACAAGCACATCTACATTTCGCGAATTCTTATGCATCAAAATACGCTCGAAGAGAATCCCACATCTCTATCCTACTCTCACGCACCCGCGAAAGCGCGCAATAAATAACCACTGACCGTTCTACAGTCAAGGACAAGGCTCAACACGCCGTCGTTCTCGACAAGCAGACCAACGACAAGCTCCAGAAGGATGTCCAGTCTTACCGCCTCATCACCGTTGCTACCCTCGTCGATCGCTTGAAGATCAACGGCTCACTCGCGCGGAAAGCGCTCGCCGACCTCGAGGCCAACGGCCAGATCAAGAAGGTTGTCGGACACTCCAAGCTCAGCATCTACAGTATGTCATCACGCCGAACGTTTGGCTTTGAAATTCCATATTTGGAAATTCTCAGCCCACATTCTGAAGCATATACTAACATTCCACAGCACGAGCGGTTGGCGCCGCCGAGTAAGCGTGACGTTACGGACAATCAACGAACGCACATGCAAGACTCGGGCACTTCTTTCAGCTTTTCAACGGCATTCCTCTTTCCATTACCAATCGGCGTCTCATGAAATGAACGGGTCACACTACATTGGGATGCATGCTTCATAGCGGACACGAAACAAGGGGATAGGGCTCGGGTACAGCACCTGGAGCTCCTGGGAGGTGTCGATTATGTACTGAATGAAAAAGACTTCCGAAACACCAGTGCGGCCTTTGGGCGTTACATGTGACGTTTATATGCCTGTTTTCGCGCCTCCCGATCGCCTACCATTGCTCGACATCTAGTCGCACGATTTCGATTCATTACATGCGGCCGTTTTGAATTCTGTCACTAACAGTGGACTGGACATTCTGTGCCTATGACTCTCAATCATGTCAGATGGTGACGGAGGTTTCACCTTGTGTTAGCCGATAAGACTGGCTCTAAGCGAAGGACAAAATACTAACATCTGTATTTTACAGTGTATGAGCTGCAAAGCCTACACGTACTTGTCTGTGGTAGTAAATGCCGATGTTGGCATACTCTGAAGCGATCTTGTTCTGTCAATTTCATTCATCATTGCATAGCTTTCTTGTAATTATTCGATTGATCTGAATGCAATATAGATGCACCCGGGAAACATATAACATGGAATGCTAGTACAAAGGCCACTGTAGTCGCCAGACACGCCTGTTGGGTGCTTACCCATGCTGTCAAGTATTTCATGACACCCCGGTGGGTATGTAGTGCACGACAGATATTGAGAAACAAAATTTTTGGTATACTAACCACACGCGTGACCAAATACAGCCTCGCCAATGACAAGGAGCATACAAAAACCTCAAACGTCCTCTTTCCCCTTGAACTCATTCGGTTGGGCCTTGACCTCTGTCTCTCGCAATCCTCTCCTCTCTTCTTCCCTCGCTTCCTCTTCTTCCCTCTTCTTCTGCCGCAGATATTGGCAAAACTTGCTCCTATCCCTCATACTACCGCCCCATTTGACAAACACAAAGGGCACGACACATAAAGCTAAGGAGAAGAAACCCAGCAGACTAGTCGCCCATGCAACACCCATGGCATTGTACATTGGTTTCGTCGCAAATGGTAGCACAGCGCCAAAGGACGATCGCGACAGCGAAGCAGCGGCCATTGCGCTCGCGGCAAAGATTTCGTAAGCATCGACCAGGTAGTTGAGTAGCGCCATGAAGAGACAGAGATAGCCCATGCCGAACAGTATACCAGCGAGTGTAGGTACAATCCAATGGATGCCTTCTCGCGCTGTCCAGCCAAGCCAAAAGGCACTGATGACGAAGAAGGGTCCTGCAATACATGCCAATGGTAATCTGCGCATTTCTTCATCTTGCGACCACGGACGCTTGAGACGCTGGGCGCGCGCTAGGTACCAGTCCCAGGAGAGGTATATTCCGGCCGATATGACTGCACCGACGCCGATGGGTAAGAATGTTAGGCCTGTTTCTCCCGCGTTGAAATGGTAGATTCCTTGGAAAATTATAGGATAAGATTGGAGGAAGATGTAGAAAATGGCGTCTCCATCGATCAGTCAGCGTGCTTGCTGGTAGATGCTTTAATAGGCTGACTTACATGCGTAGCTCAGGTACAAGCAGGTGAAGAGAACTAGTGGCTCGAAGCAAATCATGCGTAGCGGTCTTGTCAGGATGACAGTCACGATGTGGTTTAGATCTGTCTTCTCCAACTCTAAAGGTGCAATGATGCTCTCGTCTCCTGTCTCTTGGCGTAGTCGCCGCGCACGGCGCTTGAGGATCGTCGGTCCATATGTTTCGTTGAAGAAGTAGAAGAGTGGCCATGTGGCACCAGCGAAAATGGCTCCGATCCAAAACGCCCATGACCAGGACACAACTCCTATGAATCCTGATACTGGAGGACCGAGGATAGGACCAAAAGTTGTTGCTGCCTGTTATGTTTGATTAGGATCTTGCAAGAAAATCTGATGATATAAAGACTCACCATGAAAATTGCCATGCTCCTCCCACGATATTTCGGGTTGTGATAGATGTCTGCACAAATACCACCAACGACACTGACGGCACAGCTCCCTCCCACACCAACGAGAAGTCTGAAGATGACCAGGGCAGCGAAATTCGGGGCGACCGCCGAAGCAATTGAGAATACGGTCAAGATGGCAAAGGATATCACCATCGTTCCTTTGCGACCATAACTTTCTGAAAGAGGGCCCCACAGCATTGGACCACATGCGTAGCCGACTAGATACATGGATGTAGGTAAGATGAGCATATATTTGTTGTATTCGTTAAAGTGGCGAGATATTGGGCCTACAGCCCCGGCGGCTAGACTTGAGTTCATGGTACTATTCATCACTGAATCGTGTTTAGCCATCACATCAAATGCAGAAGATCAAGTTGCTTACCGCTCATAATAGCCACGATGAGGGAATAGATCTTTTTCCACTACACCACTAGTAAGTCAAACATTAGTCCGAATCAATCGTTTCTACATACCCGACTCCAGTTATTTGGGTTCTCCGGGTCTCCATCTTCGAATCGAATTACCCGTCGCCGTACTTCATCTCCTCGATGTACACTTGATGTCTCTGACGATGGATCTGTTCCCCGGGTTGTACTCAGCACCGAAGGAGTTCTCGATGCGACTTGCTCAACAGTGTCTTCCTTCTCCGTCTCAAACGAGTCGTGGATGCCCTTTTCAAGTTCCCTCAATCGTGCGGCACGCGAGCTTTCGATCCCGGCTAAACAAATCCGTTAGTCGGCAGGATGCTACCGCATTGGCACGATGCTTACAACGGTTCTTCGAGCTTTGCCGACTACACGCACTTCTATGGCTTTTCGACGTGAAACTTCGAACGAGCGCAACTGGTGTAGCAATAGCCTCAAGCCCAGGGCCCAAGCCTTGCTGCTCGCGGGAATAACTTCTTTCAAGATCGGCGCTCTCCATGTTATACCCGAATGACGCACTTGTGCATCAACAACCAGCAGTTGAATAGAAATAGCGAAATGTATCTCAAGCAAAGGACAGTGTAAACCCGGAATCAAAGGAACGAAAGAGTGGGTATGTGCCCCGACCCCGCGCGTTTGTATTAATAACCCGAGGTGCAACGTTTGGGTTCCCTAGTATTCATAGATCCACTGCAAAGTGTGGTGGCCGATCCCAACGTTACCCTATCTAAAGTAGGCGGGGCTAGATTTGACGAGTGCATGACGGGCACCATCTGGATACTGGCGGTAAACATGACTGTAGGGCGTGTGGCACGTCGGCAAACCCACTGATGTGCGGCTCTAGTGAAATCGCTTCCAGATTGGTGTGGACTGGGTCACGCGAATCTACGTGTACTTGCAGAATTCCATTCCGAAGTCGTGCATTGCGAATGCCGATTCCGATTTAGACCGACATTTGGAAACAGTTGCATTACGGAATAGATGTTGGATTCGGACAGAGTTGCTTCTTTTCTCGCTTTCGGTATATTGAAGATACTGGAGTATGATGCAGATTTTTACGTTATGTCTCGAGGTTGATGCTGCGACCGAAACGTCCGTACAGCGCCTTCTTTAGCTCTCCCATCTCTTCCTGGATACCTTCAAGCTTTGACTTGAGAGCCTCTACCTCGCCATCGATAGTCTCTGTTGATGAGCTCAAGAGCTCAAGGACCTGGGGCTGCGGTAATGATACGAAGCAATCGCCGACCTTGTATCTATGACAAGTTTTAGTACGTATTCACCTTGACCGCCTCTGATGCGAAACCCGTTGTGGAAGGTGAAGAAATATACTCACGGTACTTTTTCCTCCTCATCGACTAGCTCTAACTCGCCTGAGATTTCCTCAAGGTCCTCCTTCTCCTTCTATTTGGACGGTTAGACCAAGGCGTACTTGAAGAGAACTGAGAAGCGTACAATTTTCGCACGCAGCTCTTCTTCGAGAATTTCTTCTTTCTGGTGTAAGGAGCTGAACCTGTTGATCTTCTCCTGGTCTTCACGTCGCACTTCAAGGTCTTCGTTCTGCGCTGAAGCCTCCTCGTCTTTGGTGAGCTGTCGCATTGTTAGCGCCAATTTGCAGACACAATGCAAAATTTCACACCACTCACCATACGACGCTGCATCTTCGTGTTGAGCGACTCCAAATACAAGAGTGTGTTTGAGAGGTATGATGACGATGTTCGAGATTGAGAAGTGATGGTGAGGACGTTAGCGATGATATCCGAAGCGTTGCTTGTGCCTTCGCGTGCACAAGCGCCAAGACCTGTGTAGAGCAGGCGAATCTAATAAGCGCAGCACACATTACATTGAACGTGCCTGAAGCCATATGCCAGGGCTTGAGTACAATTCCATTCTAAGACTGCAAGCATCATATCATTAACATATAAGTTTGCTATATGTTCCATTGCACCACACGCCTTCAATTTACAAATCTAAGCAGCCCTCTCAAACGTAGCGCCTAGTTCTTCCCTCTTCTCTACCAACTCATTACTCATCTGACTGTTTTGCGCATCGCTAAGCGCTCTAACAATATCACTCTCCGACTTTTCCCTGACCAACTTACCTAAAGCTTGTACCAAGAATCCCGAAAATACATCAACTGACCATTCGTCGGGCAGGATAGCCAATACATCAGCAACATCGAGCCAACCCCCGAAGCGCTCTAAAAGTTCGCTTGTGCGCTCTACACGCTGCGAAAGATCCTCAATCTTCAAAAACTCCTGCAAAAGGAAGCCGAGCATGCGTGACTGTTCGGCGCGGATGGGTATCTGGTTCTGCGAAACAGGTGGAGCACCGGCGGTGATGGGTCGGTGTATTGATGCGTATCCGTATAAACAATAGTTTAATGCAGTGTTGTAGTCACCTAGGCCGTGTGTCAACAACTTCAGTGCTTCTTCGTGTCTCTCCCGTCGCCCGTTTAGGATTATCATCTCTGATACCAGCTCTTGTTCATAGGGCTGCAGACGAGACAGAACGGCGTCCACGTCGTAAGAAGACGTGTCCCCAAGTAGTTGGAGCAAGCGAAGTCGTGCACTCCACCACTCAACATCGAGACTATTGTCAATGATAAAGGAGTAATATGTTGGTTTTGGCGGCTCTAGAATACGATATGTTTCGTAGCTTTGCGATAAAGTGGCTCGTGATTCTGGTTTGCTTTCCAGCTCGGTAATGACGGTATCGAGGTAAAAAGCGATAAGTTCATTAACATATTGAGGATGCTGTCCATGTCAGTACAAGAAATAGAACAACGTCAACTATTGGCTGACCTTTTTGATGTCGAAGACGAGGTACTCCAGATACTCCTTGACTGCACCCGGAGCTTTCTCTTTCAATAGAGCGACAGCTCGAGTAGGCTCGAACTTGACTCTACTCTGATCATCTGCAAAGACTTTGACACCAAGCTTTGGGTTGCGATTTGCAAGCCATGTTCCATACTCTTCGACAAGAGCTTGGTCCCGGATTTTTGTTAGGTAGTCTCGCACCCTATGCTCGCCATCTACAAGTTCGCCGCCCTTGTCTTCCTCGCCCTCTATGATCCTTTTCCAAGTTGCGAGCACCTTCGATGCTTTGACGGAGGCTTTGCAATTGCCCTGGTACAGTCGACTTAATAGGAAAAGACGCTTGAACTGTTCCAACAATTCGACAGCTCGATCAAAGCACTCTACCTCTCTGTCAAGCAAGTCATAGAGTTCTGTTCGGTGAGGACTGGGACTGGAAGTACCCCTCGGACTGCCCTGATCCAGTAGTAGAAGGATATGGAGCAACGCCGCATCCACAGTTCTGAATACGTATGGATCGTTTGTTACACTCGCCATTCCCTTTCTTCTCCTCCAAAATTGAAGATATCTCTTTACGAACTGGAGAAGGTTGTCGCGGAAGGGTCCGCTAGCGTTCTTCGACACAGTCGAGAGATCGTTCTGATACAAGAACTGTTCAACAAGCGTTGTTATTCCGCCATATATCTGGATACCTTCTGCTCCTTGGACCACCTCCTGATTAAGAATCGGCATAAGGCTCAAAACAACTCGCGGATCCATCTCTCCTTCGATGAGTGCTTGTTCAGTAATGCGTTTTTCGTTCTCGAGGATAATCCCGTCCGCTTGCGTACGTAGGACGACGTCCATGAAGAGCAAGAGTGAGGCTTTCTGGCGAATGTAAATCAGACTAAGATATTCAGCCTCGTTGCGAGGTTCTTGTCCCCGTATATCGCCGAGGAGTCTCTCCAACAAACCCCGGTTGGGATGTATGCGCGTCCCGTCTCCCGTCAAAGCGTATTGAGCTTCCTCAATTCGCGCGTCTAGACGAGTCACCAGTGGGTTGCGTACAGTCCACCAGATCTGATCACCGGTCCAGACAACGGTCTGCGACTGCAGTTTTGATAAGCGCTCGGCGAACTCACGGTCTGCCCTCTTTTGAGCTTTTGCCGCTTCAGAGACTTTTTCGACCGCGTTTCCAGAGGACTTGAGTTGTAATGGCTGCATGGTAAGTGCTGCCCCGACCTCTGGAATAATGAGGTCATATGGCTGTATTACAGTTCGCATACCTATAGGTGTTGGAATATGCGAACCTTTGCTGTGGCCTGGTAAGCCAAGTCGGTCGAAGTCAAGCCAGTATTTGTCGACTTCTCCAGCACTCGGATCAACATCCCATCGTTGAATTTCAACGCCATAGGCCATACCACCATCCGTCTCTTGATGTACAGCCGCCAGTACGTAGCCTTCATCAGCGTTCATATCTGGACTCATGGATGCTGATAGATCTATACCGGTGCCATCCACAGCGATAGCGTCGGGATAACTGCTAAACTGTATGCTGCCTCTACACATGTCTCCATCAAGATTCACAAACATACCGACGCCTTGATCAAGAGGCGTTGTGCCGACAGTGAGTAGGAACTCATTTGGGTTCGGTGATGCGACATGAGGTTTCAAAGGGACAAATTGCGGAGGCTGTGGTAATGGAGACTCCTCAATTTGTACGCTGTCCCCTCCTGGAGGAGGCGGTGGTAATGGTTTGTCAGGCGACGTCGCCCCACTGCGAGGATGGCTAAATGCTTGCTCTGAACTCTCGCTACCCATTGGAGCATGGCCCGGTGATCGTGGTGGAGCGGGTGATAGATCACGAGAAAGCGACTCTGGCACATCAAAGCCATGCCGCCGGACTGCAGGACGTGGGCTCGCTGTTCGAGAGGAGGGACTGCCTATGCCAAGAACATTCAAACTTGTACTCCTGGTATGGCCACGCTGCTCTTCAGGGCCTCTTGGGTGTGGACTTGCATTAGAGACGCTTCTAGAGGGCGCATTAGGTACGGTCGCCAGATGCTCAGCTGCGCCACCGACGTCGCCAGCGTCTGGATCCAAGGAGGAGATTGGGAAAAGACCAATCTTCTGCTGATGTACGACGTCCAAGAGGGCATACGAATGGGCATCGGCAGCACACGAGAAGGTGTCTCGACGCACTGAAACTAGGCAACCGCCATATTCAATTGCCTTGATTGCTTTTGGAGGGGAGTTCTCGGATATCTGCACCAACCGCAGTCTTTTCTTCAGTCCGATGACTACGACTACACCATCATCAGGCGAAGCATCGAAATCTTCGTTTAGATCCACGCCTCCGACCCATAAACAACTTATCGGCTTAAAGGAAGAGTCGGGACTGAGCTCAGGAAGTGAGTATATGGAAAGAGTATTGTTGCATAGTACGCAAGCCTTGCCGATGCTGGGGAGTAGTAAGATGTGCTGTACGCCAGGCCCGTTACTATCGTTGTGCGGAGGTTCTAGGCGCGAGGCAATGATGGCGGTGGGCTCTTCAGAGGGATTATCGGGCTCGGGTGGAAGCAGAACGAAGTGGATGATCTCGGCTGTGGAGGTACCCACGTAGAGATTGCCATCTAGACAGGTCAGCGCCCGGTGAAAGGCTTACACGTGACACTAGATACATACTCCATACTTCGACACAGGTTATGCGCACATCAGCAGAGTCTCCGTCGGCAGACAGTGGCAGGTTCGCGACGAGCTTGCGGAGGATGTAGGGGCCATGTTGTGGAGGCTTGCGCCGGATATGAGAAGCTGCTTCTGCCATGATTCTCAAGCACGACTTGCGCCATGACTGGCTACGGTCGCAATGTGTAAGAGGGGCGCATGGTGGGTGTATGGACCATGCGCTCGTGTTGGCTTGGGAGGAGCTATCATGGGCCATCCCACCAATTAGGGCCGCTTAACGCCGCACCTTCCGCGGTTCCACTGCCAGCTGCCTGCATACGTAGCCATCTCCAATCTATGGTTTTCAACGCGCTGTAAAGGCAAAGGCACTGCTAGCGAGGCCAGGCAAAATTCTTCGAGTATATCACCACCGCTCATTGTCGATTACACGTCCGCGACACCCACAGTCTAAGGCTGAAGCGCAAACATGGAGGGAGGAATGGACTTGGAAGAGCGCATCGAGACGCAAGTCAATACCGACACGCAAGCGCCTGGCGCCGAAGAGGAGCAAGAAGAAGAGAACAAGTTTCAAAAAGCCATCGGCGCATGGCGGAGTACGCAGACGCTCGATACATGTATACCGTAGGCGTATGCTGACAATGCGCCAGATATCGACCTTACTACGCTTATTCCACAGCTCGACACGGTAGCCTCTGACCTCGTCGCACACCAGCGGGACACTCTCACACAAAGGAAAGACCTCGCGCAAAAGACCAAGGATTTTAGGAAACTCGATGATGCGAGCAAGCTAAACGACATCAAGGCCCTCTTGAAGTGTAAGCATGGACCCGCGCGACTGACTGAGCGCTGCTAAGCCAGGTCCACAGCATACCAGAACTTTATTGATCTCATATCCAACCAGTCCAAGACGGTACAGGCTGCCTTCTTCCAAGTCTACTCGCCGCTTTCCGAAGCGCCCGACCCGTATCCTCTGCTTGAAGCCTCGGTCGACTCGCTCGTCACATCCGAGGAGCTCGTACCAAAACTCACGTCCGAGAACGAGCGTCTTCAGAAGACGGTAGCCAAGCTCACCACACAACTCGATGATTCGGAGAAGAAGCTGGAGGAAGAGCGAGCAGCCCGCAAGTCGCTCGAAGATGCCAGGGATAGCAAGATCAAGGAAGTCGAGGCTTCGTGGTCGGCTGTCTTGAACGAGAAACAGGACAACTGGCAGTCCAAGGAGAGGAGCTTGGAGGAAAAGGTCGAGAACCAAGATCGCCTGCTCAAGGAACTCAAGGCCAGCTACGAGGTCTCGCAGCGGCTTGGCCAGGGAGAGGCGGCCGAAGAGGAGGGTGGACGAGGCGCCACAGCTGCAGAGCTCGAGATTGTCAGCTCCGAGCTTGAGCGAACAAGCCATCGTCTGGCCGAAATTACTGCCCGAAACGAACAGTTGCGCTTGGAACTGGCCCAGTCTGCGTCCGCACCAGCCCAACAGGTTGCAGTCGAAGACGACCCCGCCTTCCTACGCCTACGATCGGAGAACTCTTCGCTGCTACGGAAGCTGGAAAATGCGCGCTTTGAGAAGGATTCCGAGCGCACACGCCTAGAGACGGAGACACGAAGCTTGGAGAGAGAAATCAAGTCACTGAAGAGTGAGAAGGAGGCGCTTCGCGAAAAGGTCCAAAAATGGAGCGACTACGAAAATGTCAAGCAAGAGCTGGAGGTGCTAAAGGTAAGCTGCTTAACTGCGTAGGCCGTTCTAAGCTAACTTGCGACAGTCAATCGAGTTTGCAACAGGAGATGACGACGACGAAGCAACTGAAATCACTCTATCCCAGAACGGTGCATCTGGCAAGGGCAAGGGCGAAACCCTGGAGCAGCTCCTGCTTGCTCGCAACAAGAAGCTAAGCAACGAGCTCACAGTCATGCGCGTATCGCACCAAGACCTTCAGAGCAGACTAGAAGCTCTCCAAGAGGAGCTCTCCAATACAAACATGGACTTGGAGAAGTCGCGACAACTCAACGAGACCCTAGAGGCCGATCTCGAAAAGGTCCAACAGGAGGCTACAAATGCCTTTGACCCGTCAGGCCAATCAGTGGCTGGTACATATGTGTCGCGGCACCAACAGTCATCGTTTGCTGGACGACGAGGTCGGTCATCGCCTACGTCCTCGATCATTTCTGGCTTTGATAACTCGTCGCATACCACGACACTTGCGTCTCTTCGCGCGGGAGGTGGCGGCGGCGAAGTCATGGGTGGTGGCTCCGGTATCTTGCCCATGGTCACCGCACAACGTGACCGCTTCAAGAAGCGCAACTCGGAGCTCGAGGCCGAGCTACAGAAGTCCTACCAGACCGTTTCCTCACTACGGAGCGAGATTGGCGCATTGCAGAAAGACAACCTGGATCTGTATGAGAAGACGAGGTTTGTCAGCAGCTATAACGCTGTAAATCGGGGCCCGGTATCCAGTGCGTCGAGTTATTCTGCGAACCCGAACCCGTCTGCTATCAATATTGGAGATGAAGGTTCAGCAGTCGACACCAAATACCGGTCTGCATACGAATCCAACCTCAGCCCCTTTGCGGCGTTCCGAGGCCGCGAAAGTGCAAGAGCAATGAAACGCATGCACCTTTTCGAACGCATGGTACTGCGCGTAACAAAGTTTGTCCTCCAGTCACGGACAAGTCGTAACATGTTCGCCGGATACTTGTTGGCACTCCACTTTATGGTGTTTTATTTTTTGTTTAGTTATGAAACGAGTGCAGCAGGTGCAGCGACCATGGTCGGGCCCAGCGTACCCGGAGGACCAGCCCCCGGACCGGAAGATGCAGCAACTTGGCATAAAGATGAAGCGGGGACGTCGTAATGAGATGAAGGAGGAGGGTCATAATTTGTGACGTGTACCATTATGGCGCTTCTAGATCATTGGGTTTTGCAATCATGTTGAGCGCGATTGGCCACGCCTTTAGCGTTTGTACTTTCAATTCGATACCTCCTTGACTTGGCCCATCAAACTTGTACAACTCGTGACAGCACCCTCTAGTTCGCCCAGTACTAAGATGATCAAACCAGAAGCCACGGAGGAGGCAGCGGACGGGACTGTCAAATGCAGCGCTACCACCTGTCAAGTCAAGAAGCGTCCACGGATGTCTTGTGCCGTGGAACCCTTGGTAAGCTCAAATTGGCATTCCCATAGCCCGGCGGCTGCGAAATATCTACATACAGCGAATGATGGTAGCAGGATCCAGAAGCAAGGACGGAACAAGTGGGCGCGTGTCCAGGTTGTGCGCCTCGAGAGATTGTACGGTACCTTTGAGTACATGAACCAGAGAGTGAGTGGAAGGTTCGAGTGTAGAACCAGCTCTCCACGAATGCTGTACAGTACGAGGATGACGGGATATTCCGTTAACCCTAACACTAGCATAGTATACCAATCTTCAGCCCGTGCAAAAGAATGGTAAACGGTGATGTATGGCTTCTCTCTCTCTCTCTCTCTCTCTCTCTCTCTCTCTCTCTCTCTACGTTCCACGAACGAGCGACACGCGCCACGAAACAAGTCCCCCGCTCCCGCAACCTTAAGCCCTCGGGACGTTCCCAGCCAACAGATGCACAGGCCAAGCCAAAAAATGGCATGATTTCCTGACCCTCTTGCTTGTTTTCCGTCCCGTCCTGTACGACGTTGTCTTACCTCCTCCAGGGCTCTGTCCGTGGTGGACGCAGGCTAGACCAGATGGAGGTGGAAAGCGGCTCCACAGATTATACATTGTAATCCACAAACACTCACATCAGCTAACCACAACCCTGCACCTAGATATCGCAGCCGCCTGAGGCGTTCGTTCCTCGTACGCTGATTGGCAGGGAGGGACCCCAGCATCGAGATCCCCGAAGAGAGTTGTATTAGCTGTCTTTTTCCTTTCCCCACCTTTTAGCTGCCATTGCAAGGCTGCTAAATTAAGAAAGATTAACAGGCTTTTTTGGGATGTGTACCGGTACCTTCTACATGGGCTTTAGTGCTGGGGTAGTGGGTGGGCCTCGGGTGTGTGCGCCATACCGGTTGATCTTGATGTACTGTACTTATTTACTGTACTATACTTCGGGGTACATGGATACTTTCAGGGTTTCTGTGGAAAACAGGTTACGGGTCGTAGGACGGGCGGCTCTGCGGGTGGTGGGTAATTGCGTGTTTTTTTCATGGGGTCGAGGGAAATGGAAGGGTGACTAGATGTGGAGAGCATATATGTCGCGTGCTTTGTCATGATGGAAGTTTAGTAGCAATGTAACTATTTTCTGCTTTGCTGATGTTGCTTAGTTGTGAGGATATGTTTTATAAGGGTTCTTCTCTCCTGCGCGAAAGAGGCGCAAGGCTTACTTTGACAAAGGGGCGTTCTCCGCTTCACCGTCAGTCATCAGACGGGTCTCACATAGTGTGCGAAGAATAACATCAGAAAGCTCGGCACGCACCCGAGATCCTTCAAACTTCCCATCATCATGAAGCCAAAAAAGCCTTGGCCCACAGAACCTTAACCTTCTATACCAACCTCGCGCTGGTCTAGAAAATCAAAAAGCCCCAAAATAGCCCTTCCACGGCGACCAGTTCCCGCCGTCTTGACCGTGGGCGTTTACGCCAAACATACAAACAGTATAGTGGCCGTCTGGTCGACCGTCAGGCGGCTCGGCTGATGAGCGAACCACGACCCCTGTGACCCTCGCAGCGCCCTCGTCGGCCCTTGTCAGCCAATCGACCCTATCCGGGCTATATTTGGGGTCTTTTGTTTTTCACGTTAGGCAGGGAAGGCTGGCTTGGTTGGGCGAGTGGGACAGGCGGTAACGGCTGATCGGCTTGCTGTACTCGCTACCCACTGGCGGTGGGAGAGGCGGCACTACGCGCTGGTGAAAGGGTTGTGTGCAGGACAATTCTCAGGCCTGTGTATATAGGAACATGGGACGACGGTCCATCTATTTGCTTTCACTACACCAGTTCGCCGCAATACCTACCCATCATCATCCCTCCCCCACGCTCCAAGATCCATCTCTTGAGTGTTTGACTTTCTTTCCATTTTTGGGTTTCCTTTGGGTTTGTCTTTGTTGACCTTTTTCCAATCTTACTATTTTCTCATACGGATTGATTCTGTGCCGCGCCAAAATCTATTTACGAAAACATCATCTACGCCTCAGCCGAGAGAGATATCTATTCCGAGAAAAGCATCATTTCCAAGGCTTACACCATCCACAATCATCCATTCACGCCTCGGCTTTGGGATATAACCACAACATCACCATCTTGCAAAGTCTTTGGATCGACATCACCATCTCACCATTGCACGACATCTCGGTACTTTGGATATACCAAGCTTTCCCACCCATCAACACTTGAGACAATAACCGAAAATGATCTTCGCTACATCCTTGAACCTGATCTTGGCCCTTGCGCCTGTTGCTCTCTTCGCGGCTCCCACACAGAATGCCGATTCGATAGCGGCACTCATCCCAAGACAAGATGTGCCTGCTGGCGTGTGGGACAGGTTGAGGAAGACAGATGCGCTCTGTGACTTGTCCAACGTTGTGCTTCCTGTTGGTAAGTCTTGCAAACCATATCAATACTGGAACAGATACTAACAACAACAACAGCACCAACACCCCTTGCTGCCCCAGCTCAAGGCTCCACCCTTCGCCATATTGCCATCGGTCGCGGCACTCAAAACTACACTTGCGCTTCCGCCTCTTCTTCAGATGTGCCCAAAGCCGTTGGCGCAAAAGCCTCGCTCTTCAACGCTACCTGTGACGCTGCTCGCCTGAACGTCGTCACTCTCGGCCAAGTGACCGACCTCTCCCTCAACTACGCCATCCCTACCTCACCCGAAGCCGAACAGCGCTTGTCGGGCCACCACCAGTTCACCGCTGCCGGTGTCCCTCTGTTTATGCTCGAGACGCCTGAGGCCAACTACGGACGTATCGAGGCCAAGGTCGATGCCAAGAGCCCTGCGCCTGCCACCGCAGTCAAGGGAAAGAACTTGCTCGGCAGTGTGCCATGGTTGAAGCTGAGCGCTACTACTGACGGCTCTTGGGCTTACAAGGAGGTTTACCGCGTACATACTGCTGGTGGCGTTGCTCCTGAGAACTGCCAAGGTATCCAGGGCAGCTTTACTGTCGAGTACAGCGCACAGTACTGGTTCTACGCCTAAGCGCATCAGCTGGCCTTCTGGTGTCGTGTTTCCTTGTTTGTACAGAGCATTATCGGCGTTTAGGGAGTACCGGTTCAGCGTTCCGGTGTAGCATACAGCCTACGGGCTTTAGTAGATAGTATTACCTTCTTCGCGATATCTGCCCGCCTCATACTTGAACGGCAGTAATCGTAATATTCAATCAAAAAAGCCTTTCTTGTTATGGACAGGTCTTGTTTCTTCTTCATCTGCTAGCTCTCGTCCGACTCTTCTCGCTTCGGTTTACGATGCCTAGAGCTTCTCTTCCTGGGAAGCGTGTCCCTCCCTTCGCCTGCATCGTTTCCAAGCCTCTTGTACATGTCTCCTTTCGATTGCATCATCTTTTTGGGCCAATCCTTGCAGATGTCGATTCGTGACCTGGGGGCGAAAATCTCCAGAATCAGGTAAAACAGATAGTCGACAATGACACAAATGCAGAAGAGCTTTCCGGCCCAGATTCCACACCCAAAGTATCTCTTCAAGCGCTCAATAAGTGCAAAGCTCTGCACACCAGCTCTGCCTCGAGTGGCGCTCCATGCGCCAGCTGCTCCTGCACCTTGGTAGAACTCACTGTGACTGATAACGCCGCTGATACCATCATATACCCTTTCGGTTCGTTGTGCAATGTCAGTCCAAGAATACATCTGCTTGACCTGGTTATGGAAAAGTTCAGTCCGAACTTTCCCGGCTCGTAGCTTTGCAATTGCGCGTCCAGTAGCTTCAACAAGTTCATCCTCTTCAGGTGCTGCGAACTCAACCATGTGAGTCGGAAGCACTTCTGGTATACCCCCAACTCGTGTAGCCACTACGTAAAGCCCACAAGACGCAGCTTCTACGATGACGGTGCCAAAGGCTTCGGTGAGCGATGGACAGAGGTAAATGTGACCTCGAACCATGACATCCCGTACCTCTTCATGACGGACAGGGCCGATCATGAGTACCTTGTCCTGTAACACGTTTCTTTCTATCATTTGTTCCAGATCGATGGCCTTGGGCCCGTTGCCAGCGATGATGAAACGAACATTTGGGTTTGCAGCGACGATGTGAGGTATAGCAGCCACCAGCAGATCGGTACCCTTGTTGTAGTACAGTCGTTGGATTACGATGACGGTAATGATGTCGTCTGGTCCCATTGGCTGCCGTGGTCCAGGTGCTTTGGTTTGCGTCGAGTCGTTTGCATCGTATGAGAGAGGGCGGAAGTTCTCGGCGACGACTGCATTGGGGATAACTGAGACCATGAGAGGATCCAAGGAGGCCCTAAGGACTGTGTTCTCTTTGCTACACATGGTCAGCATAGCCTAGTAAGGACATGAAGAGTGAATATACCAGGTATGGCTGACACATATCACATGGTCCACATCACTAAGAGTAAACTTCAACAGCTTGTTCGTAAGTATGCTGCCAGCATCCGCGAAGCCAAACAGACTATGGTCTGTAAACACGGTCCTCAGTCCCATTGTCCGCGCATGCAAGATAGCCTCATGACACAAGCTACTGAGACTAGCATGTCCGTGTACGATTTCGATACTCTCGCGAATTACAATGTTGCGGAAGATGGGAAAGAAGGAGAAGACGGTCGGAAAGGTGGTTTCGCGGTAGATTACGAAGAACGGGACGTAGTAAACCTTGAGGCCATTGGTCAGGTAACGAACACCTGTCCGGCCAGCGTAGGCGTGTGTAATGACGATAACTTTGTGTCCGCGATCAATGAGTTTCTGGACGTGTTAGAAGACGACGGTAAGATGGGTGATTGGTGAAGACTTACGCTGGACAATTGGTACATGTGACTCTCCACTCCTCCTATTCTGAAATGAGAAGGCTATTCCAAAGAAGACTCGAATCGACCATACCAGGCTGAGGGTAGAAGTTATCGCTGACCATACTGCTGCGCATTAGTCCAAAGTACTGACTGATGGGGGTTTGGTACATACGCGATATTGTAAGGCATATTGGCGGTGCGTGAGGATGGTGTCCTCGAGTCTGTTCAGAGAGAGAACACATTGCAGCTTAATGAGGCATTGGTAGCCAAGATAGAAAGAGTCTTGAAGGACCCTGTCTTACCCATGTGTGAGTGAGCGTTGACCATGTACACTGCGGAGCGCGTCACTGGTCGGCGATTAGCGTCGCAAGCTCCGACCAAATTTCTGGGGTCCAGAATTTCCACCATTCTGCCCAAGAAGACACTCGACTCGATCAGTCGCAAAGCGTCGCGAAGCTACTCACGCCACAGGCGGTATTAGCAGCCATGCCGGCACCTCTATTTAAGCGCTTCGTACCACCTCCTGCCCCGGTCAAGAAGCAGCCCTCGCCCGCTCCCATACAAACGCACGCAGTCGCAAGGCCAATCCATGCGCCCGAGGAAGAGGTTGCAGCAGTCGACTCCCCCAAGCCAAGCAAAAAGCCCAAGAAAAGGAAGCGCGAAGCCGACGTCGCAAATGATCAAGATGAAGAGGTTTCAAAGAAGCACAAGAATATCCTCTCCAAGTTTGAAAAGGCGGCAAAGCTAGCTGAAGCGAAGAACCAGCAAGGCGAGGATGAGACTATCGAAGAGGCTAAAGAGCAAGAGGTACTTCACGATTTAGAGCCTATGCCACAGCCCGCGCCAATTCCCGAACCAGTCTACGAGCCGACCTTCTCCACCCTTCCTACATGGCTCGCCCAACCTACCACGATCGAAGCGTCCAAGACGGTACCATTTTCAGAGCTTGGGGTTGATCCCTTCTTCGCAAAGACGCTACAGAAGCAGGGATTCAAGGATGCTTTGGCGGTACAGACTGCGCTGGTACCTATGCTGCACACAGGTTTCGAGCAGCACCTGGGTGATATCTGCGTCTCGGCAAAGACTGGCTCTGGAAAGACCTTAGCCTATCTCCTCCCTATAATCGAGCAACTCAAAGACCGCACAGTGCCAGTCCTGTCTGCCATCGTCGTAGTTCCTAGCCGACAGCTTGTCAACCAAGCGCTGCAAGTTGCCGAGGAACTATGCTCAGGAACCAAGATCAAGGTTGGAACAGCACTTGGCAACGTTGCATTTGCTACAGAGCAAAAGCAGTTGATCAAACTGAGGCCACAGTACGACCCCAGGAGAGCACGCGAGCTGAACGAGAAGGCGTTACGGCAATATCAAACAGGTTCCATGGAAAGAAGAGGGCTATATGAGGACCTAAAGGGTATGCCAATGCACCATGTCCCGCAGTATGACTCTAGCGTGGACATTCTCATATGTACTCCAGGCCGACTGGTAGAGCACATCGAGAACACTACCGGCTTTCTGTTAAACGCCGTGCGATGGCTCGTTATCGATGAAGCCGACCAGCTGCTGAATCAAAACTTCCAAGGCTGGGCGAATGTGCTCATGGACGCTCTCCATGGCGAGACCCCCGTCGACTTGATGAACGCCCAGGAACGGATACAAAAGCGGGAGCGCGATGCCAACTCTATCTGGTCAATTGCATTACCAGCCCGTAGACAGCTCACAAAAGTGGTGCTTTCTGCGACAATGGAGAAAGATGTCACAAAGCTTGGAACACTGAGGTTGAAACGGCCAAAGTTGGTGGTCGTACAGGACGAAACCGCAGAGGTGCAGCCTCTAGACTATGAAGATGACGTCTTCGAGCTACCTTCGACGCTGGAAGAATTCGCGGTCCATGTGGGTGACGGTTCGAACAAGCCACTGCACCTGCTGTACATACTACTCAACTATGTTTTTCCTGGTAGTCAGACAGCATCGGTCTCTTCATCGGATTCTTCTGCGTCAGATTCATCGTCAGATTCTGACTCTGACTCTGGCGACACATCGGTATCACAACAAACAGGACGCGTGCTGATCTTCACCAAGAGCACCGAGAGTGCGTCTCGCCTGTCGCACTTACTCAATATGCTTATGCCCAACTTCAAGAACCACATCAAGACGATGACACGAGCACTAACAGCAGATGCGTCTCGCAAGCTGCTCAAGTCTTTCAGCTCAGGGGCCATCAAGATCTTAATCGCCTCAGATGCGGCCTCTCGTGGACTCGATATACCCGATATTAGCCATGTCATCAACTACGACTTGCCTACGAGCATCACCAGCTATGTTCATAGAGTGGGGCGGACAGCTCGGGCGGGCAAACCAGGAGAAGCCTGGACGCTCTTCACCAAAACCGAAGCTGCTTGGTTCTTGAAGCAAGTAGCCAAAGGAGACAGGATAAAGCGTGGAAGCAAAAAGGTCAAGCGTATGGAATGGAATGAGAGCACCGTAACGGCAGAGGGGAGGAAGAAGGCCTACCGGACAGCGCTGAAACAACTAGAGACTGCCGTCACGGGCAGCACCGAAACGCAGTAGTGGCAGCCCGATAGCCATTGTTGTCGACCGCACGAAGTGTGCCGACGTCAGCCAACGCTACTACCTACCACGGATACCTAATACCCAAACTATGTTCAGCTCCGAAATGTACCTGTGCCTTCGTATACCAAGCTTCCTCGGAGCTTTGCTTTGCTTGATACCCTCCTCTCCAGTCGACGCGTATGTTGAGAGTAAAATTCGCCAGTAATAACATTGGTTTAAATGCAGCAGGGTGGTAGGATAAGTGGGCGCATATAGAGTGTGGCTTGGTAATCGCGGCCTCCGTTGATTTCCGTGCAGCAGCTTTCCTCGTAGGTACTCAGGGCGTGCGTCCAGATGGGTAATCAAGATGGCGCATAGTGGTGCTTGATACCCTGCCTTCTTACTCTGTCACTGGGTTGGACCGGTACCATAGTAGGGTTGTGATGGAGGCTGCGGATAATAGCTGCAACGGGAGGGTTGGAAGCACTCGTAGGCATGTGATTTATAATTGGTCGAGCCTGAGGTGCGCAGCTTTCGGTGTCGAGCTGCGAGGCTGGCCCAAGTATACGGTAGGGCCCTTCCTGCAACCATGAGACATGCCGCGGCTAGTGTTGGTGGGAACGTCCACTAAGTTAGTCTCAGCCCTGCACTAGCCCTGTGCCCTTCCTTCGACTGCGATGTCGCCTTTCTTCAACTACCACTGTCATGGCCACCTACCTAAGCAACCAGTGCAGCTTTGTATCCCGTTTTTACTCCGGGAATTAATCAATCATACGTCACCACAATCGGGCTGATGAAAGGCTGCGCCGGTGGCGGACCTCTGGACGCCATCGCACTGTTGGCCGACCCTTCTAACAATCTATGCATGCCATGTTTTGCCAACCATGGTTCATCAACCTACACAATTAGCACTTCATACCTGCATCACAGGGCTAACAAACGCATGGCTCCGGGAACTTGTAAAGTGGAGTGCGGATATGGCGTATCAATTCAAGTTGTTCTGTTCATGTTCGAGCAGCAACAACAGGGCTAGACACGCCCTTCTTGCAACGGCAATGCCGCTGTACCGGGCTCACAACCTTACAGTGGGGATTTGACAACGCCAAGTACGAAGGATTAGGCCAGTGAGGCTTAGTAGCGCCTCTGAAGCTTGAGTGGTGGATAGTTACAGCACATCCCCCGCAACACCTAATTACTTTCCGACTTTTAGCGACAGGGCATAATCTACTATTACAACTGCCATCTCGGTTGTAGCCAATAATCACAACCAGTACACAATGTTCGTATCCACCAAAGGACGACGAGTTCGAGTCAACCTGGTGTTCCTATTGCAGGTCGTCACCACCTGCAACCAACCTTACAGCCAGTGATTATATCACCACAACGCCGCGCCACACGTTCAAACGGGCCCACATACGCGCAATCATGGCATGTCTTCCACCGTCTCGTTCCCCACGTCCAGAAAGAATATTTCCGTAAATGCTGCATGTGCCCATCTAGGGGCTTCTCGGCTCTGTGGGCACCTGAATGGCCAATACCATATCCCAATATCTCAACCAAGCAGAGTAATTGTATGAAACGTGGTATAGTTTAATCTCAAGTAGATCTGACCTACCAAGATAGACCGGGACCTTGGCTGATCCCGGGATCTAATTGCAGTACGGATGGCTTGCCCCACAAACTATCTTCAACTACCACAGCGATGCGAACAAACAGACGCATACATGGCGGGGGGGAGGAGGGGGGCGAGCACATCATTTTCATTGACGCTAGGAAACATTACGCGTCTGTGGCAACATATAATATAACAGTCATGACCATCTGTCTCTTCTTATTCCTCACAAACTTCACTTCACTCTCTACATCTACAAGTTGCAACAGTCCCCGGCTATCATGCTCTCTTTGGCCCGAATCATGGCGATAATCGCCTTCACTGGCGCAGTTTTTGCCTCTCCCGTTCAAATTGGTATGTTACATGGTCTAGATGGACTTCCATTGGCTAACATTGCTTTCAACAGAGAAGCGCTCTGCCTTCACCGTCGAGCAAGTGTTACGCTCTATTCGTCTCAAGAACGGCCCGGCCCAGATTGTCAAGACTCTCAACAAGTATGGCAAGGAGATTCCCGCCCACCTCGTCAAGGCTGCCGAATACATGGCGAACAACACTGTCGTGACTGCTGCGCTCGAAAGTGGAACCGTGGCCGCCAATCCGCTCGGCCGATATGATGAACTATACCTGAGCCCAGTCGTCGTTGGTGGCAAAATTCTCCACCTCGATATCGACACTGGCAGCGCCGATCTGTGGGTTTATTCATCCCTCCAGTCCAGTCACCAGGTTGGTGCCCATGGCTTCTACATTACCAACCCGGCCAAGCTCATGTACGGTTACGACTGGGAGGTCTCCTACGCCGATGGTTCAAGTGCATATGGCGTGGTCTATATCGACACTGTCAGCATTGGCGGTGTTACGGCTACTTCCCAAGCCGTCGAGGCCGCCAGCACCGTCTCTAAATCTATTAGGGAAATGGAAGACATTGACGGTGTGCTCGGTCTTGGCTTCGGCTCCCTCAACACAGTCTTGCCCAAAAGGCAGAGGACATTCTTCGATAGTGTCAAGTCCCATCTTGCCATGCCATTATTCGCTGCTCAACTCAGGTACCATGGTCAAGGTAGCTATGACTTTGGCTTCATCGACTCGAGCAAGTACACTGGACCCATCACATACGTTCCCGTAGACAACAGCAGGGGCCATTGGGGCTTCATATCTACTGGATATAGCATTGGCACAGGCGATAATATCAACTGGAAGATCGATGCTATCCTTGACACTGCCACAACTCTGGTCTTCCTTGACACCAATATCGTCGAAAAGTACTACTCCCAGATCAAGGGCGGGAGGTTTAGTAGAAGTTCAGGGGGTTTCGTCTTCTCCTGCGAGGAGACCCCGCCCGATTTCGCCATCATCGTCGGTGGAGTCAAGCAAAACATTCCCGGCGCCTACATCAACTACGCACCCCTCGGCAACGGCAAGTGCTTCGGTGGTCTCCAGTCCAACGCCGGTATTGGCTTCAGCATCTTAGGTGACGTCTTCTTGAAGAGCAAGTACATCATATTTGACCAGACCACCAATGATCCCAGGGCTGGTTTCGCCCAGCAGGTCGGTATACCTCACTAGTGGAAATTTGCAGCTATTTCACATGTTCTCGCTTCCACGGGGCGGCTTGTAGAGATCCTGTGTATACGATATTCGACTTATTGTATAATGAGAGGAAACTTCTCCCAGTTTCACATGTCTCCTAGCTCAGTTTAGCTTACTAGACTTTTGAGCTCTTCTTCATAGTTGAATGGCATGTCCTCACATCTTCTTTAAATATTGACTTTCTCAATGCATGAATGTCAAGTGCCTGCTCTGATGTATTCAACATGTGACAAAGCCTGCTTGACACATGTAACGTTGGGATAGTCACCATTTCCCGATACTCTGGTCTATCTGGAACACGCGTCCCAGAATACAGGGTACATACCAACGTACATGCCGACATGAATTACGTGTCGAATGAAGTCTTGGCTCAATTGGATGTCAACCTTGGTTCTCAACTCAACGAAAATATCTGTACTAGATTTCAACTCAATAGTTGCTGCTGCTCAACCTTGGATGGTATGCAGGTAGTATTGTCTGAAGACTAGAAGGAATGAAGCGCGCAATGCGCTTAACGAAATACAGTGAGTGCATTCATGCAGGTGGTCCAATTTCTTAGATAATAGAATCTACAGACGTCTGGTATCCGTCCCCACTATGCTCCCAGACCCCAGATTTCCCTATAACGAACAATGTCAACATGTAATGTAGACATGTAGACTAGCGGCTATTCCCAACATTGGCCTACTGTACCTTTCCGTTCGGCAGATTTTATGTACCTAGGTACCTAGCATGGTATCTTAGACTGGTACCGGTACGTTGCATCATGATCACGTGGAATAGAGGAAACGGGGAACCGCATTGTGTTCCGGCCAGCGCGTTTCAAGGTATGCGTCTGGGTACAGTGGAGAAGGCTGTATAATCAATATATTGCTTCGCCCGTCACGACTAGTTTCACGTTGCTCTTGCTAGAAGTACTGGCTTGGCTTACTATCTAGTTTTTTGGTTTAGAGATTGTAGGTTGCGGGATATCCACTTGTGCACTGAACAACATGGTAAAGACATGGCATGAAAGGAGGGTTGATGAGTTGCCTGGTAGGCTTCAGGGTAAAGCATGATCACTGGTACAGGCCCAACGGTTTTAGACTGGAAGTGTGTGAATATGTGATCGTTGGATTGTCGTGCGACTCTGCTCATCACAAGTTCTTTGGTTTTTCAAAGGTTCGAAAAGCGCCATGGGCTCATTTTATTGCGTTATACGCTTGTGAAGACGCCATATAGGCAAGCAGTCACATCAGCACCAGCAGCGTGATTTAGTTTGGGTGTTGGGTATTAATTGATCATATTGATTTGTTGTCTGTCAAATGAATCGTGTCAATGGGCCATTAGTCATCCAGTGATACGCATTATGAGTAGACAAAAAAAGACAGGCAACAATTTCCCAATCCATACGAGTGTCCCATGTGCTGTCTGGGCATTTCCTATATCCGGTGGGACAGATACCACAAGAAACCTGAAACGTTCTGATTCTTTCAGCTGCAAGCTAGCAACGATGGCAAACGAACCATGTTTTGAGCCAAAAGAGATGCATGAGAGTTTATGGTTACCATGACGAAGCTTTGCCAATAATATAGCATGTTCTCATTTGAGGGGTCCAGCTCGCAAGGTTTGCCCTCATAGTACCACCCTCGTAATACCAACTTCCCGCGTATGGTCAAGGAGCGGGGGAGTAACGTGCGAGTGTTACGTTGAATAAGCGGCAGTATCCATACTGCAGCAGCAATACGAGTCCTGTCGGAAGACAAAGTTGATTCCTACTGTAGTCAGCAAGGCCCTCATTGGGCGCCTTGTTGTAAGTAGTATTCTGGCCTGATGTTCGATGGCAACTTGCATTGGACCAACCACCTACAGTTCGGTAAGTGACCTATAGCTCTCCCTCGCTGCAATTACTAAAATTCCGCATGCTTGTAGTGAGCAGCGAGCGGGAGTATGCAAGGCAGTAAGATGCGGGGATCGGCCTCAGTGCGTTATCTCTGTATGTAGAAAAACCCTGCCGTGCGTCGCCGCCGCAATTCTTAGGCTAATGAAGATAAGGTTTGGAAGCTCTAACGCAAGTGATCGAGGTCTGCATTGCGGGCGTAGTGGTGTGAAGCCAAGCCAAGCCAGAGAGGGAGTGACGAAATCTGGTCATTTTGAATCAGCCTCGGCGTCTATCGCTACCAAATCGATCCTGCCGAGTTCGCTGTGATACGAGAAAACTGTGGAGCTCTTTATTTCGTCCAGGCCGTTCGTAGGCTCTCGTGGTCCTTTACGGGCGCCAACGGCGCCTGTTATCTCTGGGATTCTCGCTTCTTTGCTTGTGCGACTGATCTGTAGTCTACCATAGCCTCGCATATCCGACGTTCCGGTGGTTTCATCCTGCAGCTACATAGCGGCTTACAAGTTTCGTTTTTTTCGGCGGGGACTTGCAGGTGATTGTGGGTATGCACACAATTGGTAGCGGTCCAATTCCGCTTTCTAGACAGTAAGTTCTTTGGCAGAAGGGCTGGACTATGTGAGCGCCATGGGATAGCCGCTATCGTCGGATTGAGGGCGTATGTCCAGGGCATCTAGCCACGTTAGACGCTGGTATCTCGTCCCGTAGGCAGTATTGCGGAGTTCGGGTGGGCTACGGCAACAGTATTGCCGTCTTCAAAGAATAGGGCCGGAGCCACGATAGCCGGCTGACTAATCACTGGCAGCCGGCCGCTGGGGAGGGACTCTTGGCGACGACTCCAAACGTGGCCGCTGATATTTGGCTGTGCGAAGTACGCGCGGTTGAAAAAGCGGTACGACCTTGGGAGGAGTTTTTCAGCGTTGTGTGGCCAGCATTGCATCATTCATAGGCCTATTGCGGTTTTAGTCGTTGAAGATCATGTTCGCATGTTGTTCACGCTGTGTCACGCTGATACGCTTAAAATGCCTGTTTTCGTCCAATACATGGTGTCGGTAATACGACATCCCCAACAACAGAAGAATGGTGGCGTAGGTAGGCAACCATGTGTCGACCCTGGTAAGCACAGCAGTCGTAGATCGCACAACAGCTCAACGGCCGAGCTAGCGGGGTGAAATGCAGGGCTCGTCAGCGTGAACCCCGATGATGAAAATGACAGGCTGATTGCTGGGCATATCGTGTCTGGACGTACGGAGGGCCCGAACACATGGGCGCAGCTGGAGGCGAGGGCATTAACACAAGCGGTAAGCTTCTTCTCGAATCCTGCGTGTGAGGTTGCCGTGCCGCGTAGCGTGTGATGCCTGTCTGCAAGCATAGTATTGTCAATTGGCAGCTTCGGATGTGCCGAGGGTACACGATGACCAGACTTAACAAGTATGTTTTGCTAGCGAAATTATATTGTACACTTCGCCGAGGTGATCAAGGCCACCATTCCATGGCGAGAATATTTCTCAACTTAACCCAGTGATCGTAGAATCAGGATTATCAGGATGATGTTGGTGGTGATGACTATTCAAGACCACAATAGCCAGTTATGCCCCCTGTCCCAATAAACCCAAGTCTGACTTCCCTGAAATGACACGCGGCATACATGGCTTAATGCAAGTTTCGAGTATGCATCAGACGAGGATTAAAGTCGGAAAAGTTGAAGTGTGAACAAATAGAAGACTTTACCGGTCAGGCCTCGTGGAGTGGACGGCAAGGGAAAAAAGATGCAGATCGGTAGTTGTCCGAAAAATCGTCCATCGGCCCGCGGGCTTGTCTACTTGGGGGCTAAAAGCATCGATAGGCTGGGAGGGACTTCCGGCGACACTACACATACACGTGACGATAAACGTATGCATGTAACGTGCAGGACAGGCTTTCTAGTTGTTATTTGCATTTATAAATTACTGAGTGAGGCGGATTACACTGTTGTGTAGAGAAAGGCACTTGTATCGAATGCAACGTCAAGGTACTACATGGTACTTATCGGCATAAGCACACTTCAGGCATCACTGTGAAGGACCTTTCCCGGTTATACAAACTGCAGATTCAAGACAATGTCAAAGACTCAGGAACCTGCATGGATACCTTGTGAGTGTATAGTATGCTGGCACATGTGGCTCGCCTTGCAGAATGTGCCAAGCCTTCAAAGCAGCGGTGTGGTTATTGACAGATGTCGAGACATATGTGTACACATGCAGATGTACTAACGGAGGGCTGAGGGAGGGCAAGAGGGGAAATAGCACCATTCATAATCGAGCTGTGGCCAATGTTGAGGTTGATACTTGGTAAAGAGAGGGAAGGCACTGAAGAGGGGCACTGTTGTATGCTTTTTTTCATGTTTTCTGTCTTTCCATGCCAGGTTTGGCGAGAGTTCACCTTCTGCAACAAGAGAAATTGAAGCAGGTGCCGAAGTAAGCTTTGACAAGACATTGGCAGTTACAACGCTGCATTATTGTGGCATGGAGTCGTAAAATAACTACCGGGCCATTGATCACGATACGGATCCGACAAGGGTATATCAGGTTCGTCGTTGTTGGTCCTTCACTTCTTCTTCTTGTCTTTGATCTTCTTCTTGGTTTCTGCCCCGCTGCTTGCCCCGCTACCGGGCGTCTCGCCCGTCATTTCTGCCATCATATCTTGCAGAAAATTCTCGCTGACGCCGCCTCCAGTCAGCGCTGGTGAATGCAGAGGTAGGATTTTGTTCATCTTCCAGCCCTTTGGTATTGCCGGCTCAGGCATCTCTTTTGGCATAGGCAAGCCTGCAATGGGCAGCCTGAAGGGTGTGTTCTTCTGTGTCGGGTGTGCTTTAAGATATTGGGAAATAAGAATATAGAGATGGTGCTTGTTCTTTATGTCCCGGTCCATCATCTTGCCCTCGTGCTTGAGCAATACGCGCACTCTGCCAGGGTTGCTCCAATCTTGAGGATGAGTCTTGTCTGGCTCAAAGACAGTTGCGAGGCCGAGATCAGCAGCAGCGTCAGCCATCTCTCGCGCGAGAGGGTTTTCCACAGCGAGTTCCTTCCCTACGCGGCGGCCTTCGGCCCTTGTCCGTGATATGTCGAAGTATACGGGGTAGAGACATTGGTAGTGTTTGGACTTTTCGCGGTCTGTCGACGTCTTGATCGAGGGACTCTGGGGCTGGAGCATCTGATTGGGCATTGAAGATGTGCTAGTGCTGGGGACATTGGTCGCGTTCGTCAGAGAAGGCACGTCGTCAATGTCCATCTCCGACGGCTCGCTGTCCGAGTCGCTGACTTCTTCTACACGTGGATTCATTGTGTCTGTTTCGAGCTCCTAGCCGATTCGTCCTGCTAAAATGTCAGATGTGTGTCCTGACTTCCCCAGCCCTTCACTTGCCTAGAGCACGTCGGTTTACTGGATTTCTCGGATTGTAGTCAACGTGATGTGGGGAAGCTAGAGGTGGGGCTTGGCGACAACCTTGGAAGGCACAGGGCAGGTGCTGCCGGGTCGGGTCCGGGTCGGCCTTTCATGTCTTCCGCGCTACGGCCCGGAGCCGATCGACTGCTCTCCCGGCTTGACAACTGCACTTCCTCTAGCACCAATCCGCAAACACTGGCCTATCTTTCCTCACCGCAACTTAGGCACTTGCAAACCCAAACCATCACCTGGCGTGTGCCACTTTCCCCACTATTGTAGCAAGGATGGCTATAAACCGTGCCGCCACGTTAAGCCACAGTTTGCCTCACTTGGCTGGCCCCTCCAACAGAAGGCAAACGTCTTCATGGCAGGTGCGATATCGCACATTGCGGCAGTACACGCTTTGTTTTGGGTGTTTTTCTTATTCGAGTATGCCTAGTCACCCAGGCGCCGAGCATCTGCACTTGGACGATAGCGGCAGTCAGTCCGTCTATACCAAGAATATCCCGGCTACTTTCGAGGTTTCGACTCTTCAGCCCATGCAGCTGGACTGCCAGTAGGATCGCAGGGTACATTCGTGGTGCATCATCTCCGTGACCCAAATCATTGTGCAAAGTACATCCCCTCGAGTCAACGAGCCAGTTCTGTCCTCCACACTAGTTATGCCCGTTCTTTTGCAGCTACACCTAGCGCATCAACGCACTAACAAGAGGAAATCCTGGCCTTGGAGAATTTCATGTCAAGTCATGAACACACATCCATGCCGATTTCCACTGCATAACCAATATGAGAGCGCTCACGGCCGTATGCACATCGGTATGCTTTGTTGCAATTAGCCTCGACGTCAGCTTCCCATTATCGCCAACAGCCCCTCGCATACCGGGCGTAGCCTCATGATTTTGGCGATCACCTTAATTCGAACTTTTAGTCTCCGGATATATCGTTGCATGCGATCCAATGGTTCTACAGTATGGGCCAGGCGACCACAACACCTACTTCGCCAGTCGTATGATACAGCGGCTCCCTGAAGCTCGGGTGAGCCATGTGGCAATTGCGCATATGTTTGTGCCATTCGCGAGGCACTAAGATGGGGCGTGTGTATGCATATGCGGCACCCTGCCAAAGTGAGTCAGAATTGACAGTCTGACAGCAGGGTATGGCCTAGACATCCGCGCCCGCGATTACTCCGCTAACCATCGTTCCTGTCCCCTGGACAGTCGGTTGCTAGCAACATGCAATGCGTGCAAGGTTGCCTGCGTGCTAACCATTTTAGCTTCCTGCCCTGACATCAACGCAGCTGTGCCGTCCTGATCGTGGGTGCAATATCTCCTATGACACAAGGCTGACCGTTCCTCAAGAACTTTGGGAACACCAAATGCCGGTAAAAGAGTTGGGGTATAACGTGATTGGCTTGATCGGGTACGTCAAGTAAGCAACTGACCGTTGACATCCACAAATATGAATAAGCCTAGAGTCCTCACCGCATTCTGCACATAATTCTTTTGGGCCCAAGTCAGTTATGAAGCAACATCCCTTCCAGGGCTCATTTTCGCACATTTAAACTTTCCGGGCCGCCCGAAAAAAGGGCTGTGATCAGTTTTCCGGCGGCGTGCCTGTAGTACTTGTCCGAGTGACCTCGGGCCCTGATTACACCGTAAACGGTCCGTTCCAAGAGAACGCCTCACAGGCCCCATTGCGGGATGGTACCATGACTAGCTCAGGCCAGTATAAAGTCACTATCAACCCTACTACGTTCCTAGTTCTACGCTCGTCACTTCCTTCGGCCGTCACACCAATCGAATTATTGTCTCCAACTCCCATCGGTCCTTTCCAACGGGAAACTTATCGAGGCATTCTTGCCCACTAGTTGTTCACCATTCTGTCTGGCAGAAATGGCACCAGCATTATTAGTCAACGAAAGCAGCAGCCCTTCTTCCACTTTTAGCAGCGATACTTTGGTGCCAAATATCGAAGATTCCCATGTACCCAGTACTTCTCGAACTCGTCGGCGCCACGAGAGCGCTTTGATCAAACGCAGTGTTAGGTCCTCGCCACTACTGGTGAAGGGTGCTGAAGGCAACTGGCTACTAGTCTCTGATGGTGCAAAGACATGGAAGATCTTCGATGGATCCGGAGGCGCTGCGGTATCCAACATTGGTCACAAGGATGCGAGAGTGTACGCCGCAATCATTGAGCAGCAGGCAACCGGCATCTCATACACACCTTCTATGAGTTTCGATACCGAAGCAGCGCTAGACTTTGCAGATTTTTTACTTGAGTCGACAAACGATCTTATGGCTCAAGTGGCTTTCTACAGTTCAGGTAATGCGGCCGCTACTACCAGAGAAATAAGACTCACAAACATCAGGCTCCGAGGCTATGGAGGCTGCCCAGAAGCTTGTATATCAATATTTCTCCATCTTGTACCAGAACCGGTATCATGGACGCCACTGGTTCATCGCCCGTGACAGATCGTATCATGGCGCCACGCTTGGTGCTCTCGATGTCAGCGGCCACAAAGGTCGTAAAGAGATGTACAAGCAGATTTTGCCCAACAACACAAAGTTCATATCCCCATGCAATCCTTACCGTGATATGCAGGAGGGAGAAAGTGTATCACAGTACGTTGAGCGACTTGCTGAGGAGTTGGACAAGAAGATCTGCGAGCTTGGTCCTAACACGGTGGCTGCGTTTGTTATGGAGCCTGTTGTAGGCGCAGTAAGTTGCCCATTCTTGTCCAGAATATCCCAGCTATTCACACATGTCTGACATGTTTTCCCAGGCACTTGGTTGCGTTCCGGCATTGCCTGGCTACCTTGAAGCCATGAAAAGGGTGTGCAGGAAGCACGGCGTGCTTTTCATCTTGGATGAAGTCATGTGCGGTATGGGCCGCACTGGCTACATGCACGCTTGGCAAGAAGAAGGTGTGGTTCCAGACATCCAGCTGGTGGGCAAAGGTCTTGCGGGTGGGTACGCCCCTATCTCTGCACTTCTTGCTGGAATTGAGGTAGCCGATACTCTTGGGGACGAGGCCTTTGCCCACGGCCATACATTTCAGAACTTGCCCATGGCGTGCGCCGCTGGCTTGGCCGTTCAACAGATCGTCCAGGACGATTGCTTGCTCGAGAATGTCAGAGACAAAGGTGACAAGTTGATGAAGAAGCTGATGGCCCGTTTGGAAAACCATCCAAATGTCGGCAACATCCGAGGAAAGGGCCTTTTTTATGGAGTAAGTATGGGATACTGCTTACATGCAACAGCTGCTAACTAGACCAGATCGAGTTCGTGCAAGATAAGAAGACCAAGATGCCATTCGATCGTAATTTGAACGTGGCATGGAAAATTCATGAGCTAGGTATGTTTCCAGAGCTGGACTGCATTCTTCATATACTAACAGTGGCGCCAGGTCTCAAAGATGGATACAACATGTACATATATCCAGGCTCTGGTACAGTCGACGGTGATGTCGGCGACCACGTTATCATTGCGCCTGCGTACAACATTACCAATATGGACATCGACATCATCGTGGAGAGCGTCGGAAAGCTAGTGGTGGATTTCTTTGCAGACCTCTACACGTCGTCGAAGTTGTAGTCGGCAGAACTGCACCTATCCCAGCATACAGCTGATGACGATGACGACTTACGAATTTCTTTTATTCCTCACTGCACGGACGGCTTTTGTGACTAGCATACATGCACGGCGGCATTGCAATCTTTACCGGGAGACGCTATTTGAAACAGTGTTAGCAAATTGGCGATATTCAACACAAGCATGCATGGGAGTGGCTGTCTGAACATGTTTCGCACTGGGAAAGGCTGTCTGATTATTGATCAAAGGCGTTCATGTACATCAGAAGTTGTCTTTTGGTTGCATCAATTTCCTTGTCACATTCTTTTGGCTCAAGTTTGGGTTCAAGTTTGAATTCCCAGGTACATAGGCGTATAGTGTCCAAAATGAAAGCATGTTATATACAAAGGTCATTGTTCTTGCGAAGAAAGTAGCCACATTCCAGGCTGGAGTTGAGCACCTGCCAAGATGGAGCCGTGCCGCAATGGCGAAAGTGGAAACGGCATCTTGCTTGGCGGCTAGGGAAACGCTAAACGCTTCGACGCAAGCAAGAGGCGTAACATGGCAATGCCGGAGTGAAATAGTTTGGGTTTCGTGAGCTGGGTAATGCAAGGCTACCACAAAGCGTGGTGTTGGTGTGGAGATGTGGCTCGATGACGCTATCGGTGAAGCGGAGCAAGAGGGACGACCATCAAGTCAGCATGAGCGATGAGCGATGCAGAGGGAGGGTGCTCACCGCTCACATTAGGCTATAGTGCCGGGCGTAAGCCTCCTATACACATTGATAGCAGCGGAGGAGGTGCGTCATATTAAGGTAAACGGCTTTTAGTGAGGTAAGCGCTCCACGTGCGGCAGGGACGGCCCTCGCACCTGCAAGAATAGCCGGCATGACAGACAGCAACGGTAACATGCAAGTAGAATTGAAGAAGATGGTGGATACACGCGTGCGGACACACCGTCTGGGAGAAGACTATTGTGACGTGGGTTTTGGGCATGTTTCCCCAGCAATGCGCTCGCAAGCAAGCGTGATGGGTATTGTGGTAGCCGGATGACACTAGGTACAAGATGGCAGATGTCCTTTCTCGTGACCAAGCCTACCGCTTCACTCTGGGGGCACAATGTAACACAACAGACAGGGCATGCCATGACCGGATGTTTGCAGAGCCGCAGCGTCTGGGGGAATGTGTTAGGGAGTGGTTGTTTTTCATTCCTAGGCTCTCTCGGACAAGACCAATCTCGGTATGCAACGGTTTCACTCTCGCGAGTCTGCGACGTACGGCGGCGGCCAGAGCGCACTCGATCTAGTGCCTCAAGGGCCGACTCGTGCGTATTCTGTGTAGTCGAGCCTTCTGCGGTGAAATAATATCACCAATGCACCCTGATAGGCATTTTTTCTCATCCGCAGCTTGCGGCGGCCTGACTTTATACTGCCGTACTCGAGCGCGGCGAGGAAAGGATTTGCCAAATAGTTGGGGGCAGCCTCTCTGGCGCAAGCGACCAAATAGATAATTGACGGGCTTCGGGCTTGTTCCTGATTGCCCAGCCTAGCTGCTGGCCTGGACGCCCCGACATTGGCCAGGTGACATGATGATAGCCACGGCACGCTGGCTTTTGGTCGCAACGACGGCCAGGGTAAAGAACTGCACATGCACTGGAAGCATTCTTCGCAGCCCATAGACGGCGGGCGGAGGCTGGAGGCACAGTAGACTGGCTCGGCGCGTGTCGTTGGCGTGGCGCGCGAAGACGAATGACGAGCGAGTGGACCGCACAGGCCCCGGCATCTCACCACAGACTCCAAGTGTGATCTCAACCTCGCCTGCCTCTCCACCCGGCGACCACGACGTTTTCTGCTCCCTCTGACATGTTCGACACCCGCCATTCTTCCGCGAGTCTACGCCCATCGCAGAGTCCACTGTGAGCCATCGCCGTGAGCGTCCCCAGTCCGCCCTCTGCACGTCCTTGTTCGATTGCTCCAGACTGGCCTGCGATAACACGGCTGCTGGCTGCTGAAGAACAAGAACATCTGCTGCCCCCCCCCCCCCCGAGATCGCCCCCGTCACGGGACGCCGCCAGCGACTCCCCGTGCATCGCCATTTACTTTCACCGAGCACCCCCCATTTACGTCTCCAGTCGCGCCCTTTTTGGCCGCCTCACCGACGACGTGCTCGAGCCGCTAGCCTGCGCAGACAAGCAGCGTCACCCACGACGTCGGCTCCAGACCACGACACCGCATCATGTCGACGCCCTCGACCGCCACGGCCACACTCCCGCCCCATCACCAGTTTTATTCACACCACCAGACATACCAATCCAACATCTCCAATGCCCAGATCGCCAACGGGTCTGCTCGGATAGGCAATTCGCTCTACAACGGCTACGCTAGCGGCACCTCGAATTCAGACCTGCGCCGAACCACAGCCACGCACTCACGACAGCAACCACCCCAGCTGCCGCCCATCACACAGCCGTCCCCGATCGACATGAGCGCAAACGACCCTGGCTCGGCCCAGCGGCGGCGCAATCCCGACTGGGCCGACTTCTACAAGAACGGCATCCCGAGGGAGGTTATTGTTATTGACGACGACGACGACGATGAGCCCCAGCCCCCGCCGCCGCGCCAGCCAGGCTCTGCACGCACTGCCCAAAGCGCATCGGCACGCCATACCGACAAGAAGCGCAAGACGGCCGCTTCGACAGCCTATGATCCCGTCTACAACCAGCACACGTCCTACTCGACTACCCAAACACCCTACTACGACTCGCCCAACCACTCCCTGTCTACGGACCGGACCACGTCTGCCCTGCATACTACTGCGCACACCTCATTGGGTTCGCAGGCCAGCAACGATCACCACATCTCGCCTCTCGACAACTCGGCGGCTGGCCAGAAGCGCAAGCGCACCCGCGCGGTAGTACAGGATGAAGCCAAGCAGGCCAAAAGACGAGAGCTGGCAGACCATGACGACCCCTTCAGTCTGTACCAGCCGCCTCCCAACCCAGTCATCAAGGCAAAGGACGTGCATGTGCAGGTCATCCCAGATGTACGAGTATTTCACCCCTTCGCAGCACTTAGTACTAACATGTACTCTAGAAATCCTACACCAAGGACCAGAAGGTAGATGATGAAGATGGTCACTACATCGTAGTACCCGATGCCGACCTCACAGAGCGATGTATGCATCTCCTTCCACATCCCATCAAGCACCCTGCTAACGCTGATTCCAGATCAAATCACGAAGCTGCTCGGCCAGGGCACCTTTGGCAAAGTCGTCCAGGCCTACGACAGGCGCAAGGGCACCAACTGCGCCATCAAGGTCATCCGATCAGTACCCAAATACCGAGATGCCAGTCGCATCGAGCTAAGGGTATTGTCCACACTGGCATCCAATGACAAGCACAACATCAACAGATGTATACATCTGCGAGACTGCTTCGACTTCCGAAACCACATCTGCATCGTCACCGATCTCTACGGCCAAAGTGTCTTTGACTTCCTCAAGTCCAACGGCTTCGTCCCCTTCCCCAGCTCCCACATCCAAAAGTTCGCAAAGCAACTATTCACCAGTGTAGCATTTTTGCATGACCTTAACCTCATCCATACAGATCTGAAACCAGAGAATATTCTTCTTGTCAACAACAATTACCAAACCTTCACGTACAATAGAACTGTACCCTCGTCTTCGACCACGATCAACCGGACGGCTAGACATCGCAAGGTCCTTCTTGACCCAGAGATTAGACTCATTGACTTTGGATCAGCGACATTCAACGACGAGTACCATTCTTCAGTTGTATCAACTCGTCACTACCGAGCACCTGAGATCATCCTTAATCTTGGCTGGAGTTTCCCATGTGACATCTGGAGCATAGGCTGCATTCTAGTCGAGTTTTTCACCGGCGATGCCTTGTTCCAGACACACGACAATCTTGAACATCTAGCCATGATGGAGGCTGTTTGCAGCGGCAAGATTGATCGGGACATTGTGCGTGCGGTTTACAAGCAAGACCGCGGCTCATCACGCAACTCGACGAGCTCGTAAGTCGATACATTATTTGGATTCGGTAGCATGGCTAACATTCTCAGCGCGGCGAGATACTTCAAGAATTACAAGCTAGACTACCCCAATGCGGAGACAAACAAGGCGTCCAGGAAATACGTCAAGGCGATGAAGAAGCTACCTGTAGGTACACTCTGGTTGTATTGCTTCATGGTTGCTAACAAGGCCAGGAAACTATACCCGCGCACACCGACTTCAACAGGCAATTCTTGGACCTGTTGAGGCGGATATTCGTCTACGACCCAAAGAAGCGGATCACGGCCAAGGAAGCACTACAACACCCTTGGTTTAAGGAATCACTCATGGACGACGGAACCGAAGCGCACAAGATCCGACTGGAGCGGGAAAAGAAGGCGCGCCGAATGGAAGAGGATCGTCGTTACCGCGAACAACAGCGAGCGTATTGAGCCAACTAAGATTTGACATGCACAATGGTGTACGCGTCATATAGATATCCAGCTCCGCCGCGTAGGCTACGGGTACGATAACGGTTGCGGGGTTATCTTTTGCTTCTCATCTACTGCATTTACGACAGCGACATGACACAAGGGGAGTGGTCACCCTAGGTTCCACGCAGGGCTTATTGGCGTTATACGTGTCACTGTTATCTTGGATTACCAATTATTCTCGTCTTCTCTATCTTCAGCGAGTGTGGAAAAGTACTCTGACGCTCTTGTCGATGACATTCAGCGTGAGAGCGAAAACATTATACCACTGTTACTGTGTGTAGCCATGGGGCGGAGATGCAGTGTGCTAGGCAGTGGGTCGGAAGCTTTGCGTATCTTCATAGAAGCGCTAGCTGTAGATGTAGCCGACAGGATTTGTGCTGGTGGCTGGCAGCATTGTATAATTTAGGACTCATAGCAAAGGTGCTTGGGGCAATGTATTGAGTATCACGGGCAACTGAACAAGCTGCATCTAATCAAGGGACCGAATGTCTCACTTTTGACCGCATTTTGGCGCCATTGCCTCAGCACACAAACCGTGATTGTGCATGATCTTCTACACGATTGCTGGAGATGGATATTCTTTGCTAATCACTGTGATAACAACCAACAATAACACGGCAACTCTGATGTAATTACTCCTCAGCGTGCATCAACGGTTCCCCTCACCTTACGCACCTCGACTTCGCCCTCCGTGCAGGGATTCCAGGACAGGGAATTTAAGCGAGATGGCTAGCCTGGGCCTGTCGTTCGGTCGAGTGAGCATCCCGGCCGGGGTAAACACGTCCCTCGGCGCGTCGCAAACATCCGACTACAGCATTGCGCCAACGGCAACAACGACCCAACCACGCACAAGATGGCGAGCACAAAGCAGCAGGAGAATATGCTCCTTACTGAGCACTTCACTTGGCCCCCAATTGTATGTATCAATAGCCTTGGCTAGTGCTGCGGCCTGGGTTGAGCATATGTGCATGTGCATATCCCCGCCTACCACTCTTCCAAAGCATTTGCGACTGTTGCACCAAAACAGATATTCTACTCTCATACCAGTCTTACACTATATAACTTGACTAATTTGTTATGTAGTCCTTGATTGATGACATAATAAACGCTGTGAATGAGGTTCTCTACCGTTGCACCGACTCGTTCGAAACAGGCCTCTCCGCCGCCGACCCCTCCCTCCTTGGTTTTGCCGACCTCTATGCCTCTCAAGGGCGCACGCCAGAGAAGGATGAAGATGGTCAGGATGTATACCCAGAGGCTAAGCTGGAAATCGAGGAGGGAGTGCTCAAGCTAGAGACATTAATGGAAAATGCAGTAGACAAGAACTTTGACAAGTTGGAAATTTGGACGCTGAGGAACGTGTTTGCTCTCGGGAGGGGGAAAGGAGGAGATGAAGGGCTAGGGGATTGGGTGAGGCTGGGACACTATGAGGTAGGTGAATAGAGAAGGCTGTCAAACTGCAACAAGTATCAGAGTGACCAGTCTAACACACAACACCCTAGAACGTTGAACCCCCGCCCAAAGACACCACCCTCACACCCGAAGCCCTCTACACCCTCCGCCGCAAACTCATCGAAACCCAAAAACTAAACGCTGCCCTCGTCGCGGAGAAAACACGCAACGACGCGCAAATAGCCCGCCTACGAGCCCTCATCCAACCCAACACAACCACCACTACAAAACGCGAAACGCGAAACTCTACATCACCAGCCGAGCAACCACCAAACCAAACCACCAACGCGCCCTTCGCCTTCCTAACCCACACACCCGCCGCCCAATCCCTCGGCCTACACAGCCTCTCCACAACCACACCCAACGACAAGAACACCGAGAAAACCGCCCCCTTGACCACACACACCAAATTCACAACATCCCAACTGCCCTACCTCCGCCAACTTCTCGCATCCCTAAAACCACACCTCGCCACCACGGCACTACCCAGCGACACGACCCCACACTCTGCTTCAGCGGGCCAAACGGATGCGGGAGCGAAGAACAAGGAAGAGTTGAGCAGAGAGCGCAAGGTCTATGTTGAGAGTCAGAGCAAGAGGATTTTGGAACGTAGGGGCGTGGATACAAAGGATGGGGTTGAGGGCGTTTGGGAGGGAAGCAGTAGGGTGAGGGTCGAGGAGGTGAGGGGGTTGGAGGGTTTAGTTGCGGGATTGGAGAGGGGGGTTACGAGGGCTGGAGCTGGGGCGAAGGAGGAGGACAAGGATGGGGATGTGGATGTGGATGCTATGGATACGAGTTGAGTGAGAGGAGGAATGAATATATCTGGTTTACGCATCTTGACGGAAATGTCTCCTCGTAAGACAATATTGTGGTCTGTTTGGCGTTGTGTGGGCGTTTTATCATGGATACCAGGATGGTATGAGAAGTCTATTGTGACTTGATTATATCTTTTCCGATCAAATACTGAATCATGTATTGTATGAAATGCTTCACATCACTAGCTTGCAGTACGCACGAGTTTGACAAGTTCTTTGTATTGCTTTTATACATGTGACAAATGTCTGCCTCCGCCTGACTTGGTCATGATCTCTAGCATGGAATCTGCCATCGCACCATGATCGTCGTGTCGAAAATCGTTAGCCCATATTCCTACACTGGTTCTCCCCTCATCCTTGATGGAGAACCCCTAACCCCCTTTGGCTCATAAATCGTGCATCATCATCGGTTCCCTAACGCTTAGTACTCCACAAGCTTGACTCTGCTCTGCAGCTCCTCAGGCAAGTCCTTCATGTCCACCATGCCCATGCGTAGTGCATCGCCCCAGACGAACATTGCACGATCATTAGCATAAGCGAGATAATCGAACTCTTCCTCATCCTGCGGCTTGAATAGGTCAGCATCCTGTTCCGCTTGTATCTGTATTTCTTTTTGCTCAGCCGTTTCTTCACTCACGATCCCTGCCCCCTGCTTCTCTGCTTCTGCCTCCGCCTTGATCTCTGCTGTGACACCGTCCAGTACGACTGCCTCTTCGTTCTGAATCTCGGCTGCCTTCTTCTCCTCGGCATCGAAGTCGGGAAGGCCGGGCACGTGAGCTTGAACTATACCCCAAGCAACCCACATTGCAGAGTTTGCCAGACGCCAAAGCTTTGTCTCAGCTAGCAGACGGCGTGTCTCTTCTTCGATCTGGCGCTCGGACTGCATTTCCTGTTCCTGATACTTCTCACCGGGTGGAGCTCGCGAGTCAAGCATGAAAGTAGAGATATTGGTAGGGACTGCGGTAGCAGTTAGGGCAGTCGTGCTACCTGTCGAGGGGAGTGGGCCAAGATGCGGGGTCGCAGGGTTTGATGTGTAACCACCAGATGCCTTGTATGAAGGATTGTGCATAAGATACGCTCGAATGAATCTATGCTGCTCTTCGATGGTCGGATAGTACTTGGTGTTGCAGCGCCAAGGAACCTCTGCGTCGTGATAGTTGTATGTCCATTCAGTCTGGATAAGTATGTTAGCTGATATACAGACGGCATGACTGTATGCTTATGAAAGTAAATGCTATAAATAAAGGGGGTGATGAAGACAAAAGCAGCTTACGAAGTGATTTGCAAACTCGAGGCCGGGAAGGTTTGCGTTTGCATACTCAAAATCGATGACCACTAGCTGCTTGTGCTGGTTTGCCGGAAGCAGCAGTGGCGACTCGCCTTGTGGTACCATACGTAGAATGTTTCCGTATTGGGTCTGTCACACAGTCAGCTTGCGGGCATTTAACATAAATGATAACTTACGTCGTTGTGCGCAAAGACCATTCGCTCGTTGATCTTGTCAATGCCGCCATACTGTTCCTCCAACCACCTTCGATACTTCTCAATCATCTGCCTAAAGACTGGCCACTCCGTACCGCAGACATATCCCAGTTTCTTCCATTTGTCGGAAGATGATGGTGTTGCGTTCTGCTTGGCCTCACGGATCTGCTGATCAAGCCAAGTAACGATGTATTCGCAGCGCTCGACCCACTTGTCCCAGTTCTGCCAGACAAATGGGCCAGCCTCTCGCTCCTCCTTTAGTAGGTCAATGCCTTCATGAAGCTCTCGCATACGCTTTGCAATCTGCTTTGAGGTGTCTGCATTACGCAGTTCTTTGGATGTGAGTGGCTTTGCATGGAGAAATTCCTCAAATCGTCCGTTGGTGAAGGTACCAAGCAGACGCGGACCGATGCGCTTGCGAGCAAGTCGTGTCAGAATCTGTAACTCAGACTCTCGGTCTATCAGATGCTCCACTTGTGGACCATAGATACGCAGGAGAAGTTTTCTGCGGCATGTCAGAACAAGCTTGACTCGACCGAAACAGACTTACGGTGGAGGATTCCTAGGCTTGGGCGGACCGTCCTCATTCTGCTCCTGTGCCGGTAAGTTCTTGGGAGGTGAGACAACATATACAGCATTTGTCAATGCGCCACTCAATCTCTGTACGTCAATCTCATTGCTCAGCTCCATAGGTACCTTTCGCCATCCTTTCAATTTTAGAGTATGGGCTAGACGGAGGATCTCGGCTCGAAACTTGGTCCAAGCCTCTCTCTCTTTACGTGCTTCTTTCTCAGATACTTCAGGGACGGATTCAGCTCCGGGTAAGTCGACGTTGTATGCCATGGTCTTGGAGTTATCCAAAATGGCCTCACAACTCGGAACGAGCTGATCTACCGACTCGAAGTAGTCTGCATCGAGGGAAATTGCAGAATGCCGTTTCAAACCCGTAGAGTTTCTAGACGAATTACCAGGCCTTCTCTTCGCGTCGGCCAGCTTCATAGATAGAGTCTTCTCCAGGATGGTGGCCAATTGATTCAGGGAGTCTTCACCTTGAGAGGAATCGGAGTCGCTTCTGGGTCGAAATATAGGTTGATCGGCTGCTTCACGGCCAGCGCCTCCAGATTGTTCGTGAGAAGCATCACCTTCTTTGGCGGCCTTGCGTTTTGCCCGACGAGCATGACGCCTGCTTCGCTCGTGCTTCAACCATGTGCCGACCTGTTTCAGCAGGTTTTCGTGCGCATGATGACTGTGTGACCCGACATCTGTCGAGCTGTCCGAAAGCAACGAATTCAAGGATGGGTTGCCTTCAGCAGTGGGGACTTTACTCGGAACCAAGCGTTCAGTTGAGGGGCGTGCAGTCAATCGCTTCTTACTAATGCTTGTGGTATGTTGCCTAGCAGGCCTGTCAAGATCCAAATAGTCTTTTTGGTCAAGTTCTTTGTTCTTGCCAATCATCAGTGGCGAGATGGTGTTATCATCGGGAAAAGACACGACTGTGAAAGCATGATAAGCAGAGATTCTGTTTTGGAATTGCGATTGGTATGGCAAGAAGTAAAGGTGATTGCTGCACTAGTCACCAGTGACGACTAACCTTTGGTCGAATGTGGTGACGAGCCATCCTCCAAGGCAGTGCTGAGCAAAGGGGTGGAATGGTCGCTTCGCAGTGGGCCACCAGACTGCGGCGCCTGCCAATTGGAGGGGTCGGCCATGCTTAGAGTTGCTCAGGACAGGCTCCCCGGTGCGGTCCGGTCGGGTAAGGTTGGCCGCGTCACCCTCTTGGTAGGAATGATTCGGTAATCTTGTCCGGGAGTAGTGAGTCCTCACAATTGCCGCTTCCTAGGTGGTTGGCAGCAAAGTTTGGTTGTTTGGTGGGCAGGTGTTATCGGTAGTCTGTGCAGGAAAGAGGCCGGAGAAAGTACACGCGAGCTCAGGGTCCACGTGCCAAGCTGATTGGCGGTCAGGATACGGCGATACGACGCAGGGCACAGGTGAGAGACGCGAAAATACCAGAGGCAAGTGAAGGGCAGTGAATTATATTAACCTTTCAAGATAAGAGTGATAACCGGATTTTATGACTTGCTGGCCATTGTATATTCCTGTCACGAGGGTCCATCATCTTTGTCCAGTAGCTTTATCTTTGAATGTTGGTAGGCCTTGGCAATCTACGTCAGGGGCATAGAAAGAGTGGGCAGAAACCTGCAAACTGAGGCTAGGTAGGAGGATATGTGGGCGCAAACGTGGCAAACGTGCGTCCGCGTAATCTATTCGTACATGGCAAATTTCCAAAACTCAAGCCTGGTACGGTATGTCTACAAGCTGGTTTCGATAAGGTCACACTACGCCCCAATACGCAATGCCCACAACCCAATTACAACAAGTAAACCAATAACCAATGCCGGAACGCCTCGCTTTTGACCCAAATACACAGCCAGGATAACTCTACCCTGTTTCAACACGAGAGACGCAGCCTGGCGTCTACTTCTTTTCTCCCAAAGCAGCTTCTATCGGGCCCACTCGACTGTCTCCAACGCCAGCATGACCAACAGCAGAGTCGAAGGCAGAATCCAGACAACATAGCTCTGGAACAAAATCCTTGACATGGCTCCCATGTACACATTGTTGATCTGACAAATCTGTGCCAACTGGAGCGCACTGGGTGCACCGCTGAGCAGAAAGCAGACGATGATGAAAATGGGATCGTCGAGAATGCTCACGGGGACGTATTTGGCAGTCAAAGCCAGCATAGGCGCCATGAGAAGCGTAGGAATGAGCATGCGACTAACAAGCGAGGCAATGACTAGCTTCTTCTCTACGCCTTCATCTTCCATCGAGTGTTGGTCTTCTTTTGGTAGAGTGTTGCGGGCAAGATTGGCGCCCAAGACGACCAGGATGAGCGGGACGGCAACCTGTCCACTTTGATTGATCGCGCGGGTGACCGAGTTGCTTACAAACGTGCCTGGGTCAAAGAAGAGGTGCTGTAGAGGTGGGATCGAAGCAATGAGGATAGCGATCAACATAGCCCATAGAGGGGGGTTCATGAAATCCCAGACGCCCTTGAAAAATCGCGATAGAAGCGTTCCGGTCTTGTAAAGCGGCCCCTGCAGCCATTTGGGCAAGCTTGCAAAGACTCGGCTGCTGGCACGGGAAGTGGTCAAGGAGACGGTACTCGCAGAGCGTTGGACAGCCATTCTAGCGCGTGCGGGCATCCCTTTGAGGCCCTTGGGTGCCTTTCCCTTGTTGTGAGCCTCAAGAATGCTACTGAGATGTCCGTTGGCAGCACCGTTGCTGTTTCCGCTCATGTCACCAGCTCCTCTGATTATAGCATTGCCGTTGGTGGGCGTGATGAAGTCGGTCGTAGCTTGGGCGTCTGCGCGGTTGAACAAGGAGTCGGAATCGTCGTCGCTGGACTCTGCCGAAGTGGCGTAGCTGGTGACGTTGCCAGATTCGTAGTCGGAATGAGAGTCGTCGAGGAGATGTTGTGCCTCGTCGTCGCTGTACTCTCCGCTCTCGATGGCATTATGTTTGCCTGCATCATCGTCCTTGTAGGCGCTGGCGGGTGCGAGCAGCACGTTGAAACCCCATGTCCATCGCACGAGCTGGCCAAGCTGCTGGAAAATGAGCAGGTAGAGGATACCGCGCGCACCGACTTCGTTGTCGTTGTCACCGGGGATCTTGTCCCAATGCAGTCCCTTGAGGGTTTGCGAGAGCGATATGACGAGGGAGATTGGTAGCGAGTTTGAGTTCCAAAAACCTGGGGCTGTCAGTTCATGTCGCTAACAGGGCATGTGATGAATGCGACATACTGCCATGGCAACGACAAAGTTGGAGGCTCTCTTGTTGAACTTGCATACCCGCGACACGAGAAGGGCGGCAAGGTAGGATATGAGGGTTTGCACGACGAAGATGACGGGAATGACGGCAAGCTCAGCCAGCTTCTCAGCCGTCAATTGAGAGGCGAGTTTAGTAAAAACTGGGCCAGGGTCAGACGTAGTTGGTGCGCAGCTCTGGTGCGGCTTCACTCACTAAGGCAGGGCGTAAACAGCTGCGTGTTCAGGTTGGCGAGGAACTTCTGACTCTCGGCGTCGAACATGCCCATGCGCGCGACAATGTAACCAGGGGCGCTGACGCAGACAACCTCCATGACGGCCTCGAAGACGAGGAGGGTGAGGTTTGCGAAATCGGGATGGGAGCTGTGGTCATTGTTGAAGACGCGGAACATTCGGCTGTCGCCATAGTCGTAGGATTGTGATGCCATGGCGACAAAGTCTGACGACACGGTTGGAAGAGAGCGCAAACGCAGTGCCTGGGGCGCAGAGAAGAAAGGCATGGTTCAGAGGTGCGGGTGTGGCGCCTGTGATTGTTTATGAAGGCGCGAAGGACGCGATGCCACTGAGGGCGGACGTGGAGACGGAAACACTGAGTTTATGATGAAGCGCAAAGCGTCTTGGCTGAGGAAGCGATATGGGGCGCGATCGACGTCACTGCAGGCGTAGCCGGAGCGGCAACTTAGACCGCTGGCGCCGCGCCGCGCGACGTCTTTGTTTGGGGCTGGTTTGGGCTGTTTGGGGGGCGAGAATCAAGCTCGAAAAGCTGTGTAGTGGCCGTGCAAAGCAGTGTCGAGTACTTTAATCGTCACCTCACACAGCCGCATCGAACGTTTGGCGGGCACATCGGCCATGGCATCCGTCCTCGTCGCCGTGTTGGGATGGGGAGCGAGCCTACTGTACTTATCTAGGCCATGGCCAGCCATGGGCGCGCGCAATAGCCACCCGGCGAGCCAAGACCATGATCCATATCAATGGGCGCGACAAGATGCCCTCTGCAGCTGGTCTGCAGTCTGGCCGAAGATGGGGTGAATAAGACCAGACCAAGTACATGCACTGCTGCCGGGGTTGCCGTGTCTTTTTCGTGATGCTTATGCCATCAATTACCTATGACCCATTACCCATTACCCATTACCCATTACCCATTACCGCATGCTGCTTTGCCGTCCAAATCCTGCTGGCAGCTGGCGTGTCTTGGTTCGCGGTGCTGCTTGGCCGGATTGAGTTGCAAGTCCTAGCAAAGCAGGCTTACACACACCTGTGCAGAGCAGTTCTGAACACATCTGCGTGAACCAAACTCGTGCATCATCACTTCCATCTCCGTCTGCATCATCGTCGCGCTGCCATGTTTACAAGCCCAGGTCGATCATTGTGAAGTCATCCAGGATTGGCGAGCGCGCGCCTCTGCCCCATCTTTCGTCTCTGCAACATCACGTCACAGCTCCAACTTGCCCGCTACCGACAGCCCACAACCACCGCACCTCCACCATAGACCAGATCCGCTGAGATCGCCGCCCTACCTCTCCTCCGCGGTGCACTCGAAGCACAAGAGCCCCGTCATTCACTTACGCCCTCCTTATTACTATCTGCCCCGCGTCTTTGCACACATCCCCGACCTGCAGTGCCCCGCCAATCCAAGCCTGCGAACTCCAACACACAACTCGCCATGGCCGACTCTAACCCATCCACCCCGGACGTCGATGGCGATTCCGACACCGTCTTCGACAGCCCTTCACCCTCTCCTGCACTGTCTTCTCCTCCTGCGCCCTCTAGCCCCAAGGCCGACGCCGATGCCTCCCTGTCCGCCGACCGCCCCCCACCGCGAACCGCATCCACCACAGGCGCGACGGCCAACATGACGTCTTCGTCAACACCACTAGGCAACATCAATGCTGCGAGAAATCCACGCCCTGCAAACCCCCCTACCATCTCCAGCAGAGGCAGCGGTCTCAACGTTTCTCAAGACATCCTGGCCAGGATACAGGCAGTCCATCTTGGCCGGAAAGGCGCCCCGCCAACCGGCTTGCCAGGAAGAGGGCCTCCGCCCCAGAGCCCTGGCCCGTCGCCCAACAGCAATAATCCAATGTCACCAGGCGGAAACTTGGGAGGCGTACCTGGTAACTTCCGAATGCCAGCCAGACCACCGACAACCAACTTCCAATCAGCCCCAGCCGTCCCCGGCCGCGCAGGCGCTCCCAAGGCCTCCATGGCCGAACGGCGTGGCATGAATCTAGGTGGCTTTCCGGGCGCGTCTCCCCCGGGTGCTCCTGCTGGCAGGAAGAAGCCGGGCCTGACGCTCTCGCAAATGAACGGAGACAAGCCCCAAGATTCAGCAGAGCCGCGCAAGCAAGAAACCCATTTTGACAAGTTTTCCCAGTTTGTCGATACCAAGACTGGCAGTCTCAAGTTCGCGGGCAAGGCTATACTGAACTCGGACGGTGTACAATTCGCTAGCGGCTCCTCCTTCAACATCTCGCTAGACGAAGTCGATACGCTAGACGAACTTGGCAAGGGCAACTATGGCACAGTATACAAGGTCAGGCATAGCAGACCGCGGATGCGAAAACCGGGACAGGGCCTCGCAGGAAACAAGGCTGCGCCAGGCTCACCGTCGCGAAAGAACTTTGATGAAGAACCGAGTCCCAACGGCGTACCTGCCGCAGGTACTGGCATCATCATGGCAATGAAAGAGGTCCGGCTTGAATTGGACGACTCCAAGTTTGCTGCTATCATCATGGAGCTGGATGTCCTCCATCGCTGTATATCACCATTCATCGTCGACTTCTACGGCGCCTTCTTCCAAGAAGGTGCTGTGTACATCTGCATGGAGTTCATGGACGGTGGTTCGATAGACAAGCTTTACGCCGACGGTGTGCCCGAGGGTGTGCTGCGGAAAATAACAATGGCCACGACTATGGGTTTAAAGTCGTTGAAGGATGAACACAACATTATTCACCGCGACGTCAAGCCCACCAACATCCTGATGAACACGAAAGGGCAGATCAAGATCTGTGATTTCGGTGTCAGCGGCAACTTGGTGGCCAGTATTGCCAAGACCAACATTGGATGCCAAAGCTACATGGCGCCCGAGAGGATATCTTCTGGCGGCATTGCGCAAGCAGGCGCTAACCCCGGAGGCGGCACATATAGCGTCCAAAGTGACATCTGGAGTCTCGGACTGACGATAATCGAGTGCGCTCTGGGACGATATCCCTATCCCCCAGAAACGTACAACAACATCTTCAGTCAGCTCAGCGTAAGTATATCTGCTGGAGTTTCAATCCTTTTACTAATCAATTGCAGGCAATTGTCGATGGCGAGCCGCCGGATCTACCTGCAGAAGGATACTCTGATGCAGCGCGGAACTTTGTACGCGGATGCTTGAACAAGATCCCCAATCTCCGACCCACATACGCCATGTTGCTTCAACATGCGTGGCTTGCACCTCTCGCCAAGCCAGACACAATCACAGAAGAGGAAGAGGAAGAGGAAGAAGTGGAAGCTGCAAATGAAGCAGCTAGTGGTGAAGCAGCTGGCGACCAGGGCCCCGCCGAAGCAATTGACATGGTAGAAGACAAGGAAGTAGCGGACTGGGTAAAAGCCGCAATTGATAAGAGGAGGAGTGGTAAAATGAAGGGCGCGGAAAAGCCGGCTCTGCATGCCGCGCCTTTGGATGCATCGGTCCAAAGCCCTTCGCCAAACGGTACGAATGGACTGGAAACTGCCGAAGTTGCTGCATAAGATGTTGGTCTTGTTATCATCTTTTGGCTGGACCTGAGGTGACAAATACTCTTGAACTCTTCCCTGAGCAGCCTTTGGCTCCTGCTGAATCTGCAGGCCATGGAGGCGGCGATGTGTGCATACTCTTTTTACGGCGTTCAACTGGCTTATTGTAAGGAATAGCTGGCATGGAGCGTTGAAGTCGGGCATTGGAAGCGGTGGAAGACACTTGTACTTAGTATAGCATGCACCCTGAACAGTCGGTGTTCAGATGTAGTGATATTGACTCTGTGGATGGCGAGAGTACGTACAAGGGCGCTTGCATCGATGTTTCTTGTCACAGTGACATTGTTTTGCCCAAACATAAACGTTGTTTGTGGTGTTGGTTGTGACGTAAATGCAAGCGCGCTCGCACGGGCAATTTGGACCCCTGCAAGCCAAGATGACTCGCGGGCGGCCATCTGTCGTGGTGCGGGAAAGAACACAGTGGTCGGAACAACTTCAATAGGTGGCCACGACTTTCTTTCATAAGCCCCCACCCTCTTCGTAATGCTACCTGCTTGAGACAAAATTAACTTTTTGTTCTGGCTGCCATCTTGAAAAGGCGCCATCGTTTCCATCCGTCTCTCACACGACTCCACTTGTCCACCTATTCAACATGTCCGGGACCGACTACAACTACGATGACCAGGTACGCCTCAAAGAGATTTGTGTACAACCAAACAGTACTAACAAGCCACAGGGCCAGTTTTTTCCCTATTTCATCCTCACTGTCACCACACTCGTCACTGTCCCCACCACAATCTCTTTCTTAAGACCGAGCAAAGGTGCGCCAGTCCCACCCACGCCACTTGTGCGTATACTGATGCGGTTGCAGAACTCGAAAACACAGGAACGCGCATAGAGTCCGACTTCACCCCCAAACATGCCGACCTTATTCAGGGCCAGCGCAAGAAGCAGAAGCGCATGGAGAGGAGGATAAAGCGTGGCCTTTTAATGCTGGGTGGATGGGCGCTCAACGCTGCCATGGTTTACCTGATAATTGTTACGGCGCGAACTACGCCTGACATCTGGGATCCCTATGATGTGCTGGGTGTCTCTAGGGTACGACGGCTACTCCCAACCCTATGCGCCGTGCACAACATTGCTAATACTCAGAACAGGACGCCGACGAGAAGGCTATCAAGAAGCATTACCGTAGACTTTCGCTTAGCCTCCATCCCGACAAAGCCCGCGAGGACCCCGCCAAAAACGTCACAATACAATCCATCAACGACCATTGGGTAGACGTCACCAAGGCTTTCAAGGCTCTTACCGACGAGGAAATCCGCAACAACTTTCTACAATATGGCCATCCCGATGGCAAGCAGAGCTTCAGTATTGGCATTGCTCTGCCTCAATGGCTAGTCACTGAGGGAGCCGGCAAATACGTTCTGCTCATCTACGCGCTTGCACTGGGTGTTATTTTGCCTTATACCGTCGGAAAGTGGTGGTACGGAACACAGCGATTGACAAAGGAAAAAGTGCTTGTCGCAAGCGCTGGCAACATCTTCCGCGATTACGATAATGACCAGGGCGAAGTAGGAGTCGTCCATGCGCTGAGCAGTGGAGAAGAGTTCAACGAAATATTCGCCGGTAACAAAGCAGAAAACGGCTTGTCCAAACTCGAGCAAAAGGTGCTCTCTGAGGGCGCCGACTCTCTTATCCCAGCGACACTGACTAGGAAGGACCGCCAAAAGCTAGATGACCTGGAAGATAGCCGAAGACGCAAAGTCCTGACTTTACTGTGGGCATACCTGGGCCGTGTCGAACTGGATGACGATACCTTGAACGAGGAGAAATTCTCTGTCGCTCCTGTGGCGCTTCGTCTCAACGAAGCTTACACTGCCATCGCACTCGCATACGGTAACACCAAGGCTGTTCTCTCCGCGTACAAGACCTCACAAAACGTCATCCAAGCTTTACGCCCAGGTGCCTCAGCTCTGGAGCAGTTGCCATACTTCACGCCTGCCGTTGCCACTGCTGCCGAAGCCGAGCGATCGAGAACGCATCTGACCATCCAAGAGTTTATGCAAATCCCAGAGGCTGAGCGAAAGGCGCGTCTCGTCCAATCCGGTCTTCTCTCTCAAGAACAGTATAGCACAGCCATGTCTGTGGCGTCAAGAATCCCTCTCTTCCATCTCGACAAAGCGTTCTTCAAAGTCGTTGGCGAGCGTTTTGTCACACCAAGCAGCTTGGTTCAATTCGTACTCAAGGGTCGATTTATCCCATCAGCCGCCACTACACTTCCTGATGTTAACCCGAAAGATCTCCTCGATATTGACCCCGCGGAAGGCGACGTCGCCGCAATCACCGGACGTAAGAATGATCGCTCTGGAGAGAAGCCCATCCAGCCACCTCTAGCCTACGCCCCATATTACTCTCGGGATCATGCGCCAAGATGGCACGTGTTCCTTGCCGACAGCAAGCAGGGTCGCATTGCAGTCCCTCCCTTCACCTTCTCGACTTTTGACAAGCCTATCCTTGATGAGAGCGGTAATCCCACCTACAATGTCCAGACACTAAAGATGCAGTTCGGTGCTCCACCACAGGCCGGCAGCTACACCTTTGTCATGCACATGATATGCGATAGCTACATCGGTATGGACACCAAGATCGAGGTAACACTTGTTGTGGAGGATGCCAGCAAAGCGGAAGAGGTTGAGGAGGAGGAAGAGATCAGTGAGCCAGATGAAGGTGAGTTTCCACTTAGTTGAAACGACAGTCGGTCGAATCAAGGTGACTGACAGTTTGCAGATACCCTCGCAGGACAGATGCGCCAAATGAAGACTGGTGTTCCCGCGAAGAAGCGGAGACAGGCAAACGACGACTCAAGTGGCAGTGACACCGAAGGCGATGTCGAGTCCGAGAGTGAGACCGACACTGATACCGACTCGGATGACGAGTAAACTGCTTCACTTTGTCTGTCAGATGACATTGCAGTCATTACAATTATGCATCAGGCGAAGATGGAAGCAGAACTTTGGAACAACGAAGAAGCTTGGTATCGACTTTTTGTCCAGCCACTTGAGCCTCAGCCGCTCGCATTTCTAGGCGTTCAGGGAATGGGATGACTTGCGACTAGGGACTATCCCTTGATGCTTTTAGATGAGGCGAAACTTCCACTGGATAGGACTCTAGAAGCAGGTGCATATTTTTATTTTCCTCCAATAACATTGATGAATTCTTCAACCATGACCCTTACGATTTTTGCTCAATGAAATCAACTTGCGACCCCAGCTGAGTCCTGGTAAGATGGCTGAACAATAAAAATATAATGGTTTTGCCGATTGACGACGGAGAACACTATGCGGAAGATGAAGAACACACAACTGACAACTAATACGACTCGCGATGAGGTGGAAGGGTGTCAGGCTGCAAACTATTGATGTGACGGTGGCTGGTGGCCAAAGCATACCTATAGCGTCCTACCTAAGATGGCCTTCTGAGCACCGGGAGCTTTGTCCTTGCCCTAATGAGCTGACTGCACTCGGGCGCAACTCCAAATTTGGCGATCTACACATCACCTGTGTGCCTGAGGAGCACCAAAGATCCGAACAGATGAGCTTGGACTTAATGCATAGGCATATATGCTGCAACGGGCACTTGCGGCCTGGTCTGTGGTCGGGTGTTCATCAGAGGTTCGGTTCCACACCTGCACGGTTTCATTGCCGTCTCGGCTCTTCCTCACCACTACCCTCTACTGCGAACTATCTAGCCCCAGACACATCAGTCACACCCCTATGACTGATCAGTGATGCCCTGATAGGATTAAATGATCTGCGTTACAAGGGCGCCAGTCCGACTCGTGCCACATCCATGTCGTCAGAGAACGCCACTGTGACAAGTAGAGCGCTACGCGAAATATGTTGACAGAATGACAGAAATGTTCTCGTTAGCAGCAAAAACAACAGAAAAGAATTTGGATGGTGCCAAACAATTACAAAGAACACCGAGTAAACTGTAAGAGGAGCATAGCAACCCGAGATAGTAGGTATGAGTGCAGGATCGTCCAAGTGGCGTGTCCATGACACGCCGCCTCCGCATCCAGCTTTGTCTCATAAGACTCCCCTTCCAATATTGGGCGAACAAAAGAACAGCCGAAAATACAGCCTCAGTCCCATAAGGCATGATCAGCGACCCCCAGATGAGTGGAAAGTCTTGGCTTTGGTTCGGATGTCACCGCTCCGCAGCCTTGAGGCTCAAACAAACGCCTCAGACACCAAGGCAAAACTGTCAGACAGGTCATGGAACGTTTTATTAGCGTGTCTTTCATCTTGGCGGTTGCGGCTACGGTAGTCGCCGGTAGCAAATGACAGTCACTATGCATTTTGCAATCTGCTAAGACGGCATACAGGGGCAAGTGCCGACATATGGCATCGTCGAGCATAGCAAATGACTGGAGGCCGAATTGATAAAAGGTGACGGGAATTCGCCCTCAGTTTGCTTTCATCATCATCAACTCACACTCCTTCCTTCCTTTCTAATCACCTTCATTTCTTCAGCGACTTTGACAGTCAGCACCACACTCTCTTTGAACTCTTAATACGTCTGTGACGTTTACACACTATCTTTTACCTTTTTAATACATCGGTTACTATCATCGACAGTTAGCCTTTTAGCTTTAACTTCTTACATCATCAACATGGGTTTCATGTCTATCTTCACTCTCGCGCTCGCGGCTGGTCTCGCTGTAGCTAAGCCTATCAACGATGTTCAGTCACTCAACGGCTTCTCCGCCCGCCAGTTCGACTTCAACTCAGTCATCAACGGCAATAGGGGCGACAACGGCGGCTTCAACTTCATCGACGGCTTCCAGAGGTTCAACCAGCAACAACAGATTATCAACATCCAAGACAGGAGACTTGATATTAGGGACAACCGCTTCCAGCGACAGGTCGTTAAACAGGTGCAGCAAGTTATCGTTGTCGACCAGGTCAACAACGGCTTCAACAACGACATGAACAACCTTTTCCGCAAGAGCAACTTCAGGAACAGGTTCCGCGACGTCACCACTGTTATCATCGTCGTCCAGACCATCAAGATCGCCATCGACAACGGCCGGGGTGACTTCTTCCGCCAGGACATCTTCGCACAGTCTGTCATCGTTGCCAACCGCGGTGCTCGCAGGACACAGGAAGTCATGATCTTCGACAGCCGCACGCTCATCGCCGAGGACATTCTCCGCGACAACGCCTTCAACCGCATCGGCAGCTTTGGCGGTATTGCCGGTGCCACTGGTGCTATCAACAACGCACTTCCCACAAAGACTGGCGAATACCAGCTCTTTGGTGCTAGGCCTACCTGGAGCGCTGTTGCTGAGGACCCTGCTGCGGAACTCGGTGGTATCTGGGCAGACGCTGTCCAGGATATGCAGAACAACGCCAACGATGGCGCTGACAACGAGCTCAACGCGAGGATCGCAGACCAAGAAAAGGCCGCTCTCGACCAGCAAGCCAACAACAACGAGCAGGCCAACAACGACAACGAGCAAGCCAACAACGACAACGAGCAAGCCAACAACGACAACGAGCAAGCCAACAACGACAACGAGCAAGCCAACAACGAGGAGCAGGCCAACAACAACGAGCAGGCCAACGCCGATGAGCAGGCAAAGGCCGCTGAGCAAGCTAAGGCTGACGAGCAGGCCAAGGCTGCTGAGCAAGCCAACGCTGATGAGCAAGCTAAGGCTGACGAGCAGGCTAAGGCTGCTGACGAGCAGGCCAAGGCTGAGGAGCAAGCTAAGGCTGAGGAGCAAGCTAAGGCTGCTGAGGAGCAGGCCAAGGCTGAGGAGCAAGCTAAGGCTGAGGAGCAAGCTAAGGCTGATGAGCAGGCTAAGGCTGCTGAGGAGCAAGCTAAGGCTGAGGAGCAAGCCAAGGGCGCTGAGCAGGCTAAACCTGCTGAGGGACCCAAGGCCGGTGAACAGCCCAAGGGTCCCAAGCAGTGAAGCACATTCGTTTCGACAGAAGAGTAACTGAAATATGGAACAACAGCAGCACATCCCAAGCATCGATTGCGAGGATGGCACTACCGGGCATATACACAGGGACCCTTACTTTTTGTCCCACCCTTTTTTTAGTTCTAGTTTTGACCTGCTCAGTATGGTCTGAGAGGCGGGGTAGGGGTTGGGGTGGTGGAGATTGATGATGATGATGACCACGGCTGCGCTGGGGAATTTTACGAATCAGTTTTCTTTTACTGGGTTCAGAGAAAAAGTATTATCTAGTCATGAATACGCATAAAAGAATCAAATAACGTGGATGGCAAGCGAGTGGGCCAGGCAAGCGAGTGGGCCACCCCACCAACTTTTGTAACTTCAAAGCGACTTATCTCAACAACGCGATAATATTATTGCTAGATATTGATACAGTAGATTACTCTATATTAAGAGTATTAGTGTTGCATGTGCGCGAGTTGTGCCCAGTCTCCTTGCACCTGGTGCAGCGCCTTTGAGCGCGCTGGCTAAGGCCTGATCGCGCTCCTCCTTGACGCTCTTCATGAGCAATCTGCTGGTCAGCCTCATTTTGAGCTAGTATATCCTCTCCAGCTCCCTTTGTGAGTACTCCATGCTTCTGTATACGCCTTTTAGAGCGCTGCCTACGCGCTGAGGCTGCGCTGTTAGCCTTCTCAAGACTAGAGATCCGATCGCGCATCAGCTCAGCAGACAGCATCATCACCTCAGCGCCCTTCTTCAGCTGGTCAATCGCCTCAATGATCGAAGCTGGTGATGAGCTCTTATGCTGGCGCACGCGCTCACGTATAAGGCTTGACTGAGCCTCAAGCTCACGCGCGTTGCTCGGCGTTTGAGCTACCCAGGGAGCATCTGGTAGAGCTGCTGGAGGAGTAGGTGTACGCAGCTGTACATCTAGCTTTGATAGAACAGCCTCTGGTTGTAGAGGAACAAGGCCTGCGCCGCGGAAGGCTGAGTAGATATTAGCTGGCGTGAACGCTCGATCAAACGCAGCCTTAAACGCAGGCAGAAACTCTAGCTTGGTGATGTGGTTGATGTGGTTGCGCATGAGGCTCTCCACCTCACGGCTATACGCGCGCTTTAATGGCGAGAAGCAGCCAACATCAAGTGGCTGGAGTAGGTGAGATGAGTGAGGAGGCATACAGAGCGTATGGATATTGTTCTCCTTACAGAGCTCCTGGAACTCTAGAGATTGGTGGCTCCTATGGCCATCAATAATAAGCAGGCGACGCGCGCCTATAGTACGAGCCTGCGTGTGAGCGTTGAAGTGCTTTAGCCACTCAACTCCAAGCTCATTATTCGTCCAGCCATTATCGCTGACTGCGATCGCCCAGTCGCGTGGGATATCCTCCTCATACCACGCTGATAGGTGGTACTGACCAGCGAAGATGAGGAACGGTGGCACTGACCAGCCACCAGCGCTGATGGCAGCAATCAGCGTTACCCACTCGCGATTGCCTGGCTGAATACTCTTCCGCCGGCCTCTTCTCTCTGATCCTGTTATAACCAGCTGCGTTGTAATCTTGCCCATCATAAAGCCAGCTTCATCAAAGTTGTAGACATCCTCATCGCAGATACCCTGCTCAGCCTTTATCTCTTCTACAAGCTTAAACCACCTCTTTATTAATGTCGCATCCTCACACATAGCTCTCTGCCTATCGTACGCTCGGTTGAAACACGTCCGAAGACTGTCTGTACGCTTAACAAAGTTGGCTGGCCACTTCTGCCCAACCTGGCCAGCGCCGCGCGCAGCCAGCAGCTTATCAGCCATATCGCGTGCAGCTGCGTAGGTAGGCGCAAACCCGCGCTGATCTAGGTGAAGTATATAGCTAATAATCACCTCCTCTTCTCTCTGGGTAAGCTTCCTTGAGTTAGGCTGGCAATCGCGTCGTGCAGGTATACCAGCGCGTCGGCGCGTGAGTGTCATTCGGGCGACTTCAAATGTCCGCGCAGCGTCTCTATTAGACTGGAGCTGGTTTCGGGTAGTAGCTGAGATAGCTAGCTGTATATCAGCTTCATAAGAAGGGTTTTGGGATTGTTTTGGTGGAGCCATAATTGATTGAAGTTAGGTAGATGCAAAAAGTTGGTGGGGTGGCCCACTCGCTTGCCTGGCCCACTCGCTTGCCATCCACGTTACTTTTGTTTCAAATTATCATTTTTTTGGTGTGTGTGAATGATGTGTGATTTCTGGTCTTTATAAGTGAAAGCGAAAGGTGAACAGTGGATAATATGACTGACATAGGTGCTCGTTACATCCAGTGCGCATACTGGGTTTGCAAATAATGCACTGACTGGATCACTCGCCCACCTTCAATGTACATGATTCGCATTTTTCGTGTGTCAAAGACCCCATTTCGCAACCAGGTGACGGCGATCTTATCTCGGCCCACTAATTACATCAACCACCCACCCAGGACGCAGCATGAGCCAAGTCTCCCTTTCGTTCAAAAGCGCCATGCTACCTCCACGCGCCAAGCGACTATATCGTCGTCGGACTATCCAAACGCTAATTGTTTCGATAATCTTTGTAGTCGGGATCAGCGTACTCTTTGCTAGTTATGCATGTCTTCAATCCCACAGCCATGTCAGGCACGCTATCGCACCTTCCACCACCACTGCTCCCAAACCTGTGGCCTGGAACCCGATAAGACGGCAAGCAAACCTGCGCATTGCAAAAGCTACGATTCTATACGATGGAGGAAGTGAGTTGTACGAGAAAGCGATTAGCTTGCACGATCAGCACATTGGGGAAGGATGGAGATACAAGATTCACGTGCTGCGCTCCAGAATAGTAAGAGGAGCGTTGAACAAACCGCTGTGGTTGCAAGAAATCATTACTTCAGAGTTACGAAAAAATGTCGAGGATCGTGTGGAGTGGATACTGTAAGTTGTCTATTATACACCCCCGGTATCTCTCTAGGGATGGGACCGCTAACGCCAGTGCAGATACTTTGATCCCTCGGTTCTACTTCAAAACTTCAACATGCCGCTGCATCGCTTTCTCCCGCCGATTACAGATGTTGAGCATTTCAAAATCCTATCAATCATCGCCGCGAAACCTGATGGCAAACATTTAAGCACCTCAGTCTTCTTTATGCGCGTCAGCGCCGTTTCATTGCGTATCCTTACTGAAGCCATGGCTGCCATGTACAACGGGCCTCCGAGCGATAACGGCAAGGTCCTAGATACATCACTACAATATGTACTTGAAAAAGACGAGCACAGAGAACACGCTCTCTTTCAACCCGCAAGCTGGTACAACAGCACTTTCTCCCTCTTCCAACAGCCTTATCTCCCCACACAGGCACATCGCATAATCTTTCTGAGCGATGCGTTATCGACTTCATTTCCTTTGGCGGACAAAGACCATAAGTTGTTCCCCGATGATGAAGCAGTAAACGTCTTCTGGGACGCTGTTGCTGAAGCAAGGAGAGTGCTGGATGAAGCAAAGGAGAAGGGCCAGACTGCTGAGAAGGGCGAATGGTGGAAGGTGGTCAGAGAAACGAGGGATTGGGTTGAGCTAAGAGCTTGGAATGTACAGGAGGTGCGTAGAAGGGTGGCTGTGTTGAGGGAGGGGCTGGAGATTGAGTGAGGCGAGGAATCTATAGTTGCCTGAAGGATTATGGCTAGTAGTAGCCTACGATACCTCTCGAATAACTCATCTAGAGATGTGCGAGAGCTGACGATCAATAATTTATCATGGCAATTCTTCTCAATTCTCTGTGTTGTGTATTTCGAGATTTGCGCTATTCACTGAGGGGTAAGATATTTGCCCAGCAGAAGGATACTGGTGAGATGTTCCAAGTTCAGCGCCTTTCCAAAGAGTCACCTCGCATATCCAGGGCGGAGTTAATTTGACGAATCGCTCGAGGCGGACCTCTTTGCTGGCTCTGACGTGTCGATGATGCCCCAGGCTGGCAGTTGGGCCGCAGACTCCCCGGAGTCATACCCTGAAACATGGCATGCGGATCAGCTCAGTATCCACAGATATTGTTGAGCCACCACGTTGTAGGCAGACGGTTGGGCTTCATCTCATGGTGTACTGATGTGGTTTGACACGCTTTAGTAAGACTATACCGTTCTAGGAAAGGCGGCGCAGATGTGACGTAACAACGATTGGTGGGGACTTTTAGCCTGACCGGAAACCTGTAGGGTGCCCAGAAGCTTCTATGACAGGGCCGAAGCCACTACCAGCTTCGAGATATGACGAGAAATCACACGAGGTCAATGGTTACTTCCTGACTCTTCGCGAATAATTACATCAAGATATATATACCGCCCGAGTCTTGCCATACACCACTTCTTTCCTTCTCCAGTGATACCCAACAATTACAACGCCCACATCTACACAAAACCTGATTGCAGGCTCACGATACACGACATTTTCTTCTGGCTTCGAGCCATATACAAGGCTATAGTCACGACACATAATGACTTCATTTGACGCCTACACCGACCGCGCAGCCAAGGCTCTGGCCGACAGCTTCGACCTAGCCAAGGGCTATGCGCACTCACAACTCACACCTCTCCACCTCGCTGTGTCGCTCATAGATCCCCCCAAGGACCTGGCGAATACCGTCGATGTTCCACCACCACCGCTATTCAAGCAAGTCCTCGAACGCGCGAATGGCGACCCTCAACTCTTTGAGCGCAACCTCAAGAAGGCTATGGTACGGTTACCAAGCCAAGACCCTCCGCCAGAGCGCACATCACCTTCACCCGCAATGGCCAAGGTCCTACGCTCTGCCGAGGAGTTGAGCAAGACTCAAAAGGATAGTTTCATCGCTGTCGATCATCTCATCCAGTCGCTATGCCAGGATGCTCAATTGCAACGCATACTCGCCGATTCGAACGTACCGAACACGAAGCAGATCGACAATGCTATCCAAGCACTTCGAGGCACAAAGCGGGTGGACTCCAAGACGGCAGATGCTGAGGAGGAGAACGAGAACTTGAAGAAGTTCACCATCGACATGACGGCAATGGCACGAGAGGGCAAGATTGACCCTGTCATTGGCCGAGAAGACGAGACACGAAGAGTTATCCGCATCCTGACTCGGCGAACCAAGAACAACCCTGTTCTCATCGGAGAGCCTGGTGTTGGTAAGACTACAGTCGTCGAGGGTCTTGCCCGCCGAATCGTCGACGCCGACGTACCAGCCAATCTTGCCGCCTGTAAGTTGCTCTCTCTCGACGTTGGTGCTTTGGTTGCTGGCAGCAAGTACCGTGGAGAGTTCGAAGACCGCATGAAGGGTGTGTTGAAAGAGATTGAGGACTCCAAGGAGATGATAGTACTCTTCGTGGACGAGATTCATCTGCTCATGGGTGCTGGTTCTTCAGGAGAAGGTGGTATGGATGCCGCCAACTTGCTGAAGCCTATGCTGGCTCGTGGACAGTTACATTGTATTGGTGCCACCACTCTGGGCGAGTACCGAAAGTATATCGAGAAGGACGCTGCCTTTGAGCGTCGTTTCCAGCAGGTACTCGTCAAGGAGCCTTCCATCCCGGAAACTATCTCCATTCTGCGTGGTCTCAAGGAGCGATACGAGACCCATCACGGTGTCACCATCATGGACGGTGCCATTGTCGCAGCCGCTACCCTCGCCGCACGTTACCTTACCCAACGACGACTGCCCGATTCGGCTGTCGATCTCATCGATGAGGCTGCAGCAGCCGTCCGCGTTACACGAGAATCACAACCAGAAGCGCTTGATAATCTCGAGCGACGCCACCGACAACTCCAGATTGAGATTCATGCTCTTTCCCGAGAGAAGGACGAAGCCTCACAAGTCCGTCTCAAGGATGCCCGCGCGGAGGCTGCCAACATCGAGGAGGAGCTCAAGCCACTTCGCGAGATGTACGAGCGCGAGAAGGGTCGCAGCAAGGACATCCAGGAGCAGAAGCTCAAGCTTGAAGGCCTCAAGACCAAGCTTGCCGAAGCTGAGCGTATGCGCGATATCCAGACTGCGTCCGATCTCAAGTACTACGCCATTCCCGATGTTGAGCAGCGCATCGCTGAACTGGAACGCGACAAGGCCCGCGCAGATGCAGAGATGTGGGCACACCAAGCTAGTGGCGGTGGTGAAGCTCTCATGAGCGACTCGGTTGGACCTGACCAGATCAACGAGATCGTCGCTCGCTGGACCGGTATTCCAGTCACACGTCTCAAGACGACTGAGAAGGACAAACTACTCAACATGGAGCGTCATCTCCAGGAAGTCGTTGTTGGCCAAAGGGAAGCTGTAGTTTCAGTCTCCAACGCCATCCGTCTTCAACGCTCCGGTCTCGCCAACCCGAACCAACCACCCAGTTTCCTCTTCTGTGGTCCTTCCGGTACTGGTAAGACACTTCTTACCAAGGCTCTTGCTGAGTTCTTGTTCGACGATGCAAAAGCCATGATTCGATTCGATATGTCCGAGTACCAGGAGCGACACTCTCTTAGCAGAATGATCGGTGCACCGCCCGGCTATGTCGGTCACGATGCAGGTGGTCAGCTCACTGAAGCCCTTCGTCGCAAGCCCTTCTCCATTTTGCTCTTCGACGAAGTCGAGAAGGCCGCCAAGGAGGTTCTCACCGTCCTCCTTCAACTTATGGACGATGGTCGCATCACCGACGGCCAAGGCAGAGTCGTTGACGCAAAGAACTGCATTGTCGTCATGACCTCCAACTTGGGTGCTGAACATCTTTCTCGCCCCAACGCACCAGACGGCAAGATCGACCCTACTACCAAGGAGATGGTCATGGGTGCGTTGCGCAACTGGTTCCTCCCTGAATTCCTCAACCGTATCTCCTCGATTGTCATCTTCAACCGCCTCACCAAGCGCGAGATCCGCAAGATTGTAGATGTCAGGCTGGGCGAGATCCAGAAACGTCTCAACCAAAACGGACGCAACGTGCGCATCGAGATGACGCCGGAAGTGAGGGACTACCTTGGTTCGGCAGGCTACTCGCCAGCCTACGGTGCCAGACCGCTTGCTAGGCTCATCGAGAAGGAGGTACTCAATCGTCTTGCCGTACTCATCCTTCGCGGTTCCATCAAGGAGGGCGAGGTGGCGAGAGTGGTGCTCGAAGATGGTCACATCCTGGTGCTGCCTAACCACACGGATAGTGAGGATGACTCGGAGATGTACGATGAGTCCGATGCTGTAGCGGAGCTGGACGATGATGGTGGTGACATGGATCTCTACGACTAAGTGCGTAGTAAGCTCCATTGAGATTGGTTAAAGGCATTTCAGCATTGGCGTTGATGGATTAATAGGGTTTTCTTTCTACATTGCATGCTCTGGTAAAGCATATAAATGGGTCTCATGAGTTACGGGTGATGATTGACAGCGCAATGGTAGAGGCGCTACATTGGCGTTTGGGCCAGGATATTTGATGACCTTACTCTGTACATAGTTAATATGACGCATACTTCAAACTGTATATTTTTTCAATTGCGCACATTGATAGCTGATGCGAGCGGACTCAAGGCTCAAAGTCATCAGGTATATTTAGTTCAATTCCAAGGATCAAGCTTTAGACAGAACTTTGGTGAATCCTCGCAAGGTGTGAATAAAATCTTGTTCCAGCGTATCTCTACAGTCATCAACTTTTTGTCATTTCTTCGTCTAATGTTGCCATGATGGACTACCTAGCCAAACGGATGCGCCTGCTTAACTAAGTCCGGGGTATATTGCATCCCATTCCACCTAAATCGAACAACCTAGTAGAAGAAACCCAGAACCTTTCCGGCGACGTGCTTTCTGCGGGCCTCCTCGTGGTCCATGATACCAGCGGAGGTGGTCAGAACGATGAAACCGAATTGACGCGAGGGAAGTAGCTTGACAACCCACTTCTCCATGTCGCGGAGCTGAACGTTGTAACGGGGCGAGATGACACCGGTCTTGTTGACACGGCCGTTGAGCTGGATGACGATCTTGCCGTTGCGGTGGTCGTCGACCTCCTCGAACTCGCCAATGTAGCCTGGAGGAGGATTAGCATGTTGCGGCGAATTAAACATCAAACGTCATGAAAGGGATCCGAGGATGTGTAAGTCCCCCGCAGTTTAATATATCGGACACTTAAAGGTCAATGATTGTGGGGTTACGAGATCATTAACTAGTTATCAGCCCGAAGGAGGAGCGCAGGAAGGCGCATGCGGTGTAGACGCGGTGGAAGTGTGCAGGAGGTGGGTGGGTCTTGGGAAAAGAAGAAGAGGCTCGACATACCGTGACGCTGCATGACAGTGAGGAACTTGACGATGACCTTGGAGGACGGGCGGATCAGGACCTGGCGCTTGCCAGCCTTCTCGGCTACGAGGCGTTAGTGGGAGCCATAGACCAGATCCGAGATGAAGTACCGTTGTTGATCGCATTCAGAGCGTCGTTAAGAACGGAGGTCTTGACCATTTTGGCGGTTTTGTCGGGAGATTCTCGGTGGCTGAGGCGACTGAGGTATCTGCGCGCGCTTGGTGGTTAGCCTCCAGATGCCAGAGCATGGAGAGTGCCCTCAGACTAAAGCTTGAGGGTTCTTCAGCTCTTGTCGCAGAGGAGAAGCAGTGTCGCATTCATCCTTGCGGATAGGTGCGATTGCTCCTCCTGGCTCTGAGGGGCACTCGGGTCGACGAAGACATACCTCGTTAGGTGCGGTGGTAAACTGTGGTGGAGGAGAGTCGAAAAGTTCGCGTTCGACCAAGCAAATTGCATGTGGTGGCTCGTGCGCTCGCTAACGGCACTGGGATCTTGGCGCGACCGTCTCTGGCTCCCTCGACTGCGAAGCACGCGACAGAATGCAGCCATGAACAAAGTCCTCTCCTAACCTCAGCAACTCATAATTGGGGGAATCGTTTTGTGTTGGCCTCATATTGATTGGTGATTGCATGACCCAGGTCCAGCTAGCACAGCATCTCCCACCCCCTTGCCTTCACGTGCAGTCAAGGTCACTAACCTTCTTAGTCATGACGTAGCACTCGTCACTTTGCCTCCCATTATCCCATATACCTCACTTCTAGAAGCACTGTGAATTTACACCTAAGTTGATCTTCCTTAGCTCATCATGTCTGAAGCGTGCTGTACTTGTGCTGCGTTCCTCTCCTCTATCCCACCTTCATACGACGAGAAAACGGAGAAGCCGGCACAGTTCGAACGCAGACTGAACTGCTGTGGCCGCGCCATCTGCGCTCGATGCTTGACCGATAATCCGCGATTCCAAAACTACTGTCCATACTGTCAGATAGCGACTGGACCGTCGGCTTTACCACCACAGGGTCTACGCGAGCCTCCGACGTATTCGCCACCGGATGAGCAACAATTCGACGACGAATTGCCGCCGTACCAAGCACATAGAAGCCTCCAACCCCCTTCCGAGAAGTCAAATGCAAACGAAGAGAATACGCCGGATGTTCTGCACTTTGTCGACCAAAACAACGATTCGATTTCGTCGCTCTCGCTTCGATATGGTGTACCCGCAGACGCCTTACGCCGAACGAACAACTTGTATGCGGACCATCTGCTTGCGGCTCGCAGGACTGTTCTCATACCTGGAGAATACTACAAAGGCGGTGTTAGTTTGAGTCCGCGGCCACTAGAGGGTGAGGAAGAGGAGATCAAAAAGACAAAGTTGAGGAAGTTCATGGTCAAATGCAAGGTTTCCGAGTAAGCTCCAGCCATTGAGGTTTACGAATAGACGTTTAACACAATACCACAGATATGATGTTGCGCTTCTCTATCTCGAACAGGCAGGCTATAACCTTGAGCAGGCAATTACTGCATTCAAGGCGGACGAGGATTGGGAGAAAGAGCATTCCCTAGAGGCTGCGAAGAAGGGAAAGTCCAAAGATTCACGAACCTCTGGACGTCGGAAGTGGGGCTTCGGGGGCCTTACAGGTCAGCTCTCGTAGCGCGAACGAGTGGTTACTCGTGTCGAAACGCCTGCCACAGCATAACGCATGTTGTACCCCTAGAACCGTTCATAGACCGGCGGCATTGATTCTAGTATCGCAAGTATCGCAGCTGCGCTACAAAAGTCTAGAGGGGTGCTGAGGTGCTACTGACATGAGTAGCTATGTACAAATTCATACGGCCCACTCTTTTCATTCGCAACTCAGATTTTAGAGATTCGGGCCATCTTCTAGTTCATATCAGCCTACTCGCATGTACGTTTCTCTCTTCTCTCATCGGTAATTGTTTTGGTTGGTCATGGGTGTCGATGTTCTGGTCATGCTCTTGAAAGTTCGGTGGCCAATCAGCGCACAGAAGCGCATCAATCTGTAAGCGCCGACACATCTCCCTAGTCAACATCTGTACCTCAGTCCTCGAAGCGCCCACACTGCGTTCGTGTTTCACACTTTTATCGAACCTGCATTTGTCTCCTGTGCAACCCTATTGGACAACACAAAGGCGCACTACAACCGCTCATCCATGGATGACTCTGCCATACCTCGCTTCGAGCGGAACGACAGGCAAGCCACAGTGCTTAGTGCACGGTAAGACCGTGTCGCCAGTGGATGAGTGGAGGTACAGTGAACGGTGTGGGGAGCTAAATGTACACATGCGGCAAGGTTGCACGGCGATATGCAAGTTAATATCGCTATTCTTGGACTGGCGTGCATCGTACGCGCTGCGAATAACATCGTACCGCCACGAGACCCAGGATACTGGTGTTGCTAACTCGAGTACCGCTACTGATGGCAGCGGCAAGACAAATTACCGTTCTTTCTTTGCTCTTGTTCGTCTATTTTGAGTTGCAAGACTTGGGAGCTGCAGGGGGTTGCACGATGTGTTCGGTCGGCGTGAAACCCCAATTGCGACCAACTTGTTTTAAAGGCATGTGCCACCCCCAGAGTGTTTCTCATCCATCTCAGGCAACAGATCTCCAGAAGCCTCAGGTTATATCAGACCCTCTGTGCTTCTTCGTTATTTCGTTTTCTTGTTGTCCGTCTTTCATTTCAAGACAAAAAAGGTGCTCCTGGTTGACACCTGCTGAACATCCTATCATTATACGCCCATAGCTTTGGATACCAAACCTTCCTTAATACTACCACACTGAACTTGGAGAAAGAGAAGAAACTTCACAATGAAGATCAACCCCGCTCCGTTCCACTTGGCACAGGCCATCATCACCGGCCTCGTCGTCGCCCTCAGCATAGCGATCCTCGGTACTTCTGCGCACACACTCGATGTCTTCAACAAACAACATTTGTCAAACCCTTGGTGGGCACCGATGTGGCCCCAACACTTTGATGTACAGGGCACCAAGGCTCTCATCGCCTCGTCTGTCGTCACCCTGGTCTTGTGTGGTGCTTTCTTGATTGCATCATTTGTTCCCCAGGTTTGTCTATCCAAAACGTACCTGACAGGATCCATGTCCTAATCAAGTTTAGCTTGCCCTTCGCCAAAAATACACTCTCCGTGCTCTGCTTTCCCTAGCAACCCTCCTGCCTACTCTGCTTCTCACTCTAATCACGACCATCTGGGCCCACATGCTCAATAACAATGCTCCCGACGTCGACACAATCCAAACTTGGACTTGCAAGATGCAGAACTCGCAACCGCTGGCTCAGAATTTACCGGCCACCATTGCTGTTCCAACTGGCATGAGCAACAACGATTTCAAGACGCTTTGTGGAGCAAGCAAGTTTGCACTACATGGAACGCTTGTGGTGTTCCTCTTGGTAGGCGCGAGTATGGGCGTTACCGTGGTTACCTGGATGGCTGATAAGTGGGCTGCAAGGCAGCAGAGGAAGGAAGTTGAGATGGGCAATGTCCCTGTACCCACTTCGTAGGCGGCTGAGCGGGATGGTGTACTTAGCGTACATGCTTGTCTGTGCAGCGAGAGAGTAAGATTTTTGAAGGATTTTCAGTAGGGTTCAGGGTAAAGTCAGGGATACGAACGAGTCGCTGTCAGATCCTACGGGAAAGTGTACTGGTATATTGGCGTTACGGGTCCTCCATGAGGGATGATGATCAGAAAGAATACCTGTTTGTTTAATATAACTATTGGCCGGGTGTACAGGCTATGAGACGGTGTTCAAGACATATTCTCTGATGCCAAGTACACATTTATAGCTTCTGACGCCCCAGGTCCAGCTGCATGTCATGTGAAAGTGAGCGGGCACTGACATGGAGTTGCGGGGTCTGGGGCCCAGATTGCAATGGACAGGTCTCACAGACGATCGCTCTGTTTGTAAGCTCGCATCGCGATGATTGCCGGCGTCAGCGTTTGTCGGGTCGCATCTAAGCATCAAAAGCAAGCGCATAGCTAAGTGTCTTTGTAGGACCAGGACACTGGTGTATGAAACAGCACGTGTAGCAGTTTCACCGCTGCGCTGAGACTGCCTTGAACCTCCGACAATCGAAAGCAATCTCAGACAGTCGAAGACAGTGCCATGGGTGTCGCGTCATAGCATCAGCGATCTGCGGCGTATCCCCGCTTCCAGAAGGCGTGAATAAGCTGGACAATTCAAGGTTGATCGTTTGGTTTGGGTCGTCTGGTCGCATCGCAACCGCAAGAGATCAGCGACTCCTCACTTGCATCAACTGCCGCCCCGCGGCCAGGCGAAACCTTTTTTCTCTTATAGTTGCTTTTCCTCCATCTTCTCCGAAGCAATCTACCCGCCGTTCCTTGTTAAGCAGCGAGAATTATTACCGCGTTCTGTCATCCTGGATCCTTGTCCAACTTCAGCCCCAAAGGCTCGAGCGTGCATCGTAGCGGCATCAGAAAGAACCCCCCCCCTCACAACACGACGAGTGCATAATCTAGCCAGCCTTGGCTTCCGACACTCTTCTTCCTGCAACACGCCCGCCTATTCACACTCGCTATGCACGCGCGCCAAACATCGACTGAAGAACACCGTAACAAGAGAAAGTTCCAGCCGAGCATCACAAGCTATTTTGCAGTGCGAGACCAATTCGACGATAACGAAGATCTGCGGGGCCTAGATCCGATTACCCGCCCGCGACACCACAACAACACGAGACCGGCTCAACAGAGGGAGAGACTCACCCCCGACCTTCCCGGACACGTCCAGGCCGAGCTGCTGAGCGTAGGAATGAGGGTCAGGAAGAGCGTGCCGGAAGGCTACAAGACAAACAAGATGTCTGCACTACCCTCGATCCAAACCACAATGTGGAAGCCCACCTTTGACGTCAAACCCTCGCGCGAGGAAGTACCCGACGACTATGTACACCAGCGGGAGTTGTTGCCGTTCTGTGGCCTGCACAAGATTGGTGGCTACGCTGAACAGCCAACCACCAACCCACACCTCTACGGCGTCAACGGCTTGCGACCCAGGAACTCGTTTCCCCTCCCCGCCGAAGCATTCACCCAGCCCTTCACATCTCACTCGTACTCTCGCTCCTCCCCAGACAGTGGCTACTCTATGAGCCCCTCCCGCCCACACAATCCCTCGAAACGGTCATGGCAAGAAGAAGAGGACAAGCCATTGCAATCAAACTTCCTCTTTGCCATACCGACAACACGAGGTATGGGTATGGGTGTTGAGATTGACGAGGTACCCGTCAGCCCGCTCAGCGAGACGCCACGACAGGGACTCAACATGCAACCACCGGCCCGCCAGCTTGCGCAACCCAAGTCGCGGAGGGCGGTCCAGCGAACCATCAGTGACGACGACATCGACATGGACTTTGAAAACGCAACACACATGGAGGCCCGAGTCAGCGCAGGCAGTGGCAGTGATTTCGAAGACGCCGATTTTCTTTCTGGAGAAGTGACCATGGGCGACGTTTGATTTAGTGCCATGTCTTAATCTTCTGTGACAGCAATGACTTATGAAAAAAGGGCAGGCGGGCTTTCTGTTTCTCGTTTATACTTTGCTTCTCCTCCCCTCGTCGGCTGTTAGTTACCTTTTTATCCTTCTCCCTTTTTCATAACGCGCGCTTTTTTTCTCTACCTTGCCTTCATTGGCTGACGGCGCATCATGGGTTCATGAAGAGATGTTCATGTCGGCGCGTATACCCGGTTTTTTCTTTCTTTCTCGTCTTGGGTTGGGCTCCGGAGTTTGGGTTGCTTTTGTAGTGTATACCTTCGAATTAGACCACTTTTATGATAGCCTTCTTTTTGCCAGTTTACCTTCTTAACAATATCTATCTATGTACGTGGTCTCGATTGCCTGTCTTGATATGGTGTCATCAGAGTCCACTCCCTTAGAATGCTGCCACCTTTACTCAAACCTCAGATGCCACCCAGCTCTCGAATTTCGCTCTACTGTCGGCATCCACACCATTTTCGCATCACAATCAGAACCTTCATAAGACATCCACTTTCATACTAACTGTCCAGTGCTGTTCAAAACGTCAAGTTGCAGAATAACAAATCACAACAGAAGACGATACAACGCGTGAGAATATTTGGTGCAACATCAGGGCGACAGAACATCAGGCCGTGATCTACATTACTGCTTCCAGCATTGCATGGAGTGCATCTTCCTAGTAACGCCTACGCTATGCATATATATACGTGTCAATACCTTGGAACCCCTTACCATATCTTACAAAACTCCCTGCATGTCGTTTCATACCCGGCGATCACGACGTCGACTTTGTCAGCACAAAGCCGACATTGCACTCAGGCTCCCTCAGCACTTCGAGGAAAACATCGTCATCAATGACTACGGCCATGTTGTCCACAATGTCGTCCACGTTCTCGTCACCTTCCTTCTTCGTTGTTTCCTTGAGGATCTTCGTGTCGATGTGGCGGTACTCCATCAGCATCCTCAACTTGGGTAGTTTGGCAGCCCTCCTGGCCCGGATCTTGGCTTCTTGTTCCTCCATGTTGACTTGACTCGCTTTCGTTAGTGTCGGGTAAAGATCTTCCTCCGAGTCTTCAATATCATCTTCATCATCCGAGACCAATTCTTCAGCGTCAACCTTGACTTCCGCTGTGCCCTGGCCGCCACACGTACAGCCTGAAATGTCATGTGTCTGACAGCCATCACGCTCATCAAGGCGAAATAAGTCCCTCAGTTCCTCCTGCGAAAATGACGATGCAGAAGCCTTGTTATCAACCACGGCATTCGCAAGCCCCATCTTCATGATTTGACGTTGGTAGATCTTCTCGTCTAGACCGCCTTGTACCAGAAACCTGTACACTTTGCATGGCAGCTTCTGACCGTCACGATGGATACGAGCCATGGCCTGCAGATCTGTAGCCGGGTTCCAATCAATATCGAAGAGTACAATGCGCGATGCGCCGATAAGATTGAGACCTACGCCTCCAGATTTGGCGGATAGGAGGAATGCAAAGGATGTGGTCTTTGGGGTCTTGTTGAACTTTTCCACCAGTGCTTGACGTTTTGAGGCAGGAGTACTACCATCAAGACGGAGGTAGGTGTACGATAGTGATACTAGGAGGCGCTCGATCATGTCAAGAGTGGTAGTATAGTTCGAGACGATGACAATCTTCTCCTCGGTAGTGGTGTAGATCCGATGTACGAGGCTGTCGAGCAGTCGCAGCTTGGCGCTTGAAGCACTTGAATTGAGGATGTTGTTCGGGATGAGCGGGAGGATGCTTTGAAGCATCTCCGATGGCGTGTCATCATTGTCCTTTGATGATTTAAGCAAGGAGGGGCTGTTGCAGATCTTCTTCAGTACGTTGATGAGCTGTAATGCGATGTCTGAGCTTCCCATGGCCAGCCTAAATGTCGGAGAATCGAGAACTGCGCGGTAGGCCTCGGCCTGGCCCTTGGTCGGCCTGCAAAAGACGATATGCTCCGTTTTTGGTGGTAGGTACTTGGAAAGCACTTCTGCCGTGCGTCGGATCATGAACTGACTTGTAAGGGAAACGAGTTCTTTCCATCGCGCCTCGCCTTTCTCCAAATCAGACTCGCTCGCATCTGGCTGACGACTGCGAATGATGGGTGCTTCAAATGTCCGCTTGAAAGCGGCGCGTTGTCCCAAGAGACCAGGATTAACAAAGTCGATAGCTGTGTAGAACTCGCCCAGATCGTTCTGTAGAGGAGTACCAGACAAGATGATGCGTCGCTCAGTGTTCAGGGACTGAATAGCAAGCATGGCCTTGTTGTTAGCCGTCTTCAGCCTATGACCCTCATCTGCAATAACGATATCAACACCACTACCCCTCTTTAGCTCTTCTTGGTAAACTCGCAGCATCTCGTACCCGACAATCAAGATATTGTAAGACTTGCCCATGGTAAAGTTGGCAATCTTCTTGTTCTTTGCATCCAGCACGTAAACACCTATCCTTTCATTGCCAAGCCACTTTTTGAACTCGCGTTTCCAGTTATCAACCAGACCAGCGGGGCAGACGATGAGGGCTTTTTTGATGACGGGAGAAGCGCCATGGATCGGATTCTGCTTCATCAGCGTCCAGAGTAGCGCGATAGTCTGCAGTGTCTTTCCCAGGCCCATCTCGTCGGCCATGATGGCGCCTTCGCCCTCGCATCGCATGCCCATAACGCATTCATAGAGAAACTGAACGCCATCGCGCTGATGTTCACGGAGATGTTTGCTGAGAACGGGGTCTACGACTACGTCGACAATCTGCTTCCCTTTCGGACAAGAGTCAGGTCGCTTCATGATTAGGGCATTCGGTGCGTGTGGATCGTGACGGGGTTGTGGTATTGAAGGGTTACGCTGAGGTATGACCGTGTTAGACAACAGAGGCGCTTTGAATAGCTGATTGCGTTGCGCGGAGGGCTTGTACTCTGGCACGTTTTCGCCATCATCAGCAGCAATGCTTTTCCTGTTGGCCTTTGATTTAGCGGATGATAGAGGCTTGTATCCCGGTTCGACGCGCTTTGACTGCTCTATCGGTGCAGGCACAGCGGTGCCCAGAAACATGCGTCCAGCAAGATAATCCGCCTTGTCAATGGAGCCCTCGACCTCAAGCTCTTTTCCACCCAGAGAGAGCGTTGAGCCCGGAAGAAGCGGTCGAGTGCACGCTCCTTTGCCCAGCTCCTTCCCAGTATCGCTATCCGTGAGGGTGGCATGGCCACCTACCACAGCGAGCACGCCGTCACCGTCCCATGTCTTGTTCTTCTTGGTTGTGTACTTTCTCCACAAAACCTTGTAGTAGTTCCCTTCCAGGCCTGGGGGCAGAAATTGTGCCGGCGCGGGGTTATTCAGCGTATTGAGGGGCTGTCGGCTTCCCGAAGAAAGTGCGTTGGATGAGATGCGTCGCTTCTTGTTGGCTGGCTCGCCGTTCCCAGTGTGATGGCGCGTGAGTGTCAGAGGCCGAAATGGCTTCATGATCTCGGAGGTTGAGGGGTGGGCGGCGTTATGTACAGTGTAGAGCAGCGGATTGCCGTCGAGGTTTCGTGATGGAGAACGTTGAGGCGACGCGCCGGGACGCGGTCGTGCGCTGTCACGTGATTACGCATCACAACCCATATACATATACGAGTATGTAGGCACTCATGTAGACGCATATGGAATGATTTGGATATTTCCAATAGTTCATGAGTAAGCACAATGAGACATAATTTTAGGAAAAATCATGTTTACAGTTTATACACGGATGCAGCGCTTCACTCTAAGCATCAGCATTGATCGTTCGCATAGGTAATGAAGTGAACATCACTCTTCAATTTTCTTGAAGAAGGCATGGCGAAATAATGATGAACTCCATGTATTGCTCTATGTCCACATTCGGGTCGACATGGTGGCCTTGAGGCGGTCACTTCTGCAACCATCCTATAGCTTCCCATGCCATTTTGGTTTGCAGAGTAATGTGGTCAAGACCGGGAACCTCGAGGAACTCGATGTTCGTCTTACGAAGATTGACCAAATCTGCAGTAGCTTTGGCAGCATCTGCTGACGTATTCAAGTCCAGGCTCCCATGGTACCACCTTATGGGGTTTGCGTTGATGTTCTGCAAGTCAAATGCCATGGTCGATTGCAAAGTCTCAGATCATTGTTGTATCCTTTACTGCCCTGCCACGCGATTTCTCTGATAGATAGAATCTCTTTCTGCTGCTTTTTACGGTCTCCTTTGGCTTTGTGAATCCTATACACTAATTCGGCATCGAAATTATATTCCAACGACCAAAATGGTACCCAGGCTACAAGCCAGCCTTGTATCTTCCATTTGATCCGTAGGGAAGTTTTGGCAAAGTCTGGATGCGTTGAGCCGCACATGGTGACTGTTTTTACTAGCCTGTTTTTGTCGAAGTGATACGCAGCAGCAAGTGCGTATGGACCGCCTCCGCTCACCGAGTAGATTCTGAACTTTTCAACTCCCAGGTAGTTGAGCAGATACTCAACGTCACACATAAATGCCGGGATTCCCCTGTCGTGAACGGTCGAGTAGCCATAGCCGGGGCGATCAATGACAACGAGGCGGATGCCATTATTCGCGGCATAATCGACTATCGAGCGGTACTCAAGCCGACCACCCGGTGTGCCATGGAACACGACCCATACTTATCCCAGCTCTCTATTCCTACCAATTCGCGCGTAACTCAATTTACCTCCTGAGGGTAGTGGAAGTATACAGCTGTCATTGGGCCACAAAACACCTGGTAAGGTGGTGTGCTTGACTTGGTCGCGATTGGAAAGAGTGGAGCTGTTCTGCGCTGACCGGCTGGAAATTGAGGGTGATTTCGTTATGCTTGCGGTGGATACATATCGAAATTTGGTGTATTGTCCAGTAAGTATGCCTTGGAATAGTAGTGTTCGACACACACTACTGATAGCTCTGGCGCTGGCTTGCATGGTTCGTGACGGTTGGCCCCACTCGCCAACTACTCTAACGGCCTTGAGAAGTGATGTCTCGCAGTCGAGATGAAGTTGACAGAAGAAACGTTCAAAAAGTAAAAGGCATTTGGAGACGGCGGGAAATACCTGGGGCAGGTTTATATAAGTGACCCAGGGACAGGAAACATGTGCATCGAAGAGCATGCTCTTGTGGCACGAGCGGCACAAGTCCCGACCACGGCTTTGGTCTCCGCTGAATCCTTCTCAACATTGATCTGTCACTTTGGATAACTACAAAGGTTTTCGGGGTTACGACATTCTACCTATCCTTTCGTGTGAGAGTTACTGATTATTCTCTTGCACAGTGTAGTTGTCTCGATTGAGGAGATTGTGGCATACCAGCGTTGTGTTCCGCAGACGACATCCTACTGACAGATGTACCTTGTATGCACGATGCCAGATCCCCACCACTATGGCGCTGATCACGGGCCAAGATGCCGCATCATGCATACTTCAGCTGTGCTTTGCATTCGGCGCGACTAGTGTGGCCCAAGGGCAGTGCTGGCAGAAGAGGGCATCGTTGAAGCCAAGACGGTGTTACAAAGGACCTCAAGGTGGGGAGCGGGATCCGATTTGTTAGCCAATCACGTCGAAGCAACCACAGCTTCTGGGGGTCATGGTTACACAAAGCGCGTAGAATGACAGCAAGAATTTGGGCTTGCATTAGAGCGCCTTTTTAACTTTAAAAAGTCGTCGATTTGTTAATAGGTCTGCCTGAAGGTTAAGTGGTTCCGATTCCGACACGGTGTTGCGATGTAGTATGCACGCTCAGTCTTGAGCAGCACTGGAGAACTCTCCCTGATAATACTGCGTGGTGGTCAGTATGTGTCCATCAAACAGGTACCCGGCGCCTGACTTTCAAGAAGGCCACACTTACCTCGGACACGTTCTTCGCCAGCTTGGTATCGCGCAACTTTGACTTTGCGTTTGGTATCTTCCAGTTGTTGACCCCCCACCACCATCTCCGTATCCGCGCACCGACACCATGTCCGCTGAACTTGGCTGAGCGGTTCCAGTGCCGCCATCCGTTGAGAAGGAGAGTCCACAGCACGCCCTGGGCAAAGCACATTATGACCTGGGGCTGTCAATGACAATCTTGTCCTAGCGCAGTCGGCGCTTCATATCATACCTGATCCCGCAATGTGATCCATAACACACCTTGCCAGCCCTCTGCCTGCTCAATGCTCTTTAGATAACTTTGCTCGAACCGCAGGTCTGGCAGCGGAGGCATAGTATTCTTGCGCGGCACAGCATCTAATACGCTCACGGGGATCTCATCTTCGCCGACGTCTTCGCCGTTGGGGTCTGGGTGTCGGTTGAGGGTAACTGGCTGCTTCTCCGAGGCGGCCGTCGATGGGTTCGCGTCGTGTTGTACTGAGGGGTGCCGATTGATGGACGCGCTTTGTAGTATTGAGCCTACTTCGGCTGCTATATCCTCGGCCATCAGGTCTGACTCGTTTCTTTCCCAGTCTTGGCGTATGTGAAGGGCGAGTTGGGGATGATGTCGCAATTGAATCTACAGCTACAGCCTTGGCGGTTGACGTCGGGGGAGGGAGCGGAGCGGTGCCAGCCTCTAGCGCAATTGGACCCTTAGCCCAAGCAACGCAACAAGGCCTCTCCCAGCGCTCCAGCTCCGACGGCGACGGACAAGGCACCACAAGACAGACCTTCACCCGCCACCACCCCAATCCTCACCACAGATAAACCGCCAATATGGGTAATCAACAGTCAGGCCTGCTCGACAACATAGCCTCCGGTTCGAATTGTACGTGACTGCCCACGGACGAGATAGCAGGCCTGCTTGCCTGTGTGAGGGCCTGCGGGGCAAGGAAATGCTTGCTAACGGCATGCAGTCGACCGCGAGGAAGTAGACCGCCTGCGAAAGCGTTTTATGAAGTTGGACAAGGTGCGCGACCAAGGCTGTACAGAGGTCCCATCGAGTTTCGCTAACACCGACCCAGGACAACTCCGGTACCATTGAGCGCGACGAGTTCCTAGCCCTTCCCCAAATCTCCTCCAACCCTCTTGCAACACGCATGATCGCCATCTTCGACGAGGATGGTGGCGGCGACGTCGACTTTCAAGAATTCGTCTCTGGCCTCTCAGCCTTCAGTAGCAAGGGCAACAAAGAGGAGAAGCTACGGTTCGCATTCCGCGTATACGACATTGACCGCGACGGCTACATCAGCAACGGCGAGCTCTTCATAGTACTGAAGATGATGGTTGGAAGCAACTTGAAGGATCAACAGCTGCAGCAGGTGCGTATACATGCGACATGCGACAGGCACAGCATAACACCTTGAACCATGGCTAACTTCTACCGTAGATTGTCGACAAGACCATAATGGAGGCCGACCTGGACCGCGACGGCAAAATTAGTTTCGAGGAGTTCACCAAGATGGTCGAGAACACGGATGTATCTATGAGCATGACTTTGGACCAGTTCTAGTTATTACCCAATTACGAATGCAACGGCATCTACAGGCACGAGGGTTTCCTTGGCGGGGCGTTCATGGTGTTGCGGGCACACTGTGGAATGGGCTTGACAGTCTTCGATATTATCAATTCGCGATTGATTCACCTCATCACGTATACATGAGGGTTGCGTACCTTGCCCAAGGGGGGGTTCCACCAATCGACCCAAGCATAACTCGGCACTGCTGCTCTATCATTCTTCATACCTAACCTTCGCAGGGCCCCACCCTCTACTTGTTTTCCATCCCCTATCACCTGCAGGCCGCTGATCGATATACTCTCTCAAACATATACATCATATCAGCCCATCTACATGTCCCACCTATTAAAAGCCCCTCTTGAACCCAGGCATCCCACAAGCAGCATACATTGCAATAAACAAATGTATTCCAGCCGCCACGCAAAGCGCCGCACCCTCCCAGCTCCCCGCCTGAATTATCACCTCTCCTTCCCCACCACCAACCGCCTGATGCCCCAGCAAAATACCTATCTCATGCAGTGCCTTTGCACTCGTCAACGCACACAGCGCACCCGCCACACCCAGCGCGGCACTTGTCGCCAACAGCATCTTGGACGCTTTCGCATTTCTGCCGCCGCGATTATGGAAAATGCAATAGTAGACCAGCGAGACTAGGTACATAGGTGCGGCGAGCCCAGGTATCGGAATCAAAGAAGACTTTTGGAGAATCAGTGCCGATGCGAAAACAGGGTGCGACATTGATATATCAGAGAGACCCAGTGGTGAATCACTAGGGAAACATTCCAGTGCTGCGGGAACGGCGTCTTCGCTTGGTTTCGTGATATTTGGGGGGAAGGAGGCACAGAGTCCTGCGTGATATCATGTCAGCATGGTCACACGCACATCTTCAACATCCAGCCCATGACAAGCATTCAATCCGCTCGTTTCCTTGGAGTAGCGCATACATACCATAATACCCTATTCTTACATCAACAGGCGGCTGTCCAGCAGTCCCATTTTGCGATATCCGCACCCAGTATAAATTCTCTATTCCTGCGCCTTTGCTGATGCAGTCCAGGAGTTTGAAGAGATAGATTAGGAGCGCGATGAAGGTCAAGAGGCTGATGAAGAAGGTTTTGGTGAAGATGCGATGTCTGAAAAAGTTGAGCACGAGGAAGGGCAGCATAGTGGTGGTGGCCTCCTGGGCGTAGATGTGGAAAACGATGTAGTAGATACAGAATTTGGAGTGCGCGACGAACTACGTAGCAGGGTATGAAGGAAAGGAGAGGACGCTGAGGAGCGAGTATTTATGAGGTGGATGCATCACGGATTTGGTGGTGATGGGGGGATTCCAGGGGTGGGTGTGAAGGTTGGTAGGTTATGGGTGCTTTGAATGCTACTAACGTCCCTCCCTGAGTGCTGGGACACCCGCCGTACTAGGACAAATAAGGGGTACTTTGACTTTCAGTACTTCGCTTTGTTCGCACACCCTAATAATCGCTGTAAGTTTGTATTAGCAATATACTAACGTGGATGGCAAGCGAGTGGGCCAGGCAAGCGAGTGGGCCACCCCACCAACTTTTTGCATCTACCTAACTTCAATCAATTATGGCTCCACCAAAACAATCCCAAAACCCTTCTTATGAAGCTGATATACAGCTAGCTATCTCAGCTACTACCCGAAACCAGCTCCAGTCTAATAGAGACGCTGCGCGGACATTTGAAGTCGCCCGAATGACACTCACGCGCCGACGCGCTGGTATACCTGCACGACGCGATTGCCAGCCTAACTCAAGGAAGCTTACCCAGAGAGAAGAGGAGGTGATTATTAGCTATATACTTCACCTAGATCAGCGCGGGTTTGCGCCTACCTACGCAGCTGCACGCGATATGGCTGATAAGCTGCTGGCTGCGCGCGGCGCTGGCCAGGTTGGGCAGAAGTGGCCAGCCAACTTTGTTAAGCGTACAGACAGTCTTCGGACGTGTTTCAACCGAGCGTACGATAGGCAGAGAGCTATGTGTGAGGATGCGACATTAATAAAGAGGTGGTTTAAGCTTGTAGAAGAGATAAAGGCTGAGCAGGGTATCTGCGATGAGGATGTCTACAACTTTGATGAAGCTGGCTTTATGATGGGCAAGATTACAACGCAGCTGGTTATAACAGGATCAGAGAGAAGAGGCCGGCGGAAGAGTATTCAGCCAGGCAATCGCGAGTGGGTAACGCTGATTGCTGCCATCAGCGCTGGTGGCTGGTCAGTGCCACCGTTCCTCATCTTCGCTGGTCAGTACCACCTATCAGCGTGGTATGAGGAGGATATCCCACGCGACTGGGCGATCGCAGTCAGCGATAATGGCTGGACGAATAATGAGCTTGGAGTTGAGTGGCTAAAGCACTTCAACGCTCACACGCAGGCTCGTACTATAGGCGCGCGTCGCCTGCTTATTATTGATGGCCATAGGAGCCACCAATCTCTAGAGTTCCAGGAGCTCTGTAAGGAGAACAATATCCATACGCTCTGTATGCCTCCTCACTCATCTCACCTACTCCAGCCACTTGATGTTGGCTGCTTCTCGCCATTAAAGCGCGCGTATAGCCGTGAGGTGGAGAGCCTCATGCGCAACCACATCAACCACATCACCAAGCTAGAGTTTCTGCCTGCGTTTAAGGCTGCGTTTGATCGAGCGTTCACGCCAGCTAATATCTACTCAGCCTTCCGCGGCGCAGGCCTTGTTCCTCTACAACCAGAGGCTGTTCTATCAAAGCTAGATGTACAGCTGCGTACACCTACTCCTCCAGCAGCTCTACCAGATGCTCCCTGGGTAGCTCAAACGCCGAGCAACGCGCGTGAGCTTGAGGCTCAGTCAAGCCTTATACGTGAGCGCGTGCGCCAGCATAAGAGCTCATCACCAGCTTCGATCATTGAGGCGATTGACCAGCTGAAGAAGGGCGCTGAGGTGATGATGCTGTCTGCTGAGCTGATGCGCGATCGGATCTCTAGTCTTGAGAAGGCTAACAGCGCAGCCTCAGCGCGTAGGCAGCGCTCTAAAAGGCGTATACAGAAGCATGGAGTACTCACAAAGGGAGCTGGAGAGGATATACTAGCTCAAAATGAGGCTGACCAGCAGATTGCTCATGAAGAGCGTCAAGGAGGAGCGCGATCAGGCCTTAGCCAGCGCGCTCAAAGGCGCTGCACCAGGTGCAAGGAGACTGGGCACAACTCGCGCACATGCAACACTAATACTCTTAATATAGAGTAATCTACTGTATCAATATCTAGCAATAATATTATCGCGTTGTTGAGATAAGTCGCTTTGAAGTTACAAAAGTTGGTGGGGTGGCCCACTCGCTTGCCTGGCCCACTCGCTTGCCATCCACGTTAGAGCTGTTTATGCGCTTATCCTAATTCTCCTAACTAAAAATCACGTTGCTATTGCTACCCTTCTTGCGAATGTTACAAACGACCTTTATTGTGTGTATAATAGCGTGGCCCTGCTATCGCACTACTTAGAAGCTTTAACGACCCGCTACACGTACAGAAGAAGTGTATCTAGCCCTAAGAACCCCCTGTTAGCACGGGAAGCCACGATCAGCCTTGTGCTTGCTGTGGTGCCTAAAACTACGCAGGGTCGTCATGCGGATCGCTACTTCGGCTAGCGGTAAGGGACCCTGCACGCCTCACGTAATCATCTTTGATGTAATCTACTTTTGTGGCTAAAACATCTGTGGCTATGGAAGCGCTTAACCATATCTAACATAGCACATCTTGTCTAGCGCTCTACGGCTGGCCGAATTCTTCTTGAGCGTCCATACGCGTACATCGATGCCCGCTGACTATGGCCTCATCTGCTCCTGTTAGCCGAGCCAGCCTAGCGTATCTATATCCCACTTCCTTCACTGCCATATCTCGATGAGCCAAGGCAGAAGTACCTGCCCGTCCGTTGGCGTGGCTGAAGCATGCAGGCTGCTGAGCATGTTGCAGCCTCGCTCACAACCTAGGCTGCGCCTCCCATCCCGCGCATCCGCGACACAGCCTGTCGCCATCACCAACCTTCTGCGCGGCTGCTAAGTTCAATTCGAATCTAACACCCAAGTCGACGTACTCTGTCCGCCACCCCTACCAGCGACGACCATTGTCCTAACGAGCGGACGGGTCGCCATGCCCCATCGATCCTTCTGCCGCCATCGCTAGCCCTACAGCCTCCGTTCACGACGCGATGCGACTCTTACACTACACAGGTGGCGGCGAGCTTGCCTGGACAAAGGACTTGATCGGTGACGATAAGATCCCGTCCTACGCGATACTCTCTCATACCTGGGACGAGGGCCAAGAAGTAACCTTCGACGATCTGATGAAGAACAGCGGAAAGAGTAAGACAGGATACAACAAGATCCATTTTTGTGCATCACAGGCCAAGCGCGATGGTCTAGACTACTTCTGGATAGACACGTGCTGCATCGACAAGTCGAACAATGCAGAACTTTCGGAAGCGATCATTTCCATGTTTCGCTGGTACAAGAACGCAGAGAGGTGCTACGTGTATCTTTCTGATGTCTCTAGCAAGCCTCCCGGAGAAGGTAGCGATGCGCACAGGAAGCGGAAACCTGTGATTAGGAAGAGCAGGTGGTTTACGAGAGGCTGGACACTTCAAGAGCTTATCGCTCCAGCATCCGTTGAGTTTTTCTCCAAGGAAGGAGAGCGGCTTGGTGACAAAGAATCCCTGAAGCAGACTCTTCATGAGATCACTGGCATCACCATGCGAGCGCTTGAAGGCAGTCCAATGACTTGCTTTACTGTGGACGAACGGATGCAGTGGGCACAAGGACGCAACACAAAGTGCGAGGAGGACGAGGCGTACTCTCTTCTGGGCATCTTCGACGTCCAGATGCCGCTTCTGTATGGCGAGAAGCGGGAGAAGGCCTGGCACCGGTTGCGACGAGAGATTCGAGAGCATCACTCGATTGACTTGCCTGTTGTAACAGGCGCTTCTTTCGATTCGCATAACGAGGAACACAACGCACGATGCCTGCCCAACACCCGCACTGAGCTGCTGGACGCAATCACAACATGGGCGAATAACACGAGTGGCAAACCCATATTCTGGCTGAGCGGGATGGCCGGCACAGGGAAGTCTACGATTGCGCGGACGGTCGCTGAGTCGTTTTTCAGCCGCGGTCAGCTAGGAGCAAGCTTCTTCTTCAAGAGAGGTGAAGGCGAGCGCGGCAACGCTTCGCGTTTCTTCACTACCATCGCTACCGACTTAGTGGTGCACGAGCCAGGCATGCTAGCTGGGATTAAGAAGGCGCTTAATGAGGACTCGGCCATCTCACAGCGAGCTTTGAAAGACCAGTTTGAGAAGCTGGTGTTGCAGCCACTCCTCAGCATACGGCAGGCTCGTTCGCACGGCTTAGCGCGTGTTATTGTGATAGACGCGCTGGACGAATGCGAGCGAGAGGAAGACATTCGAGCCATTCTCCAGCTCCTTGCTAAGACAAAGCACGTCCAGCCAGTGCCGTTACGGATCGTGGTAACTAGCCGGCCCGAGCTCCACATTCGCCTTGGCTTTCAGGCGATGCCAAACGGCACATACCAAGACCTCGTCCTCCACGAAGTACCAAGGAACACGATCGAACACGACATCCGTCTGTTCCTAGAGCATGAGCTTGGTGTGATACGAAAAGAACGCATGTTAGCCTCAGACTGGCCAGCGCAACACCAGATCCTGGCGTTGGTCGAGCTAGCTGTGCCGCTGTTCATCTACGCTGCCACCGTGTGTCGGTATGTTGGTAGCAAAGGAAGCAGTCCTACAGCTTTTCTGAACAAGGTTTTGCAGTATCAAAAAGCGACCTTTTCGCAGCTAGATCGGACGTACCTCCCTGTGCTCGACCAGCTGCTTTGTGAGCAGGAGGAAGACGAGAAGGAAACGTGGCTTCAGGCTTTCCGAGAAGTGGTCGGCAGTGTTGTTGTTCTCGAAAGCCCGCTCTCTACTGTCTCACTTGCCCGGCTGCTTCAAGTTCCAAGAGAGGAGATCCAGTGCCGACTTGACTCTTTGCACTCTGTTCTTAGTGTTCCTGACAGCGAGGATGCGCCTGTTCGTCTTTTGCACTTGTCCTTTCGCGAGTTCCTCGTCGACCCCCAGAAACAGGGAAAGAGCCCGTTCTGGGTGGACGAGAAAAGCACGCACAAGAAGCTCGCCTTTAATTGCCTTAAGCTTATGTCTGGACCAAGCGGCCTACACCAAGATATGTGTAGCCTTCCAGGACCCGGGACCCTAAGAAGCGAGATTGACGAGGGGAGAATCACTAGTAGTTTGTCACCTGACCTGCAGTACGCGTGTCGTTACTGGGTCGATCATCTCAAGCAGGGTCAGCAAGATATCCTCGATAGAGACACGACCTACCTCTTTCTACAGCAGCACCTTCTTCATTGGCTCGAGGCCATGAGCCTTATAAGAGAATCCAGCAGATGCGTCGACTTGCTCGACAGCCTTCAGGCACTTGCCGGCGTAAGATCTCTACAAAACACCTTCCTACTGTGCTAACGTGCAACGCAGCCATCTGCAAAGCTAGTTTCAGGCTTTCTTTACGATGCTAAGCGGTTCGTGCTGCGGTTCCAATCTGTGCTTACAGATGCGCCACTGCAAATCTATTACTCCGCGCTAGTGTTCGCACCAGAGAGGAGCCTAACACGAAAAACTTTTGTAGATCAAGTGCCAGAAAGGGTCAAGATGCTGTCTACGAAAGAAACAGATTGGGACGAGTGTCGCAGCACGCTCGAGGGTCATTCTAAGTATGTCAACGCGGTGGCCTTCTCGCCAGATGGGCAGCTGGTCGCGTCGGCATCTAGCGACAAGACAGTACGGCTGTGGGAGGCGGCGACAGGGACGTGTCGCAGCACGCTCGAGGGCCATTCCCACCATGTCACGGCGGTGGCCTTCTCGCCAGACGGGCAGCTGGTCGCGTCGGCATCTAGCGACAAGACAGTACGGCTGTGGGAGGCGGCGACAGGGATGTGTCGCAGCACGCTCGAGGGCCATTCCGACCATGTCACGGCGGTGACCTTCTCGCCAGACGGGCAGCTGGTCACGTCGGCATCTGGCGACAAGACAGTACGGCTGTGGGAGGCGGCGACAGGGACGTGTCGCAGCACGCTCGAGGGCCATTCTTCTGTTGTCAACGTGGTGACCTTCTCGCCAGATGGGCAGCTTGTCGCGTCGGCATCTGGCGACAAGACAGTACGGCTGTGGGTGGCGGCGACAGGGACGTGTCGCAGCACGCTCGAGGGCCATTCTGACGATGTCACGGCGATGGCCTTCTCGCCAGACGGGCAGCTGGTCGCGTCGGCATCTAGCGACAAGACAGTACGGCTGTGGGAGGCGGCGACAGGGACGTGTCGCAGCACGCTCGAGGGCCATTCTGAGTATGTCAACGCGGTGGCCTTCTCGCCAGACGGGCAGCTGGTCGCGTCGGCATCTTACGATAGCACTGTACGGCTGTGGGAGGCGACGACAGGGATGTGTCGCAGCACGCTCGAGGGCCATTCCAGAGAAGTTAGGGTGGTGGCCTTCTCGCCAGACGGGCAGCTGGTCGCGTCGGCATCTTACGATAGCACAGTGCGGCTGTGGGAGGCGACGGCAGGGACGTGTCGCAGCACGCTCGAGGGCCATTCTTCTGTTGTCAACGCGGTGGCCTTCTCGCCAGACGGGCAGCTGGTCGCATCAGCATCTGGCGACAAGACAGTGCGGCTGTGGGTGGCAGCGACGAGGACGTGTCGCAGCACACTCGAGAGCCATTCTGACGATGTCACGGCGGTGGCCGTCTCGCCAGACAGGCAGCTGGTCGCGTCGGCATCTGGCGACAAGATAGTGCGGCTGTGGGAGGCGGCGACAGGGACGTGTCGCAGCACGCTCGAGGGCCATTCCTACTATGTCTGGGCGTTAGCTTTCTCGCCAGACGGGCAGCTGGTCGCATCAGCATCTGGCGACAAGACAGTATGGCTGTGGGAGGCGGCGACAGGGACGTGTCGCAGCAAGTTCGAAAGCCCTTCTGGGTACATCACTTATATTGATTTCTCGCCAGATGGCCAGGTACTTCACACGGATAAAGGCGATATTCCTTTGCCTCAAACCCCTTGTGTCACATCGCTCTTAAGGCCGCAGCAGCAGTCTTTCTACGTTGTAGTACAGGATCAGTGGATATTGTGCAACCAGCTACGTGCTCTGTGGCTTCCGCCAGAGTATCGAGCAAGGTCGACCGCTGTACGCGAGGACATAGCTTGTCTGGGGCTTGTATCTGGTCGTGTGGTTCTGCTAAAAATTCTTTAGCGCCATGCATCAATCATCAGCTTTTACGATAGGTACAGCTTAGAATTTACAGGATGCGATGAATGTTTGTTCAATATTGTAACGGGGTGAGGAGAGGAGGACTGCGTTGCATTGTGTAGCTATGGAGGAACTGCAGCTATATAGGTGTGTGTGATGATAAAGTGTGGTAGCGATAGCCGTACCTAGCTCTCACTCAAGTGGATCTTGGCAAGGCCTAAACCGTTACAAATATAACTATAAGTCATGCTGTTAGCAGTCTTCTTCGATGAGGTCCTAGCGTTAGAGTTCATAGGCTCGGACCGCCTGCTAGGGTTAAGCCACTGTTCCGACAACCGCTAGAAATAGATTACGCGACGATGATTACATCAGACATGTGGGGCCACGTAGCGCAAGCCGAGGTACCGATCACTACAGCGATTTTGTATAAACATAGGCGTCGCAGCCGCTACGAGGCTAGATATGGCTTACCGTGCTGTTATGTAGTCTCTAGGACTTAGTAACACTCTTTTGTAAGTACTGTAGACGCTAGGAGCTAATACATAGTGCTGCAGCGAAGCAACAATGTTATACACGAAAAGAGAACTGCTTGTAACTTTTACACAGAGGCGGTAATAGCAACGTAATTTTTAGATAGAAGGAGTGGGAGGTGTTTATAAATAGCCCTAATACATAACTAATAAAGGATTATAGCTACTATCAACATGTGCGTAGAAAGCGATCTGTTGAAAGTCAAAGTACCCCTCATTTGTCCCAGCACGGCGGGTGTCCCAGCACTCAGGGAGGGACATTAGGGACTGTGAGATATGAAGGAGATGTAATCTCAAGTATGAGAGACGTGAAACCGCTCAGGAGCCCATTGTTAAGATGCTGTTAGTATATGCTCTTCGGTTCAGTGCGAAGCAGCAACGATCAAGCCAGTCAGGCCAGACATCTAATCATAGATAGAAGTGAGTAAAAGAAAGTTGAGTTTGACATCACATTGAAAAGTTATGGATAGCACTGGAGAAGGACAGTTGGGCAACAATGCTCTTTATTTGACGCGAAACAAGGACATAACATAAATTGACAAAACAAAGAACCATGCTCAGCTACGCTTTGCATGGTATCAACTAAAGCCAAAAACTAACAATAACAGAGAATCAACTCACCACTCACGCCACCGAAAAGCGCTTGCTAGTACCCGTACTAGAAAGACCAAGCTTCGCCTTCATCGATGCCCAAGTGCTAGGCTCGGAAGACAGGCGACCCAAAAAGCGCTCAGCATCCACCTTGATCACCGAAAAGACCATGAGCATAGCGTTAGCACTAGTGAAAATGCTATGGAGCTTCCGACAAACCTCCTGCTCAGCAACACTACCAGTCCCAGACAAAGAAGTGTACAGGTCTTGGTAGTAGGACAAGTCCTGGCTAGCCGTAGTCATGAGAGAATCCAAATCCTGCGGCAGCGTAGCCATGGCAGCGGGATTGGGATTCGACAGTGTCTGGAACAGGCCCTGGAAGATCTGTAGCATGTCAAGGGTGCGGGCGTAGAAGTTGTCCAAAGGTGTGATCTCGCCCACAACGACATCGTAAAGCGTCTCCATCTTGTTCAACAAAAGGGTCTTGTCGTTGAGCAGTGCGGCAGAAGAGCAGTTCTCCGTCTCCAAAGAATCGATGAGGGTAGTGAAGGTTTCGTTGAACTGCTCGCTTTCCGTCTCAACCTGGGAAGAGTGGGAGAGCATGTCGGCAAGCTCGGCGTCCTTGGCTACAATCGTCTCTGCGTCTTGAGCGCGGAGCGCTTCGAAGACTTCAGCTGCACGTTGGTTCTCCTCTTGCAAGTTGCGAATGGTGGACTGTTGCTGCTCGATCTCGCGTTGAAGACGAACAATCTTCGCGGCCAGTTCATCAGAAGCGATCTGATCCCTGGCAGCCTTGTTGAAGTTTTGCTCAGCACGCTTTGCACGGCGTGTTGAGACTTCAGAAATCTCCTTCTGGAACTCGATCATGCGGTGCGCCACCTGGAGATCAACCTTGAGGGCCCTAAAGTCAGCCGGCTGGTCTTCAATCTCCTGCTCCTTCTCCTTAAGCTTGGCCAGCAACTCCTCGTTCTCCGCCTGCAGATCCTTCTCGTGTTTCTCCATCTCCCGGATGAATTCGCGTGCCGTCTTGAGCTCTGCAATGTCCTGGAAATGAACCCGCATTTCCTTTGGAATGATCTGCTCGATCTTATAGCCTTGCGCCTGCGCTCCGGCTAGGATCTGAGAAAGCTGCTTTTGCAAATCACCGAGGTTAGACATGATGATGGATGTGGTGATCTGCACTTGTCGAGTGGGTGGTGTGAGAAAGTGACATGGGAAGAGAAAGGACCCTTTAAATAGGGAGCGAAGTGAGAGATTGTGTTGACATTGTTTGTGAACAGCTATGATTCTTGATGCAAGAAAGATGGTGGTGTTATGTTAGGTTGGAACAGTGTCGTGCTTGTACAACGTACGCATCCGAGACTTACCGACTCAGGTCGTCAGTTTGCTGGTATACACTGGAGCGCGTAGTATGTAACCATTATGAGCGATATCTCACAATGTAGGAAACTAGACAGTATTTCAAGTGTCGGTAAAATCCATCGTGCATATAGAAACAAAGCCTACTCTTGACGTGTGCACACATTGTGAACTTGATTTAGCGCCCTTTTCCGGCTGATGTCCCTTCACTATCTATCCCAATTGACAGGATAGCGTAAATTGCTGACAGCAGGCTCGATAAGTTCCTTCGGCACCCACTCGCTCTGTCTCTCCTGAAACGCGTTCGCGACGAGATATGGTAGACGCGTGATATGCCCGCAGAATGGACGCGGCATAGAGATTTCGCGTACATATATGAGAGGATCAGGTAGACGCGATCTCCTCTGTATAAGCTGGATTTAATTTCGCGATCGTTGGTTCACTCCTGTTCCATCGCCGCGCTGTCGAGCAACAAGATAAAACGCGGGTGGCCTGGGACTCGCCATACATCTTCTTGCCAATGACCTGTTGCGATCTTTTCTCGCAGCGTGGGCGCCTGCTCAGGCCACGATGCCAACACACGAGGCGCATGTCTTATCAATGCGGCAATAATATCGCCTAGCTTCACTCCTTCGTCATTCTGTGTCAAGCGTCAAGGTTGGGGAGAATCATCATCTCGTATTAGAGCTATCGGGAAGAGGTCTATATACGCAGTGGGAGGAGAGAAGGAGCTAGGCCGTAAAGGTACTAGCGGGTAAATAGGTGGCTGCCTGGTTGCCCAAAGAGGAGCCAAGGGATAAGCCCTATGGCCGACATTCTGCAATCGCACAAGAAGCTCCTTGTTCGAAATTTTCAGGTATTCGCGGTCCTCATGTGGCAAGAAGGTTGTGTAGGCATTATGGTATATACCAACGACTCCACACGGAGGGTTTGCAAGGAACATTGGTCCCAAAAATTCGAAGGCCTTGGTGGAGACGAACGGATTGACCAGTAAAGATCCAGCAAGTTCTGATCGCAACGTCATCTCAATGCGTCCATTGACACACGCAAGCCATCTAGGGAAGAGGGCTGTAAAGTATGGGTTTATCTCAAATTGACCAAAGTCTAGCCAGTAGCGATTTGGGTGGTGTGACGTAGGTTCAATATGCACAATGCCGTATCTGTTTTCCATTGTTCCGTGCTGAGTGTCATCGAAGCTGTCCAATACCATAGAAAGAGCTGTTGGTAAGTTGGAAGCCTGGGTGTAATGAGCCGGAAAATACAGAGTCTTCCTTGCGACAAGCCGGTGTCGTCTACCATCGTCTTTGGTGGTACCACGATGGATGCGCTGCATGGATTGAGTGAGGGTGTTACTAAAAAGATCGACTTCCTCGCATGTTGATGGGTCCCAGATATCTGGATTACCATCAACGACAGTGTCATACTCAACAGGTCGGCGGGTAGCCGGTGAGTTCCAGAATCTGTGAAATAGGTGGCCTGTGATGATTGACGTAGCGGATTTACGCCATTCTTTGGACACAAACCAGGCCGAAATTTGTGCTTCAGCGTCCGCGAATTGGAGAATGTGGTCTAGAAGCTCCGGTATACGCAAGGCTTTGTAATTTGATGCGGGTACTGGTGTGGGCCTTGCCGGCTGGACCAACTCGTCTTGTGTATAGCGACTCGGCGAATATTTCGAGATCCGCTCGTTGACATGTCTTGTTGTATCTGATCTCCACCGAATGAGGGTTGCCTCCTCATCCTCCATATACGGCGGCTGTTTGATTGCGCGGTAATTGTATTTCTTCCAGGCACTGGCCATTTCTACGAGCCTGTGATGATACATGTCACTGCTTATTTCTCTGTCTGGATGGTGTACAGCGATAAGAACATCCGTAGTGTCTCCTCCATGCTTCTGAAGAGCTACATGAGTGCGGAGTTTTGCTTTTGTCGACTGCAATGCGGTGTCCTCGCAAAGCGTTGTTTAGCAGTAGAGGTCGAAAGCACAAGAGTCATGAGTTGGTAGTTGCTCATAGATTTGTAAGGTGCTAGATCGTGGAAGAATTGCTATATTTCCTTTAATATGTAAGCTCCCACTGGTGACTGAATTACAGGCAACATATGTTGTAAGCAAATAGGCACCTGCTCTCAGACTGGTTGTGCAATGTACTAAGGCGCTAATACAATCTCGGCCGTCTACTAGCGCAAATTCCATGGTTCCGGCGCACACAATGAGGCCATACGATAGTTAACGGCACCATCCACTCGGGAGGCTGACTGGGATGCTTCCATACCTTATATCAGAAACAGCGCTTACATGAGCAATATGCGCCGCCAAAAGACGCATGCACCAGGTCAAACAATTCATCACATCACTGCAAGACGAATAATCAGTACCAGAGTTCAACTCAATGATTGCTACTATTCAACCTTAAAACGTTGATCCGCCTTCTATCCTGATAAATAACAACCAAGGACAACTGCGACTTCAACCACATCGGATACTATAATTGGGACCACGAGGAGATCTCCGAGGCTCTTCTAGATAGCGCTATTGATAAAGATGATAGAGTTATTGGGCGAGCCTACACCAGACGGATAAGCAGGTTTGGGATGAGGAGAGAACTCTAGAATGTAGTCAGAGGGCATTTTAGAGAGTTGTTGGAGTCAAAGTAAATAGACATATATGATGGCATATGTATATACAATCCAGATGGATTACTATTTGACGAAGGCTCCATCACATGTATTGTAGGAAGTTGGATAGGCGGGGCTAGGGCTGGGTGAGAGAATATTCATGATTTCTAGCCGCTTGATAACGTCTATTGGCAATAGCGGTATCGGTTATTCGTTAGCGGTAACTTTGTGAAGTTGGTGTGGTGGTTTGCGTGGTTGGGTTTTGATGTGCCATGAAAGGATGCGGCGATCTGACTGTGGGGATGTGGCTAACACCATGGCGGGGTACCGTAGGATGGCGCGATGGGGGCTTGAACATGACGTCACATGCATTGTTTGCGATGGCGCAGTAACGTGTGAAGATGTGGCATATAGGTAAGAGTGCTTTCACTGCTCGTCGACTCTAGGCATGGTTTGCATCCTCTACTTCGTCTTTGCCCTCCATGCGGCGGCTTTAGGGGCGTCATGCGACGTGCAGCAGAGCTCTGCAGACGTCCTCGATGTCGACCCGCTCCAGAATCCTTATCCTTACGATTTCCCGCCTCGATATGCTGCTGGGACTTCGGCGTTGTTCGCTATGCCTACGTGTAGGGGTATCACCCTGGAAGAAGCCACGATCGATCAATTGCAGAAGTACCTAAGTGACCGCATACTTACATCCACTCAACTGTTGGAGTGCTATCTGAATCGAGCTCACCAAGTGGATGGATACATCAACTCTATCATCGAGCTGAACCCAGACGCGAATAAAATAGCTGCCACACTCGACGCTGAACGCGCAGCGGGTCGCGTTCGAGGGCCGTTGCATGGCATCCCATTCCTCGTCAAAGATAATATAGCCTCGAAAGACAGAATGGAAACGACCGCCGGAAGCTGGATGCTATTGGGAAGTGTAGTCCCTCGCGATGCATACGTCGTTGCGAAGCTGCGGGAAGCTGGTGCGCTTCTGATGGGCAAAGCAACCTTATCTGAATGGGCAGACATGCGATCAAACAATTATTCTGAAGGTTATTCGGCGCGTGGAGGTCAAGCGCGAAGTCCCTACAATCTGACCACGAACCCTGGTGGCAGCAGTTCGGGTAGTGCAGCGGCGGTCGCCGCCAATGTGGTATCGTTTTCCTTGGGTAAGTCGGCCCTGCGGCCTGCTTTCCATAGTTTCTAATCCTCTGCAGGGACTGAGACGGATGGAAGTGTCATAAACCCTGCTGAGCGTAACGCCTTGGTGGGTATCAAACCTACAGTTGGGCTTACATCTCGCGCTGGTGTAATACCGGAGAGCATCCATCAGGACACTGTGGGCACATTTGGACGTACACTTCGCGACGCTGCATACGCTTTTAATGCCATTTATGGAAGCGACCCGCGCGATAACTACACGCTTGCACAGGAAGGTAGAACTCCTACAGGAGGCTACATGCGATTCCTTACCGAAAAAACTACTTTGCAGAATGCCACATTTGGGTTGCCTTGGAGTAGCTTCTGGGTGTACGCCGATGAAGAACAGCAATCACAATTGCTGACGCTTATTGAACTGATTGAAAGTGCTGGCGGCACAGTAATAAACAAAACTGAGCTTCCCAATTACCAGAAGATCGTTTCACCGAATGGGTGGGACTGGGATTATGGCGGTACTCGTGGGTATGCTAACGAATCGGAGTACACTGTGGTCAAGGTTGACTTCTACAACAACATCAAAACGTACCTTGCCGAACTCGAGAATACGAACATCCGTAGTCTGGAAGATATTGTGGCTTATAACTACGCGAACGACGGCACTGAAGGTGGCAATCCCTGGCCTTTGGGTATAGCTGCGTTCTATTCGGGCCAAGACAGTTTCCTCGCGTCGCTGGAATCCAAGGGTGTAATGGATGAAACCTATTATGAAGCGCTGGAATTTGTCCAAAGAAGCACCCGAGAAGAAGGTATTGACGCAGCACTGGCAAATAACGGTCGCCCGCTTGATGCACTGCTTGTACCTCCAGATGTTGGTCAGACCTACCAAATTGCTGCGCAAGCTGGTTACCCGATGATCACTCTTCCAGCTGGTGTGCACTCGAGTACTGGTATGCCTTACGGGTTGGCGCTCATGGGAACAGCTTGGAGCGAAGCGAGCCTGCTGAAGTGGGCGAGCGCTATCGAAGACCTTCAGCTGAGTACCGCTGGCGCACTGAGGAGAACGCTGCCGTGTTGGTATGGGTACATGGAGAGGAACATTCCAGTGAGGAACGTGTAATCCGTGAAATACTCTTCTGGACTAGGAAGCCGATGAGGAACTTTATATAGAACACATTTGTTATCTTTAATTACACATCTTCTCCTGATAAATTGAGAAGCTCCTCTACCATGTGCTTATGCTTTCTTGGTCTCAATGAAAGAACCTCGGCCCCTTAGATATGACTAAGGCTACAGTCATTATAAGATACATAAACAAAAGAAGAGTCAGCTAACACTGCAGTAGGGAGGCAAATAGCGATTATAGATAAAGCACCTAAGAAAAAGCCGTAGCAATTAGTCTAAGAATAAACGCAGCATTTGTTATAAGCCTGTACCTAGGATCTCTTCCTTGGAATGATACCCGAGGAACCCACGACGAAATTATGGATTTACATGCTTCGTGCTCGCTGTCTTTACGCGTTTCTTATCAGATGGGTTTAACATATAATAGCAAAGGTAAACAAATCTATCCAGTGAACGTCTCTGATGTCTTGTAATAGAGTCTTTATGAGTGAATTCAACGTTCCCTCGGAAGAGACCAAATGGGACGTCGCGTCCTGTCTAGAGACGTAAAAACTTGGGTGTCAAACTCGACTGCACCGTAACAGAAAATATGGTATCAGACGAGATCTTCCGCATTACATACGCGATGCGCCAGAAAATACATCAAAACAACGACCGTGAAAAAGCCGATCTGGGCATCACCGCTAGCACCTTCGAGTCCCTGGGCTTCAAGCCGGACGCAGTCTTCCTCCAAATGATCACGGACTGCAACCAACGAACCTCGCCCGAAAGGACTTTTCCGCCCCAGACGAAGTCCCAGAAAACGTACGTATGATGCTGACGCGACGTCCAATGTTGATGCAGATGCCGAGCGGCATCCGTCGTTGGCGATACCACTCGCACATCTTTGGGCATGACGACTCCGATTTGTACACAGAAAAGGAGGAATATTACCTCGGCTACTCTTAGGAGGGACTGAAAGAAATGACAGCAATCCCGTGCTCCACATTCGCCAATCTACTAAAAGACCCAGACAATGGTTACGGGGACTTTATACCCTTATAATTTATGAGGAAGAAACGCCTGGGAGTACAAGGTCAGTGGAGTTGGAGCGGGATGTCACGTACTCTCTGTTCTGCATGACTGGAGGATGGTGACAGCGATGTCCCAAATAGAGCTCTAATACTAATACTTCGACGCATACGATAACAAGGAATAGGGACATGTTCTCGGGTGGTTGGGCTACTGGAAAGGATATTGCTATTAGGCTTAGAAACAGCTATAAGGTCATCTGGAGGAAACTTGGAAATAGGTATGATAGGAGGGTTGCGTTATAGCAGCCCGTCCAATATGTAGACAGCCAAAAAGGCGCCAAAGGAGCCTAGGATTGAGAAGCTGCTCCCTACACGTCTAAGTGATTGTTGCGAGCTTCCATTATAGTCGCTATATTCCGGGACTTCTTAGTTTCATGTCATGCTGATAATTAGCACATACCCAAGCTTATATAGCTTTATACCTCGATATTGTATCTTTTCTCTTTACTGTACAGACCATACCCTACTTTACTATTCGCCTCTTATCTCACCATCTAAACTGGTTACGTGTTCACTGACTGGAATCGTGTTTTTTGTACATGGTATGCCTACCTAGAAAAGGCTATCATCGCGAGCGACTCGTTGTACCTTAGTCACCGTATTCGATAACAACCTAGCCAGATTTAAACCCCCCTATGAAGTTCGATACAGAAAACTCCACACCCAACAGTCATGAACGAGGCCAAGCTAAGACAAGGCCAAGGCACGGGAAACCTCACCAAACCCAACACACACTAGCTCATCTCCGACCCTTTTCAAGGGCTCTCCCGGTCCACCCAACACCCGCCCACTGCCCGGGCATCCATACTCAGCCTCCCTGACGCTGATAACCCCATGTCGTCCTTCCGTTTAATCACCAGCTTAAATGCCGCATCCAAGACGCTAGACAGCACATACGTTGATCTTCAACCAATTTCATTTGAACCCCAACAACATATGACGTCATCGTCACATGACGACTACACAAAGGCCTTTGAGGGAAACTGAGCGGGATCAAGTTCACAGGACAAATTATGTAGGATATGTGGAGAAAAAATGACAAAAAAATGGTATCTCATCAAAAAGAACTCCATCCCCGTCCCATGTTGCCCGCTATAACCCCGCTTGAGTCAAATCCATGGAGTCCACCGCTCGCAGAAATATAAAACACAATTTTGGCATCGTAGGTATACTTGGATAGACACATTACCAGTCTCACCCTGTAGCATGATTGCCAGGCGCACCGCCGTCTCCTCCAAACTCACCGTTCCCAAAGTTACCATCGTTGAAGTAAAGCATCTCGTGCGGAAGGTACTCAAGGTCCCAAGGCATCATGTCGGCTCCGAGCAGAGACATGTCAACATCCTGGGTATCGATGACCATGTCGCCGAACGTGTTGTCCGACGGGGTATTGAATGTGGTAAAGGTAGGCGAGAACTCGGTCTGGGGTGAAGGCTGTATATGTGACGTACGGCGCGTGTACGATGTTGGGTTTTGCATCGGTGCTCTTATAGCGGTCGGCGAGCCACCCGAGAATGGTGAATGAAGGTTCAAGAGGAGATCGGCATCTGAGACGAGTACAGGATCTGGTGCGGGCATGTTGCTGAAAGCTTGGTTAGGTGGTGGCGGAGGCATACATGCTGAACTGAATTGTGTGAAAGTGGATGGCGCTGGGGGTGGTTGTGACTCGAACTTGATCTGCGGCTCAGATATGACCGATGTGATAGAGGCCTGTGTGCTTGCTGGAGGTTGTTTGGGCGGTGCGGGTTTTGTACTTCGACTCTCGCCATTTTCGGATGTATACATGACGGCGACATTGGTAGATGGTGAGTTCATTGTGCCAGTGAGTGACCATCCGATAGCTATGAGCCTATTAGTAATTGTATCGACTCTGTGAAGCAAACGTACCTTGACTGGGATGCACCATGGGCGACCCGGGCACATTTGGCGTTCTTGCACCTTTTCTAATGGCAGCAGCCATTTTTGCAACGTCGCCATCTGAGTTTTGTGCAGTTAAGTACGTGCCCCAACTGAGCTTTCTTCTCCAGCCAGGGCTAGTGAATGAGGGTTCCGGTCTGGGAGCTTCCAACGCACTCTCCATCTCTTCTGCTGTGTAGAGAAGCGGTTCGCCTACGCCTTTTGCTTTTTGATCCAACACAGTCATGATGTATTTGACTCCCGCCCAATATGTCTCCAGTGCCTTGAGCGCGCGGTAACAGCGTTGATAGTTTTGATTGGCGGCAGATGCTAGCAGTGTATGTTTGGCAGCGCTCTGTTTCTGCTCCCGGTCGTTGACAGTATTGAGACGATCGAGGGATTGGCTGGTAGCCGCTTTCTGACTACCATTCTCGCCATTTTGAGCAGGACTAGCGGGCCGAGATTGAGGTTGCGACGAAGCCGAATGGATTGCGGTCTCTTTGAGAAATGCGCATGCAGCAATATATATGGGTTGACTAGAGATCGGTTAGATAGACTGACATGGCAAGTAAAATATGGCTGATCATACCTGGTGAACGGATTGCCTATTCCAGTCTTCACATCAATCAACTCCGTGAAGGCTAAAATATCCGCAACGGTCTTTGCGGAAGACATGGAGAGCTCTCTGCTATTGGAAGACAGTGACTGTGGGGTTCCTTCAAAGGTCCTGAGGAGTGTAGGTTGATGTAACAGGACTATTAGCGTGTGAAACCAGCAATGTAATAACAGAAAGTTTGTGCCTTGGTTAAGCTTGACGTATTGCTGGAAGTTCACGGCATTGAAGTGTAGCTTTGGCGACAGGTTCTGGTAGATGCTTGTCAATCGGTCTTCCCAAGCCCCTAGTTGCTTGTGCAGGTCCGTCGTAACATCTGCAGGACTCCTGATCCGGTTGAGGAGATCGGTTACACGACCGTAGAGATGTATGACGCGAATCAATGCAGGATAGGGTAGTGGCCACCCCGAAGAATCGACTTCATCCAGAGATGGAAAGGTGATTTCGATATCGCGATCACGTAGAGTGACTGGGCGTCCTGTTCCCGAGGAAATGACACGGTCCAGGAAGAATATCGACCAGAAGGTATCTAATCTTTCACGCTCGGCGGCCCGTTGCTCTTGTTCTTCCGCACTCATCCCGTGCGTCTCTTGCGATGTAGTCTGTTCAGCCGGCCGCCCACCTTCGGGATCGCTCTTGACAGAACTCGGCGTAGGGCCATGCCGACCTTCGTACTTTAGACCACCAATGGATTGCATACCCAAATCTTGCGCCATCCGGATGGCAATTCCTAGATACATCCACAGTCCACTATCACGGCTTGCGCCGAACTCGTCGTACGCAAGAAGCAGCGCAGCCTGGACTACGGCCACACTGGGACATGGGAAGGCATCCGGAATGGCAGACTTGGCTCGCTGTGCAAATGCTTGGCCATAGTCTGAAGGCTGAACCTTTTGAGAATCAGTCTCACTATCCTTTTGCTGCTCGCCGTTGCCAGTCAGCATTGGATGTGTTGAGAAGCGGGCCGCCAACGCACAAACAGCATCTACAAGTATCGCATCTACCTGCTTCTCTTCCAGGTCGCGCAGGAAGCGCTCTCGCTGCAGAAATGGAAATGAGCAGCCTAGGTGGATGAAGAAGAGCTTGCAAAGATGGGTTATGAGTGGACTGGGGGACATTGATGAAGCGTCGTATATGGGTATTTCCAATGGCGTACGGGCTTCAGTTGTAGGCGGCGAACCCACGGATGGCTGTGCTGGTGAAGATTCAACAACATATTCTACCCATTGTCAGCAGGTGCCTACTATACTAAAGCTGTACATACGATCTGACGTGGTCTGAGCACTCCCAGGCTGCTTTCCGCGCACCTTGACGACCATCTGCCTCAGTCCAGGTACGATGGCTGTCGGCCCAAAGTACCTGAAGTATGGCATCCTATTCCGCGTGTTCAAGCTTAGGCCCGAACTACCGGTAGTGAGGTCCGTCTTTGGCGAGATGTTGATGTTGCTCGAGTCAGAGTTCTGTGAGATAGTATGCGGAAGGCGCGGTCGTGTGAGCTGCGGGTCGATGGGGGGCTCTGGTGGCCGGGAAGGGGCGCCAGTAGAGACGGTACTCTCTCTTCTTGGAGTCTTCTTGCCATCCTTTTGCGCATCGGCTGCGCTGCTGTCGTCTCCATAGCCGGCGCATTCGTGTTTGTTTTGGGTGCAGGTCCCGCACACCGGACGTTCACCTACTCGGGAATTAGCACACAAGCTGGGGCCTGTACACGGCGGGGCGCACCTGAACAGCGCGTCTTCTTCTTTCTACACGTCAAGCATGCCGAATTGATGCGACGGCGCTTTGCATAGGGACCATCATGGTTGGTGACGAAACGAATGGGCTTCGGCTGGGGCACAGCAGCATTCGCAGAAGCCGTCGGGTCGGCTCCTTGATTCATTAAAAGCAGCGTGTGATGTCAGAGGCAATTGGAAATGCCCGCATCCAAGGCGAAAGTGATGATGCAGGGAGAGTAGATTTGAGTGGGGTAGCAACAGCGAGATGCGCGTCGATCACGAGCCAGACCAGACGGTGGAGAACATGCAGAGGGACGAGATGCTGTGGAGAAGCAGACGCATGTTCAGCGACGCCAGTGCAGTACAAGGTGATCGGCGAGGCGCTCCGACGACTTGCAAGTACCCGGGGGAAGGGTGTTGACGGCAGACGGCAGACGGCAGACGCAGGACGCAGCAGCAGGACGGGAGCGCGCGGTGGTGCGGAGCGGAGAACCCCAGATTTAGTTGGAGACGCTAACGTGTCCGTGCGCGTGATGCGCGGATTCGCGTGATGCGCGGGGAACACCATATCCACTACTTCAAAAATGAAGCTATTAAGCCACGTATATAAGCTGTTATTATACGAATTTATAGAGGGGGAGTAATTAGATGCTTGCGATCAACTTGTACTATCTATATTTTGATGGGAGGTTGACGTTGCGGCCACGTGATGTGAGCTTTGATGGAGGAGCTGGAGGCTCTTCTTGAACTTGAGCACCAGCGCGAGCAGCCTCAACGCGTTTTTGACGCTTGTTGTTCGATGAGGTAGCTGCTGAAGCTCTCCTCTTTCCCTTTTGGGGTAGTTGTATAGCTTTAGCAGCGTCTCTCTCCTCCTTCTGGCGCGCGCGTTCAGCTGCTTTCTCAGCTCGCTCAAGCTCCCTCATCTCCTTGAGTCTCTGCCTCTCCACACGCCTCTCCTCGAGCTCATCTTGACGCTGCAGTCGAGCCTCCTCGCGCTGCTTCTTGGACCGTGCTTTTTGGAGTTTCTCCTCCGTCTCATCTCGCTCCCGTACTGCTTCTCTAGCTCGAGCCTCACGCAGCTTGCGAGGAGACCAGAAGACAGAGCCACCGTGATACTCCTGGCGCTGTTGAAGGTCAAGAGCTTTGCCCTTCTTCCTGTGCTTCTTTTTATGTTGAAGAGCCTCCTTTAAGCCCTCGTTCTCATGCTTTAAAAGCTCATACTGCACAGAGAGATGGTGAACGCTTGAGCGCAGCTTTCTTGCCTCATACTGATGGCTATCATTAACAGCAGCTCGTACTAGCCGATCGAGCTTTCTCCAGTCATGATCAGAGAGCCCTGACGATGAGCTTCTCTCAGCTTCTGGCGTGCTAGCAAATCTACGAAGGATAACGTTGGCATCCATCGGCCAGATCCCAGTGGCTTCGAAGGCCTTCAATATGAGGCTCTCTGTGAAGGAGGATATCCAGGCGCTCCAGAAGAGCGGGAAGAAGTCCCCTTTCTTGATTGGAATAAGGCCTTGAGCCTTATGGAGATGGTTAGTGAGCTCGTTAGAGTAGGCTTGAGAGAGTGGCTTGAACAGCACTACATCTAGCGGCTGGAGCGTATGGGTCGAATGGGGAGGAAGGATCATGAGGAGGATCCTATGGCGATCGCAGTACTTAATAAACTCCATCGTGAGGTGAGATCCATGGCCATCAAGGATGAGCAATCTCCATCTACCTGATCGTTGCTTTGTAGAGCGATCAAACACCTGCTCCAGCCAAGCTAGGCCTACGTTATCATTTGACCAGCCTGTTGGAGATGATGAGACAAAGACCTCATGTTCTCCTGCCTTGATATCTTCTACCCAACTCGATCGTATAGCTCCATTTTTAGCTGCGTAGATAAGGGCTGGAGGCAGCGAGCTCCCATCAGCGCAGCAGCAGGCCAGGACTGTCAGAAACTCGCGTGATCCATCCTGGAGAGATGCTCGAACCTCCTTCTTCTCCCATTGACGCCTGCTGAATATCCTCTTACTTCTGCCTATCAAGCCAATTAAGAAGCCCTTCTCATCCATATTGTATATATCTCGAGCCTCTAGGTGATATTCGGTGATCTTTCGATGCAGCAGCTCGAAGTAGAGTCTATACTTTGACTCAGAATCAGCCAGGTGGCGCGTACGATCCATGGCGCTGGTCCACTTTGAGATGAGATGGATCTCGTGTCGGTTGATGAAGCGAGTAACCCAGCTCTCGCTGAGCTGCTGATGGGCTACTTCTGATGAGAAATTCCTGATCATCTCTCGTGTAGGAGGAATGCCTCGCTTTGTGAGCTTTTCGATATATCTCACAAGCTCTAGCTCTTGTTGTGGGTTGAGTTTCTGCTGGTTGAAGTTCTTGTCTCTTTCTGAGCTTGTCTGGCCCTGGTGCCTTCGGGTCAACGTAGATCTCACAACACCATGCTTAGCAGCAATTTTAGTATACGAGAACTGTTCTCCTGGCTCTAGATTTTCAATATCTTCAATCGCAGCTTGAATTGGGTCCATATTGGTGGAGTTAACGTGTGTTGAAGGTGAAGGGGTTTGACGTGTTTTGGTGTTCCCCGCGCATCACGCGAATCCGCGCATCACGCGCACGGACACGTTATGTCCGCGCGTATCTTGGGAAAAAAATGTCGCCGCGGTAGTCCCACCCACCACAGCCGTCACCGTTCCCTCGGCGCCGTTGCTTGCCATTTAGTCTGCCGACACCATTATGGAGTCAATTCGCCCATGCCTGGCGAGGGTCCGCCTTTCAGTGCCCTCGAGAGCCTACAGACCGCTCTATCAATGTCTACACACTTCGGCCGCGCGGGGCGCCACGCCGTTGCCCCATCCGTCAGGTAGGAAGAATGTTGCACGTGTGCTGGCAATTCACCCATTGACGTCTGCATAGTGCCCGGACCACCGCCTGAGACACCCCAGGCACACCCGTCAGATGCATCGGAGCGGGTGGCGCGCAAGAGGAAGCAGGCAGACATGATGAAACAGGCGCGAGAGATGCGTGACGTCTACTCGTCCTCCAACAAGCCCAAGAACATGCTGGCCAAGCGCTTCTGGAAGGACGTCTCGGTCCAGGAGGGCAATGGCGGCCTGCAGGTCTTTCTCGATCACCGACCTGTCCGCATGCCCAACAAGCAGACGCTTACAGTGCCCACGTCGAAGCCCCAGCTGGCGACTGCCATTGCCCTTGAATGGGACCTGCTCATGAGCGCACAACAGGCCCTCAAGAACGACTACATACCCATGACGTCGCTCGCAGCGCGCGCAATCGACATTGAGGCGGCAGACGGCGAGGGGAGGGACAACGTCCGAAACGACATCCTCGCCTACTTTATGCGCGTCTTGTCCACAGATACGCTGCTCTGCTGGGCGCCGGAGAAAGTCATGAACGACTCACTGCAAGACGGCAAGACACTGCGCCAGGTCCAGGAGGAAGTGGCCACGGGCATCATTGCCTATCTCCAGACAAACGTCTGGCCGGGCGTCGAGATCAAGCCCACGCTCGACCCAGAGACCATCATCCCCGTCGAGCAGCCCGAGTTGACACAACAAGTGATTCGCGGCTGGTGTGCACGTCTCCCCGCCTATGAGCTCGCTGGTCTCGAGCGTGCGGTGCTGGCGTCCAAGAGTCTCCTCGTCAGTGTGCGCTTGATCCACGAATGGGGCGAGGCATTCGCACAGTCGCGCAAGACGACTGATGCGCATCGCTTCAGTATTGAGGATGCGACCAGGGCGTCGAGTCTGGAGGTATCGTGGCAGACGTCGCAGTGGGGCGAGGTAGAAGACACACACGATGTTCAGAAGGAGGATCTGCGGAGACAGCTGGGTAGCGCCATTGTTCTCGTAGGCGGCGAAAGCTCATGAACGTCTCAGTCTCATCAATGTAGATTAGATTACTAAACACAAGCATCAGCCGACGTCTCTGTAATCGCGCCAATATCCAGACTTTTGCGTATCCAGGCATAGATAGTGCAGTGTAAAACAGGGACTGGACGAGTCCAAGGCCGATCACTGCCAAACAAGACTTTGTCCGCCAGGTTACTGCTAGTCGACGCCGGCGCCCTGACACATGCGCGAGCAGTTCGCACATGCCATCACGCTCACAGCCACAGCCAACAGCGCATGTTCTGTGTTGGTGACGTCCAGCGGCCGGTTTAGCGGAGCCATGGTCGTGATTCGCTGCGTCTGTCGGCATGGCTGGCGCCCCTGACGAAGCCTCCCCAGAGCTCTTGAGAGCCCCGCCGCGATTGCTTGAATCCTACAAAGTTGCAGCTTCGTATACGCCCTGTCTCTTGTTGATTTTCCTTTTGGATATCTAAACTAAATTAAATCTACGCTCCTCATCTTCGCACACGTCTGACAGAGGCTCGTATCGCTTGGCTGGTGGGCCAATTACGCAGCCATGGAAGGGTAAGTGGTCGTCCCTCCACGCCTCTCCAGCCGTCGATGCCGTCGATGGCGGGGGAGACATGTAGACGACGGGCAACATTGTCCCGCAGAACGACCTAAATCTAACCCACCGCCAGACATAAGCGATCCAAGTCGGCCAGTGTTAAAAAGGTCCTTTCATTAGGATCTTCCAAGACCGACAACGCTCCGACGGATCCCAATGACACTTCTCCGCCGGCGTCAGCTACCTCGGCCACCTCACAGCAGGCCTCACAGCTCAAAGGCTACCCTCCAAGCCACGGGAGGAGTCTCTCCAAGAAGACCAACCCCCATCTTTCCACGAGCATGTCCAGTTTGGGTGCGGGGCAAGACGGTCTGACACCGTCGTCAGCCAGCTACCAACAGTCACCTAGCTCACCCACGTCCAAGTCGACTTCGATCGAACAGTCAGTGAAGCTATTCAGAGTATTCGAATCGTTGCGCAATGGAGACACGACTGCCATATCGAGGGCAATACGAGAGCAATCGGGCACAACTGATGGCGAGAACAACCGGTCGTCACTGCAGCTACCCAGCGCGCGCACCGAAGGAACCTCGATACTGCATCTGGCCATACAATGTGCTGAGATGCCAGTCATCGAATTCGTTCTCTCCAACGCCACAGCAACGCCAGACTCACCCATAGACATCAACGGCCGTGATCGCGATGGCAACACGCCCTTGCATCTCGCAGCCACCCTCGGTCGTGCTCCGGTAGTACGCATGCTGCTCGATCAGCCCGGCATCAACGACTCGGTCACAAACTACAACGGCCAGACACCATTGGACCTGGCGCGGACACCAGACATATTCCAGCAGCTGCAGCTCTCCCGCTCAATCTTCATCGACACCAATGTGAGGAAGATACAGACCATGGTCACTTCGGGCGATATGGAAGCACTAGAGAAGATTCTGCAAGATGCAAGGATAAAGAGTACTATTGACGTGAATGGTGGGGAACTAGCGACTGATCCAGTCGTCGTTGACGCTGGGGGCACACTTCTCCATGAGGCAGCAAAGAAGAAGGATGTAAAGTTGGCACAATTACTGTTGCTGAACGGAGCCGACCCTTTTCGTCGGGACCGCAAAGGCAAGCTGCCCCAAGACTATACCAAAGACGACCGTACACGCGCGATCCTAAAGCGGTCGCCTGCCGCCGCGGCAGCACAGAGGGGCATCCAGGAAAAGACCATACTTGCTGGCGCATTGCAGGGTCCAACTGCCGCCGAGAGTGGCATGGGCGTAAAGGAGTCTCGCGAGATGAAGGGATACCTGAAGAAGTGGACCAATTACACAACCGGATACAAGTTGCGGTGGTTTGTACTTGAAGATGGCGTTCTCAGCTACTACAAGCACCAGGACGATACGGAGTCTGCATGTCGTGGTGCCATCAACATGCGGATAGCAAAACTCTACATGGACCCGCAAGACAAGCAGCGGTTTGAGATTCAGGGCAAGTCGTCAGTCAAGTACCACCTCAAAGCAAACCATCAAGTTGAGGCCAAGCGATGGTTCTGGGCCCTGAACAACGCGATCCAGTGGGCCAAGGATGAAGCACGTGAAGAGGAGAAGCGAGCAACACAGGATCACGAAGTTCTGAAGCAGGCCAAGATCGAGCAGATCAAAGGCGAAGGGGATGCATCAAGTCTCGGCAGTTCCAAGTTGGCGAGCTCGAAGAACCTCGCTACTGGTACGTTCACAGTTATTACTCTACCAGATCGTGCCCACTAACCTTACTCCAGCATCGTCACTGGGTGTCCCTCTGCCTGGTTTGGACACCACATCGTCACGAACTGCAGTAAGTGTGACAGAAGACCCTCCAAGTGTCTATGAGCCCAGTATGTCTGGCCACGGACTGGACAGGATGGTCAGCAACATGGGTACAGCCACGGTTGCTGGTGACGATGAAGATGAGGACGACTACGGTGATGATACTAGCAGTCATGAAATGAAGCCGCAGAGCAAGGATGCATTCAACATCACAGCGCAATCAGCAAAGCTGCAGCTTGAACTGTTAACCTCCGTTTCCGCAGCACTGCAAACGGAGAAGAACCGCTCGCCCCACCTACAAATCTCCGATCCTTTGATGCTACAGGCATTAGCCTCATACGAGTCAGCTATCGGCAACCTCAAAGGTCTTATCGGAGACCTACTCAGAATATCCAGAGACCGCGACGCGTACTGGCAATATAGGCTCGATCGCGAGGCCAATGTGCGCCGCATGTGGGAAGAGAGCATGGCCAAGGTTGCCAAGGAGCAGGAGGAACTTGAAAATCGGATAGGCGAATCTGAAGAAAAGCGGCGGAAGCAGAAAAAAGCTCTACGGGAAGCATTGGAGGACTACGACAAGCCTATGCCCGGTTCTGATGCTAAAGCGGACGAAGATGACTTTGCCGACGCTGCGGAAGATGGAGAACAGCAAAAGACGATGACATCTCACCTTGGACCTCCTGCGCAGGATCCGAAAGTTAAAAGAAAGGCAACCTTTGCCGATATTGCAGCCGACATATCAGACTCGGATTCAGAAGATGATGAGGAGTTCTTTGATGCGGTAGGGGCTGGTGAGGTTGAAGTCGTGGAGATGCCTGCGCCTGCTGTCGCTCAAGAGAAGCAAGCGGATGCTGAATCTTCTTCTGACGACTCACTAGAGAAGAAGCACAGCGAAATCGCTACGGCGTGGGCAGGTTACGAAGATGGGCCACGAAAGAAGCTGGCATTGGACGCAGACGACAGACCGAAGGTCGGCCTCTGGGTATGCTGGACACCATACAAATCAGCGAAACTGTACTAACAAAACAACAGGGCATTCTCAAGTCTATGATTGGCAAGGACATGACCAAGATGCCGCTACCTGTATCATTCAACGAGCCAACCTCGCTGCTCCAACGTGTCGCTGAAGACATGGAGTACACCGATCTCCTCGACACTGCTGCTGAACGTTCTGATTCTACAGAACGTTTGCTTTATGTTGCTGCCTTTGCTGCATCTGAGTATGCCTCGACTATCGGTCGTGTCGCGAAGCCGTTCAATCCTCTTCTTGCTGAGACGTACGAGTATGCTAGACCAGACAAGGGCTATCGCTTCTTCATTGAACAAGTCAGCCATCATCCACCTATCGGTGCAGCATATGCTGAATCGACCAAGTGGGATTACTACGTAAGTACCTACATGCTGCTTTATGAAATGAGTTAACATAGAATAGGGTGAATCCGCAGTGAAATCGAAATTCTACGGCAAATCCTTTGATATCTTCCCGCTTGGTACATGGTTCCTGCGCCTCCGTCCCACATCGATGGGAGGAAAGGAAGAACTTTACACCTGGAAAAAGGTCACCACGTCTGTCATCGGTATCATAACGGGTAACCCCGCCGTCGACAACTACGGCCCCATGGAAATCACAAACTGGACCACAGGCGAGAAATGCATGCTCGATTTCAAACCCCGTGGCTGGAAAGCATCGTCTGCATACCAGGTTGTAGGAAAGGTGCTCGACGCTGAAAACAGAGTCCGTTGGAGTATCGGTGGGCGATGGAATGACAAGATCTACGCTCGTTTCACGCCAGGGTTCGAGGACGCTGATATCGAAAAGAGTGGGAAGAGTGCTACCAAGAGCGGTGACAACAAGGCCTTCCTCGTCTGGCAAGCGCATGAGCGGCCAGCCGGCATACCCTTCAATCTCACGCCCTTTGGTGTCACTCTCAACGACATATCTGACAAGCTTCGCCCCGTGATCGCGCCGACCGATACGCGCCTGCGGCCGGACCAGCGCGCCATGGAAGACGGTGAGTACGACTTTGCTGCCACGGAGAAGAGCCGCGTCGAGGAGAAGCAACGCTCTACCAGGAGACAGAGGGAAGCTGAAGGCAAGGAGTTTTCGCCAAGGTGGTTCACAAAGGGTAGATGTGAGGTTACGGGCGAAGAGTACTGGGTGTTCAACCACGAGTATTGGAAGATTAGACATCGTGTTGCTCAGGGAGAAATGTCCTGGGAGGAAGCCGGTCTGGAAGACATTTTCTAGACTAGCTAGATTAGAAACGGTGCCTTTGGCACTGCTGGAGATGCACTTGAACAAGGGTCTCTTTTTCCCTAACTTTTATCTAACAATCCTTTCATGTACATAGAGCCCTAAGTGGGTGGTAGTCCCCTTGAGTTGAAAAATAGCACAACGTACGTCCACCTTATGTAAATGCATAACACACCCTTCTACCATGAAAGGCACTTACTACTGCAGCATACCTTCCAAACTCTCACCCAAAATCTCCTCCATACCATTTTTCCACCTCTGGCACTCGCGCTCAACAATCTCATCATCATCCTCCATGAGCTCACTAATAAACGGTAGCATCTCCGGCAACAAACCCAGCCACTCCTCACCTAGCCTCCTCGTCAAGCTCTGCTCGCAAAGTACAGTCGCTAGACGCGTATGCCTGTCATCACTGCGCATATTCTTGAGCAAGATGGTGTTCATCTCGCGGTGATTTTCCATAGAGGAACTAGACGCGGCAGCGAGTTCAGTGATTGTGGGAATAACGTTGTTTGTGTTATTCTCTGGCGTGGAAGTTGAGGCGGAGGGTAAGGCGAGGAGAGAGAGCAGAGGTGGCATGATTGTGCCAAAGTGGGAGGGTGCTTGCCAGAAGCCGTCTTGGTCGTGTTGGAAGGATTTCTGGAGGGCGGAGAGGACGGCGGCGCGGGGGGCGACGGCGAGGTCGGTGGTTGCGAGTTGAGTGAGGAGTTTGGCGGCGGGCTCGACGATGTAGCTTGAGTAGCTGGTTACGAGGGACTGAGGGGTGGTTAGTTGCAATTAAGTTGTTGGGAGTAGGTAAATAACGTACCTTGAACTTATCGAAGAAGGCGGCGAGGAACTTGTAGAATGTAATGGAGCGTTGAAGATCTGTGGGTACGGGGCCTTCCTGGTCGACGAGCTGGGCGAAGAAGGGACGGAAAGTAGCATCGCTGAGCTTGAGAACCATAGCAATGACAGATTCAATGAAAATGTTTTCGAGTTGCTCGACTTCCTCGTCATCAACCTTGTCCTCGTTGTTCTCCGATTGGACAATTTCCCGTAGGCGGAACGTTTGCAAGAGCAAGCTGAATAGCGGCGAGCTTGCTTTCACGAGCTTAACCTTAGTCTGAGCGTTGATGGTGGAGCGCAAGAGCTCAAGGTGCTCAAGCGAGGCTTCAAAACCTTGGAACGCGGCGTGTGACCATGTTGATTTGATTGCGGCGAATACTTCCTGAGCGCTAAGGTGCTCTGACACGCTTTGAAAGAATGCATTGCGGCTGACATCGCAGGCATCTTCCAAGTCAGCAGCTGCAGAGCGCTGTGACAGCCGAAGCGCTTTGTCCAGATATTCGCGCGAAAACATGTAGCCCAAACGCTCAACAATGTTAGAGAGTAAGGTGAAGATGGCGTTGTGGAGCCCTGTCTTCTCTGTCTCAATGGCATGTGCCAGATACTCAAACGCTGTTGGGAGGATGGTGGGGAGCAGGGAGATTGCCTCATCTTCAAGGACGTCAACGACAGATGTGAGGCAGATCAAAGACAGGATGCGAAGCCTATCCTCGCTGCTCAACAACGACTGCGGACCGGCAATGACCTGAGCCACCAACGAAACAGCGGATATATCCTTCTTTCCGAAGCGTTCGATGATGCGGTCTATGCAGCTGACCGAGATCATTTTGACATCCGTCAGTGCTGATTGTTGTAAAACCTTTTGGGCGCTAGGCAGGAAGGAGATGAGGGCTTCTACAGACTTGCGGTCGTTCTGCTTGACGGTGCCCGCTCGTAGCTCGACCGACCTAATAGAGGCGGCTTGTACATGCGAATCTGTGCTTGACAGGAGTAGCTCTGCTGATTTGGTGAGATCAGTTGTTGGCAGCAGGTCCAAGCAGTTAGCAAGAACACTGCTGCATCCTGCATATAGCTTTGGGCTTGAAACCAGCTTCCTCGAGAGCTGAACAGTTGTTTCGACGATGTCTGCGAAGATCTTACGCGGTTTCTCGGGATCATCCTTCTTTCGGTATGCCCTCGTGACATGTGCCTTCATCTTCTCATCAAGGGCGAGATCCGCCAAACACGTGAGCATGCTCTGGATTGTTACATCGAACCTGTTTTCTTTGACCTTCTCTTTCAAACCAAACAGTGTCTCCGCGACTTGGGGCTTTGGCGCAACTGCATTGCTGAGTAGATCGAGGTAGCCTTTGATGGTGACAAGGGTATGAACAGGCTCAAAGTTGAGCAACAAGTCGGCGCAGAATCTACGTTGCTCTTTGCTATGGTATCGTTCTGCAAGTAGTGCGACGATAGCTGGAAGGGAATCCTCGGGACCCAGTGTACGAGCCAGCTCCGCGAAGAGCTTCATCCTCCTGTGTAGAGGAATATGCTCGAAAGCAGCAGTGAAACTGAGCAATAAGTCGGATACACCGGCAATGAAGTCTCTGTGCTTTGAGCGAAGAGAGGCGGCCAGTTGGGGTACTACACGCGAGATGGTCTTATCAACAACCTGGGCAGAGTAGTCGTCGTGTTGTCGCAGCAGAGTAGACCCGATGAAGGTGAAGATAGGCATGAGATTGTGCAAGATAAGATCCGGGACCCAAGAAGCAAGATTGGAGATCAAGAGTAGCGCGCTGTTCTGTACTTGCGGGCTGCTGGAATGCCGAATGCAATCAATCAGAAGGTCGGCGCGTACGCTTGACTGATAAGAGGTCGTTTCATCTTGCTCCTTCAAGGTCTGTACAATCGGGCTCAGGGAACTCAGAATGATACTCTGTAGATATACTAGCTCAGATCCTGATTGTTGTTTGAGTGGTTGCAATTCAGCAAAGATACCGAAAAGGTTGTTGAACAGCGTCGGATGTTGTCCTGGGTTTGATCCTTCAACCAACTCAAGGACTAGTGTGAGTTTCCTAAGAAGTCTTTGGACGTCGTCTTGGGAAGATAGCTCTACACGTGCTATCTCGTTTCTACTGGTTCTCCTCCTCTTTGCTGCTGGCGGTCCATCTGGCATGGCCGTGGGGGAAGGGACACTGTCCAGGAACGAGACCAGGATTGCTGAATCTAGGCTGACATCGCGAAGGGTCTCCACAGACCTCTCTCTGCAGAGCTTGTCCAAAGACCCATCACCTTCACCGGTAGCTAAGCCCAGCATGCATTGAGCCAGTGAATGCCGTGCCTCTGATCGGAATGAAGACCAGGAAGCGTGGATTCGGTCAAATGCAGCACTGACCAACACCTCGCGCTCCTTGTTCAAGGTCCCGGTAATGATATCCTGCAAAAGCTGTGCGCTCTTCGCCTCTCTCGGTAGCGTTGAAGCAAGATGAGCCTGGTCAACCTCCGAAATGGAGCAACCTTCGTGGGCGCAGCTGGTGGATACACTAGTAGCTGAAAGAGCAGACCACTTGTTCAACAGTGGAATTACAAAACTGGCGCGGATCGTGTCGGAGACCTTTCCGCGTATGTTGAACATCGGAAGCAGGCGCATACGAACTCTCAGAACCGGAGTGAGACTAGCATGGCTTGCGAAGAACCCGAGAACTGCCGTTCTTGTCTGCATCTTGAACGATTGCTTGGGCTGGTTTTTTGATTGTGCTCCTTCCAGGATATCTCTGAGCGCAGGGATTACAAAGGTTGAATCCATGACGCATTCCTCTAATATAGGCTGCAGCATCTGAGTAATGAAAATCAAGAACTCTTCAGGCTTTAGCTCGGAAATATTCTTTGAAGCCTCGCCATACAAATCAGACTTGCCCCAAGAAGGCACCTTGGACTTTGCAGATGCCTTCCGTGCTATGAGGCCGATGCATCCAGCAGCTGAGCGACGGACGAGTGGAATCGGATCTGAAAGTGCTGAGACGAGATATGGCAAGATGTTTTGCAGAAGATGTGCAGCTTCAAGCTTTTCAAAAGAAGACGCCGCGCCACGAAGGGCGGCGACTCGGATGGTGACAGGGGCAATACTGGTCCAGACACGAGCGAGAAACGACAGATAGAGTGGATGCTGTAAGGCTGCCTCTTTCTTCAAGCCGTCTAAGCCAAGAAATCGCCTGGTTTGCTTTGTAGACACAGCTATCTCAAAAACGCTGGCAGTCTCATTGTACTGGCTTTCGCAGTCGCGATCGAAGAAGCTGCTGACTGTGAGTTCTGGTAGCTGGACAGGAGGCTTCTCGGTTGACTCGTCGTCCACATCCAGCATCTCTTCATCGGATTCGTCATCCTTGGTTTCCTCAATCCCCGCGTCTTGCGAAATAGTAAGCCCTAGCGACTCTAGGTTTGCGTTGTTCTGTTTGGCCGCCTCTTGTAGTATGCTCGACAGCTCTTTCGATTCGACGAGTTTTGTCGCGATTTGGAGCAACTCTCCATGCTCCTCAGATCCTGGGGCGCTGTCGCAAAGAATCTGGGTGAGGGCTGAAAGAAGTATTTGAATGCGCCACCTGCCGAGCAGACCGGATGCGATCAGCTCGTGGAAGACGCCCTGATTCTCCTCGGAACTCACACTGAGCGCACCTAGAGCACAGCCCAAGGCAAGTCGGCCGACCTGACACTGGTTGGAGACCAATATCAACTTTTGGACAAGTTGTGGTGTCTTGAGTAGGCCCTTGGCTACTCTGGTTGGAATGGGCGCCTTGGAGCGCTCCATGGCGATAATAGCTAAACAGCCTAGACATGATTGGAGCGACGCTTCATCATGCGCTGCAATGACAGCCTCCATGAGACCATCGAGGACCTTGTCTCCAACCTTGGCCTGGTTGACCAGCATGATGACAATGGCGTAGCAGGCCAATACAGTGTCGGCTCCGTGCTTGGCCTGCATACAGGTGTTGAGCACAGGGAGCAGGTCCAAGACGAGCTTTTCGGTACCTTGATCTTGGAGCTCTCTTCTGCCGGAGCTCGAATTGCTTAGTATGCCATAAATTGCTTCGACGGTGATTCCAGACCAAAAAGATAGCATGTGCGAAGCCTGGTGACCTGCCTCTACCACCTTGGCAATGTACGATTGGTAGGCTTCGAAGAATTGAGGTGTATTAATGGCCGTGTAGGCGATGGTCCGCTGAGGGATATTGGTCGGCGCTTGGATGTATGGGAAGAGGAAGCGAATAGCGTGGGGAGGACTGGCGGGCAGTATGGAAAGAAGCGCAAGAAATTGGGGCGTATTGTGGTAAGGTAGGTAAGTGAAGACGAGGATTTTGGTATTGTACTCGTGAATACTGCATCATAGTCAGCGATCCTGATGCAGCAAAGTCATGGAGGTTTGATGCTGCCAAACATACCGAAATCTCCTCACAAGCCACTCTAGGGCCTTTTCTGCGGGTTTGAGCAACAGTCTTGGTCCGACCAGCGTAATGAAAGCCTCGAGTGCTGTATCTAACCTCCGGTTCTCATCCTTGGTCATCTGGGTGCGGTCCTCAGCCTTGCTCTGCTCGCTGAATAGACTCTTGGAAAAGCGCATGAACCTCGAGTCGAGGGCGCAAAGGTCCTTGTACCCCTCATAGCAAATCAGATAAACAGTCTCAAATGACTGCGAGGCGGCGATCTTGGGCTCGAATAGTAATGACTTTCCGTGTGCCGACTTTTGCGCGCGCAAGTCAAGCTGCTGGGTGCTCGTAGCCGCGATGGTCGCGAGCTGTTTCTGTAGTGCCGTCGCCATCTTAGCAAACGATTATGGTCGCGAAAAGCTTCAGCTGATGTATTCCGAGATTCCAGAGGCCATGGGATGCAGTGAAATAGCTTGGGATTAGTCGTGGCCGCTGCGTCCAGAAGCTAGAGGTCGGCGGTGATGCGCATTCAAAATTTCGAGATGCAAGATTTCACGCTAGTGGCATTTTACGGCGCGCCGTTCGTGCCAAAGGCGACGCCGGACTCCCGAGGCACGTGCAACGCGACGTTCACCCCGTTCTCATCTCTCAGGACGATTTAGAGTCTGTGATCGGTCTTTTGGCCTCAAATAACGTTATGATGATCATGTGACGTCGTCTGCAGACTTATCCTTGACTCAGCCTGTAGTGGGGCAGCTTCACCCCCGAGGTCCGCATCACCATCAACGCGACTCTTGTTTCCACAACCGCTGCATCTGGCTGCATTCCGGATAATCAACCAGAACTTTGGATACCAGCTATCTCCAGATGGCTTCCAACGTCCCAAAGTTTGCAAGCTTTCGTCCGAAGCCAAAGCCAAAGCCAGCTCCCGAACCGCCGAAGGAACCCCAACACGAAAAAGTTGGGCAATCGTCAAAAGAGAAGAGAACAAGGCCGCACTCGCCGACCCTTAAGAGTGGGGAACAGGATGCCCCAGCAAACAAGACCTACTTCCGTGATCGACGTGGGGACGTGGACATAGTACGATATGGCACCCTTAATCGATACGACATACCGCCTTATCGTCGCTTTGGCCATGGTTGCGTACTAGGCATATCTACTGACCAAAGGATTGACCGCGAACATTCGACTGACAAAGCAGTTTACATCATACCAGCCCAGGGTAAACGTCAAAAGCGACTTCTGACAGACAAGCATGCAAACCGGACGAATGAGCGTGCCCTGAAATTAATGAACACCAACACCAATGGTGATAAGCTGCAAGAGGATTTTATATTTCTATCTACAAACCCGAAGCGAAAGCGTAGCGACACCGACGATGAAGACGAGGCTATGCCGGAAATCGACTATCGGAAAATCCAAGGACCAAACTCTGTCGAACCGATTGATCCAGATACACAGTACGAATCGGACGCTGATGTCACAATCGATGTGGAAAATACCCGCAAGAACGCCAGCCTCATACGGCGAACGAGAGAACACCCAGAGGATGTTTCCGGCTGGATAGCGTTGATTGCCCATCAGGAAGCCATGTTGAAGCTCGAGCGACCGTCTGCCGACTTGACCGCATCTGATCGAGCACATCTTGCCGATATACGCATCAGCACGTACGAGGAAGCCTTGAAGAAGATTGGCAAAGACTACAATGGTCGACTGATGCTGTACACCGGATTGATGAAGGAGGCAGAGAGAGCATGGGATGGAACCAAGCTAGCCAGTAAATGGAAGGAACTGCTGGAGAAGTATTCACAAAGCGTGGATCTGTGGATGATGTACCTTGATTATGTGCAGTCGAAGTTCACCAGCTACAAATACGAGGACTGTCGGACAATCTTCTTGAGGTGTGTCAGAGCTTTGAGCGCATCTGGGAACGACGTTTCTCCATCGACTACCCTGCACATACTGTTACGCTTGACATCTATGACCCACGAAGCAGGGTATCAAGAGCTTGCTCTCGCAATCTGGCAGGCTTTACTCGAATATCACTTGTTACGTCCGGAAGGGAATATTTCCACGGAATCATTCGAGTCGTTCTGGGATAGCGAAGTACCACGTATCGGTGAACTAGGTGCAAGAGGGTGGAAACATCAGACTCCTTCCGACGACGCTATACTGACAGATGTTCCACCTTTGCAAGACAAGGATCCATCGATCAGTTTCATCGAAGATTTCACGAAACGCGAGACGGATGCTACTGCCAAGCTGCGTTTCCCTGGGCGCGCTTCTGATAATGTCGCTGAAGACGACGCTTTTCACACCATCTTCTTCGACGATCTAAAACTATACCTGGAAGCAGTACCACATGGAATATCAGCGACACTACTCATAGACGCATTTCTATGTTTCTGTGGCTTGCCACCGTTAGCGATGTCTAGTATTCAGCGCAGCTGGTGGTCAGATCCCTTCCTGCAGCGCCATTGGCAACTGTCTTCTTCTAGTACTGAGGAGACAACCCACTTCATGCAAACCCTCAAAAGCTTCATGCCGTGCCCAGCAAATAGCTTCCAGATGACTACTGAACTACTTTTCCAGCAGGATTTCTCGCTTGATGGCGTAAATCTCAGTCCAGATTTTATCAGGCGTCTCTTCAAACTCTTAGTTTCGGAGTCAATGGGTGGTGGAGATATCGCTGGAGAGTATCTACTTGCTTTTGAACGCCAATATTTCCCCAAGGAAGCTTTCAAGACCGCAAAACGACTACTAAAAGGACAGCCAATGCACTCACGCCTATACAATGCGTATGGGCTGGTTGAAGCAAATCTCGGAAATTCAGCCAAAGCTGATCAGGTTTTTCATACTGTACTCTTCATGCGACATGGAAATACTGCATCTCTCACCTCAGAGAATCTGGAGTTGTTCAGCAACTGGGTCTGGCAAGCACTCCACGAAGGGAAGCAACAGGAAGCATTGTGGCGGCTCTTATCACCTCATACCAGTGCACCACCACAAGGTGCTGAAGACATACAACCAGATCGCACACATATCGATAGTGTGCGTACAACACTTACAGAAATGAGCGAGCGCGCATTATTTGATCAAGATCATATGAAAGCAGTTCAGAGTAGTGCACTCTGTGCACTGCTCGCGTATCTGTCCAACGATTGCAACGCCGGGCATGCCCTCGAAGTCCACCATAATTTTTCAGCGTGGTTCGCATCACACAAGCTGTCAAAATCTCCCTCCGCAGAACTCCACGCCCAAGAAATCGCACGCCTCCTCACCCACCACGTCACTCATGCGCCGATCGTCAAGCCATCTCTGGTTCGCACAGCGCTCGAGCCACTCATCTCTCGCTTCCCAAACAATACCATCCTGCTATCACTCTACGCGGCAAACGAAGCGCGCTTCTCCATCGACGATAGGGTTAGGGGTATCATGCACCAGAACGCGCTGCACAGCTCAGAAGAGAGGAGTATCGCAGGTTGGGCTTTTGCAATCCACTACGAGAAGCTCAAAGACGAGATTTCCGGCACAACCTCTCACTCCATCCGTGCCCTATACAAACGCGCTACAGAGACTACTGGGGTGCATTGTCCCGCACTATGGGACGCATACGTACACTTTGAGCTAACGCAGCTTGATAAAGAGCGCACTAGACGATCAAGCAAAGCCTCACGCCACGAAGGAAAGAAGAGTAAGTGGGAATCCAGGGTTGAAGAAGCAGAGCAAAGAGTCAGAGATACGTTCTATGCTGGCCTGAGAAATTTGCCGTGGTGTAAAGAGTATATCATGTTCGTCTTTACAGACGCAAAAGACGTATTCGGGGATGAAGAGAAATGGAAATTATCTAGAGTTTTGCTTGAGAAAGAGTTGCGGCTGTATGTAGATCTGGACGACGAAGACGTATGGAAGGTGGCTGAGAAAGAAGGCTGGGTGGGTAGATAATTGGACAACCGTCTACGGATGCAAGCGATGGAGGCGGAATGATCACGTGACATTAGCGCTTAGGATCTCTACATCATGCAACCCACACTACCTCTATTTAAACAATCAGTATAAACCTTGATTGACCCCCAGCCCCCACATCCAAGCAAGCATCCACTCTCCCCCCTTTTCCACGTGACTGTAAAGGCACTAGTACACTGCAATAGTTAGGATGCCTCTAATAAGTGAGATTGTGTGTACAGATCTATATACAAGTACGAGGGGAACTTTATTATTCCTCGCACGGGCCAACTGCCAGCGTGGCACGTGATTGTATGGCACGTGATCGCGTGAGGGATCGTAGGTTTGATCCATCACACTACCCCCCCTTCAAAAAAAAGCAGGTTCCGTCGCTTAAAGTAATTAAAAAGAGTTGTCTAGCTTGCTTTGCAAAAGCTTCTGTAAGCCTAAACAGCAATGTTGCCGGTATTGCGAAAGCTACGCGGGCCAATAGTCTCCTCCGTCTGCTGTATCGTCGGGGCTCCTGGTGGAGGCTTAGGATTGTTAGAGGATGCGATCACTGTAATCATAAGTAAATCCTGTTTGCCTGCGAGCGTCGCAAACTTTCGATGTGGTCCTGGAGCTTTAGGGCGGGACTCATGGTACTGTTGGACAATGTCTGCGGAGTCCACCAGGTTCATGTATGGTTCCCAAGATGGGTTGTCGGTGCCGGCGGGGTAGTTGGTCCATCGCACTAAGTATTGGAGAAGACCGCTGCGAGAGTAGGGGTCTTTAAGTCTCTTGTTGACGCGGGAGTCTAGGACGGCTTCCACTTCATAGCTTGTACCATCTTCCTCGTCGGGATCGGCGAACTCAGCTGGTGCGGAATCGCGCAGTTGACCAGGCAGCGGAGCCTCCTCGTGTAAGTGTAGTAACCACGGGTGGAAGACGTTGTGGAGCTTGCCCATCTCTGGAGGCAGGAGTAGTTCGTAAGCCATATTGTCAATGACGCGTGTGACAGTGAAGGGACCGCGGTTCTTGAAGTCAAGTGATAGACTAGGACGTGTAGTACGGAAGTTACGGGCGTCCAACATAACTTGATCGCCGACCTTAAACTCAGGCGCTGGGAGCCGGGCGTCGTTTGCGTATTCCGCCTGTTTAGCTTGTGACCATTGTAGTTCGAGCCGAAGGGCTTTGCGTAGCGCGTCTAGCTTTTCTGCAAACTTGTTGGCGTTGTCTTGATCTCTGCGAGCTGGGGCAGTGAGACCAGTGTTCACCTTAGGTGGTTCAAGACCAGACTTCGGGTCATAGCCCTTAGTGAGGCGGAAAGCGGTAGTCCCAGTACTAGCGTTGATGGCGTTGTTAGCTTCGAACTCTGCCATAGGAAGAAAGAGAGCCCAGTTGTCTTGCTCGTAGTTAATATATGACCGGAGGTATTGTTTTAGCCAAGCGTTGGCGTTCTCCGTCTGCCCATCGGTTTCTGGGTGATAGCCCGTTGACAACTTTGGCTTGGTACCCAGTCGTTGACAAAGACGTGTCCAGAAATGGGAGAGGAACTGGGCTCCACGGTCGCTGACGATGCTGTCGGGATATCCCTCCTCACGCCACACGTACTCGACGAAGGCTTTCACAAGGGTATCAACCTTTAGGTCCACCACAGGTATAAACTTCTTCTTCTTGCTAAGCCGATCAACAATCACTAAGACGTTGGTATATGTGCGGCCGTTATCGGTGCAAGGAGGCAGGTGCGTGATATAGTCCATGCTGATGCTACTCCAATATCGCTCAGGTATCGGGAGTGGATGTAGGAGCCCGTGTTTCCCATCGCGGTAAGATTTCGATCTCCGACAGGCCAAACAGTTCTTGACGTACTGTGCTACATCATTTATCATCTTCGGCCAGTAGTACCAGCGGTTTAACATGTCGTAGCTACCGTGTTTGCCGCTATGGCCACCGCAATAGGATCGGTGTACGCGTTCGATGATCCGGGTGCGCAGGGTGCCTGATTCGGGGATGTAGACCTTCTTCTTGACATAGAAGACTCCGTCGTGTATTGAGCAATCACCAAGCTCTAAGCGTATCCTGTTTGGACCGTGAATTAGGTGGTACGGGATGCGGCGCTGGCCATCAGCTTTGGCTTTGAGGATAACTTGAACGATGTCGTCATCCGGGTAAGCTTGTCGAACGGTCTGGAGGATATTGGCTTCGTCCAGCGACGTGTCCGGCTCCGTAAGCGGTGCAGCGGACGTGACATCGACCTCCGCTGTGTCTCCGAGAGCGAAGAGGTATTCGTCGCTAAAGTCGTCCGTTTCACTGTCTTGGTACATCATCATGGCCAAGGAGACTGGGGACGTCCGGAGCTCGTCACCGAGGGCGTTGGCCAGATATACAGCGTGTCGGGAGCCACCGTCGAAGTGGAAGCTAAAGGTGGCAACTCGACACTCAGGATCCACCTGGTCAGGCTTGAGGATCACTTGTACCTGGTGTTGACGTCGCTCATCCTCGGCGTTAGCTGGAAGATCGCCCGGTCGGCGAGTGAGTGCGTCGGGCTTAGTTCCTTGTTTACCAGGACGGTATTTGACTCTAAAATTGAACTCAGCTAGGAACTCAGCCCATCGAGCTTGCCGTCGGTTGAGGCGTTTGGTTGTCATGAACGTCTGGAGGGCCTGGTGGTCTGACAATACCAAGATGGGATCATCAGTACCTGACAGTTCAAACCTCCACTCCTCGAATGCTCGAACAATCGCGAGGAGCTCCTTGTCATAGATCTCGTAGTTGCACTCGGCAGGTGTCATCTTATGTGATAAGAACGCTACAGGTCGTAGAACACCTTTGTGCATCTGCGAGAGGATAGCTGCGGTAACGAAGTCCGACGCGTCAGTCTCGAGCCACGTTTCCAAATCTGGGTCAAAGTGGGACAGTACGCCCGCTGTTTTAAACGCAAGCTTTAGCTGTTCAAAGGCTTTCGCAGCTTGTCCATTAGCTTGGAGAGGGAAATGTCGTTGACTACCCTCCTTGGTGAGTTCCGTGAGTGGCTTAGCGATATATGAGAACCCTTTAATAAACCGGCGATAGAAGTTGCAGAAGCCGAGGAAAGACTGCATGTCCTTCACTGATCTCGGCAGTTGCCAATCGAGGACAGTGGAGACCTTCTCCGGATCCATTTCGATGCCGTCGGTGGTGAGGATCAAGCCTAAGTACTTGACTCGCTTGGTTTCGAACTTGCACTTCGTGGGATCCAACGATAGTCCTGCGCCTTGAATCTTGCGGAGAACCTTTAGGACATGCGAACGGTGGTCTTTCTCGTTGTCGCTATATATAAGTATGTCGTCTAGGTAGGCGGTACATATAACGTCCAAGTATTCGCGCAGCGTTTCGTTGATGAAGTTTTGGAACGTCCCTGGTGCATTGCACAGTCCAAAGGGCATGACCATATACTCATAGAGTCCGTACCGGGTGAGGAAGGCGGTTTTCTCTTCGTCACCTTCTTTAATCCGAACGGTGTTGAAAGCGGCTACAACATCGACGAGAGACATAATCTGAACTTTGGCCATGCGCGCTAGAGTTTCTTTGATGGCTGGTGGCGCATTTCGATTCTTCTTAGTGACGTTGTTGAGTGCTCGGTAGTCGACACATATGCGGAGACCTCCTCCAGGTTTCTTGACGATCAAGACAGGTGACGCAAACGGGGAGTTACTGGCCTTGATTAAGCCCTTTTGCAGCATGTCATCGATATACTTCTTAACAGCCTCAGTCTCGGTACGAGTGAGTCCGTAGACATGAGGCTTAGGGGGCGTAGTGTCAGGAAGCAGGTCGATGGGGTGGTCGACTCCTGGTCTTCGTTCGGGGAGTTGATGAGCCAGATGAGGGTTGAACAGATCAGGTAGTTCGTCCAACACCCACTCAGGTACCAGCTGGCCAATCTGGTCTCTAGTCATGTAAGGTTGCTCCATCTTGTGCATGTACTTCTCAAAGTCAGTTTGCGAGACTGCGGCTACGCCGATGCCTTCTCGGTCTTCATCGGGGGGCTTCGCAAGCTTGGCCCAATGGCGGGGTTCCAACCATATGACCTGGTCAGGATGTTTGGCTGCGAGTGCGGTTGCAGCGGCAGCGGAGATGAGGTAGATATCAGCCATAGTCTCCTCAGTCGTCACCTTACCATCCTTGTTCGTCTTAGTAGTGGTGTCGCCTGTCTGGTAGTCTCCCTTGACTAGTTGTACGTGACTGTGACAAACTCCGTTTTCGTAAACCGTCTCTGGGAGTCCTTCGTGGAGGCAGTTAAGTTTGCACCCTGCCTTAGCGAAGGTGAGTGATCGCTGGTCGCCAAAGTGGAGGGCAGGCTGGTGATAGTCCATCCAATTCATGCCTAGGATAACGTCGTACTTGCCGATATTGGTGACGTAGCATAGGACGTTGTGCGTATGGCTTCCGTGTCGGACGGGCAGATCAACGGCCTGGGTAAGCTTGTCCCACTTCTCCGCCGTTGGCTAGTGACAATCGAATGGGTTTGGCCACAGGCATAGTATCTAGGCGGTGTTGGTTAACCCATGACTGATTGACGAAGCATGCGCTGGCTCCCGTGTCGATAAGGGTAGAAATCGGTTGCCAACAATCAGGTCGCGTGAGAGCGGAGCCGGGAAACTCGAGTTGTCGGCTGAAGTCTTTAGAAGGCTTGCCTCCGATGGAGGCGGAGGACACGAAGTGGACCTCCGTCATAGTTGGCGTTTCGTCAGGGGCGAGCAGCAAGGCTGCAGCGATCTCGAAACGGCGATGCTGGTTTCGAACACGGCGCTGGTGTCTTTTTGCGTTACGCCAATTGAGCTCCCGCACGCGGCTCTGCGCGGGAGCCCCTAATTTAAATGCTCAAGTAGTTCCTCGTCGTTGACGTAGAAGCCATCGTCATCCACTAAGTCGTTGTCGTCCAGCGGCTCCTCAGTATCCTCGTCTCGCTCCTCTTCGTTGGAAGCGTCGAGAGCATTGATGTACAAAGAAGCCAGTGCGGGGATTTGGTGAGAAGGAGTGAAGGGCTTGCCGCGGCAGGGGGCAGTCTCGTGCCTCATCTGATGGTCATCCTTGCCACATTTGAAGCAGAGCTTCAAGTCAGCTAGACGCTTCTTGTCTTTCTCTGACCGCTCGAAGGCCATCTTCTTGTACGTATGCGTGCTGGCGGCGTTGTTGTGACCTGGAGTGTCGGGTGTCCGGAAGGTGACCAACTTTTTGGGTACGGCTAGCACCAGCGGTCTTCGTAACGGGAGTTAATTTTCGGCCCAGCGTCAATCTGTTGATGTCCCTGGTCGATGTGTTGCGCTCGCAGCAAGAAGGACTGGATGGTCTCATCCTTGTGAGATCCGGCAGTGGTCGCGATAGCTAACCCGGGTCGCATGAACTCGCGAGCGTATCGGATCTGGGTCGCGTTCTTGTGTTTGAGGATTCGCATGCAAGAGGTGAACTTAGACTTCCACTCCATGAACTTCTGTCCAGACTTGTAGCGGAGCGAGCCGTCGGCGATGAGGGTTTCGGCGTCAGCTTCCCGATCATAGGTGAGATACTGGCTGTCGAGAGTCTCTAGGAAATCTAGGAAATGGCGAGCTTTGACATCTCGGATGTGCTCGTAAGCTTCGCCTTGAATGCGGAACTTGAGGTAGTCAACCGCTTGCCAGTCCTCTGGGTATGTGCGACACTTGGCCACTGCCATCTCGCGCCACCGCTCGTAGTCGTCGTCGACCTTGCCCTTGAACGTCTCAAGTTCTGGGAGTTTGTAAGAGAATCCTCCACCGGCGGTAGAGGGCGCGACGGGCGGCGGTCGCGGTACTGTAGGAGCGGGGGCGTATGGGTTCGATGATGGAGGAGGTAGCGAGGCGTCGCGCACGGGAGTACGGTTATCCCATGGGGTGTACCCAGCTCGGCGAGGATCTTGTGAGAGTTGGTCAGCGGTACCATCTACAGGTCGCTGTAGCAAAACGCTTGATTGTACAGGCCGTACTGGGTCGTAAGATCGCTCGCGCCGCCAGAGGGTGTACGGCTGATAGTTGGGTTCATGTTGCAGCAGTCGGTCGGTGACCGTTTTTGTCTCACGTCTAGCCTCGGTGAGCTGGAGGTTGAGCTCATCGTAAGCCTTATCCTTAAGGGCGAGAGCTTCGTTCTTGTTCGCCTCCATGTTAGAGTACTTGACATCATACTGGTTAAGCTCGATAGAATAGCGATCAGCTTGTCCTTTGAACTTGTCGCAGAGCTCAGCGTTGGCCTTAGCTTGGTCTGCCCACCAGTCGGCGCTGTCAGACTCCTCCTTGAGCTTCTGTGCCAACTCTGCGTAGTTAGGACCGCTCTCCGGTTCATCGGCTCGGCGGGATAGGTCCTCAACCTTCTGCTTGAGTTCATTGCGTTCGGTGGCGGCAAGGTCGCGCTCAGCGGCGAGGGCTTTGAAGGCGGGGTCATCGCGAACGTTGGGGAGTTGTTCTGACGCAGCTTTGAGCTTTCCGATGTCCGAGGTGAGGCGTCGGATCTCTGTCAGCTTCTCCTTGTACAGGTTGCTGCTAACCATGCCAACTTGTAGTTGTTTACTGTTCGAAGTTTCATCAAGGGCTGCTTCAACATTCGCTAGTCGGTCTCGTAGAGCTTGAGTCTCTCCTTCATTGCGGTCCACAGTCTGCAGATGCCTATTGATGGCGTCAGTGCAGTTGCGTAGGGAGACTAGCGTAGAGACAATAAATCGCCACCAGAAGTCGGGACGATCCTTCACGTTCTTCTGGAGGTTACTAGAGTTAGTGACAGTGAAGTCGTTGATGTTGTGGGTGATGTTGCCATCAGTGCGGATTCGGCCTGTGCTAAGGGAGTAAAAGGCATTGCTGTGCTCGTCAGGTTCGGGATCCTCTTGTAATTCGAACCACTCGGTGTCAACGGTATAACGGAGGTAAACGTAGTTAGAATCTTTGAGGTATTCGAGCAGGACGTCGTTGATTTCGATGCCGACAATCTCGCGTGTAGCAGTCATGGGCTCTAGGTCGCCGCTAGCTGATACTGATGGCTGGGATGACGGATGGGCTGCCAGAAGCATGCTCTCTCGGCGGTTGGAGAGGCAAGCTCGTACTGGTACGAGAGGCGGGCCCATCTGTGATTGAGTAGGATCCTGGGAAGCTTGCCCGAAGGTGGCACCGGTGGCTGAGGTACCTTGGGTATTCTGGGTATTGGCCGGGTTTGCCATCGCGATGATCTTTTCGTGTGTGTTGCGCAGGGCTGACCGTAGGGTCGCGCTTCTCGAAGCTCGATGCCTTGCCTTCTGCCTACTTGTCCGTTGATGTAGGTGGACCTGTCCTTTACCAGCGTTGGTGACAACCCCCACGAGCAATACTTGCCTGTTGAGCCTGGTGTCTCTGGTCTTTTCGTGTGTTGCGCAGGGCTTACCGTAGGGTCGCGCTTCTCGAAGCTCGATGCCTTGCCCTCTGCCTACTTGTCCGTTGATGTAGGTGGACCTGTCCTCTACCAGCGTTGGTGACAACCCTCACGAGCAATACTTGCTTGTTGAGCCTGGTGTCTCCACCCGTGGGCTTCTAGCGCAATACTTTGCGATCCTCGTCGTCAAGACCTAACCCGTCGCAGAACGTCTTGTTCTGCCCGATGTAGCAAGTCGCAGTTGCTCAATCGGCGGCGGCGCTCGGCGCGGACGGTGTTTCTGATAACTGAGCCTGATGCGAAGTATCCTAGGTATGTAGGGGTTGACACACAATAGTGTAAAGGCACTAGTACACTGCAATAGTTAGGATGCCTCTAATAAGTGAGATTGTGTGTACAGATCTATATACAAGTACGAGGGGAACTTTATTATTCCTCGCACGGGCCAACTGCCAGCGTGGCACGTGATTGTATGGCACGTGATCGCGTGAGGGATCGTAGGTTTGATCCATCACATGACTATCCCAACCAACATTGACAAATACCGCCCCCTCCCCTTCCATCTCTTCAGCACACTCTTTGTCTTAACGCTCTAATTTAATATATTACTTTTCCTTCGCAGATCAACACCTAGGACACTTCTCACATCACCTTGAAACTGTTACGGATCCATAGACTCGCTCGGCCCATGGCCCCCATATCGATAAGATCCTTATCTTATCGGGCTAGCGCCTTGGCGCCCACAGCATAAGTTCGGGCTCACAACGTAGATAGCTCGATAGCTTGTATCTTGTCAAATCCAATCTTTCTTGATCGATCCCTCACAGAAACATATCTTTGGACCTTCCGTTTCTCAGCTAGAAAGTGTACTATGTACACTGAGGGCTGGGGAAACATGATACCCTTCCCCTTGTATTCATTGGGATATGTGCGAGTGCGTGATTGCGCGTTTCCGGGAGTATTTTGTATCGATGCCGGCGCTGGCTGAGCGCGGGTGCATGGTGTCGAGGAAGAGGTGCATGATGTTGAGGAAGTAGTGGGGGTGTGGATTGCTGGGTGGGAATGAAGATAAGGGGACTGTTTGTTCGGGTATATCTTGAATTGGAGTAAGTGATATAGAGCAATGGTGGGTTGTAATTTCATGGCTGTGTGGACGGGAAAAAGAATAAAATACCTAGGTATCAATTGCTTAGGTAATGAAGAATTTGACCTGATATCAGAGTCCGCAACAATCAAGCGATAGGCAGATTGATTACCTGATTAGGTCTGTCACGGACCAGATAGTGATCTTTCGAGGCCTAATCCGGTAATCAATCTGCCTATCGCTTGATTGTTGCGGACTCTGCCTGATATAGGTCTACTGATTTTGACTTCGATCCATGCGCTCTGATAGAGTTTCCACATCGTGATGCGAGAAAGACATTTGTTGATGATTACCGTGAGAATCTCGGCTGGCAGGTGTGACGCGTCCCACTTGCGCTCGCCACCCTACGTCTCTAGGCCGTTTTTTGCGCCCTATTTATAAAGGAGGCCTATTTACCTCTGTTTATGTGCAGAATTCCGGCATCTAAAACTATTGCTTCTTTTCTTGGTGTATCTGGAAACCTTTCACGAGAGGAAACATTTCTGCTGGAATCTTTAGGTTTAAGAGGTCAGTACCCTTCCTTAAGCCCTAAGAAACTAGGAGACGTATAACTATTAATCTCTGCATTTCTTTTAGAGAGAGGTTACTATCTTCTCCCATACAAACTATAGTAACGATGTAACATTTCCTATAAGCGTATTCTTTCGTGCATCTCTAACTAGGTCTGGCGTAAAACTCGTGGGTTATTGCCTTCTGTCTCCACTTTTAACCCTAAACGAATTTTACTAAGTCTTTGAATCTTATCCTAAGTTGATCCCTACATTATAGGCGCACGCCTTTAGGTCTCAGGAATGTTTGCTATCACGTTGGCCGCTGCTTTACTAGGTATCACGCCTTTCCTCGTAACCCTTGTTCGCCGCGCACAGATGTCAATGAGCAAGCTGAGCGAGCTCAGCCAATTGGCTTGCTCAGCCAATTGAGCGGAGGCCAGCAGCTCGCTCGGCTCGCTCGGATTGGCTGAAACAGGGCTGTCAGCTCGCTCGGCTTGATGGGCTCAGTCCCGATTAGGAAAGTTATATAGAAACCTTGGTGTTGAGTTTCTCAGCTAATATCCCACTTATGTACACCGTATTTCGCGTCCATCTCCTCATCGCTGATAGCCTCCTTTACAGGCACCTCACCACTGCCAAATCCAGCTCTTATCCATCGTCGATCGCACTGTATTGCTGCTAGAAGTTGCGGAGAAATGCTGCGCCGACGGGGCTCGAGGAGGTCACCCAGCTCGCTGAATAAGCGCTCACACTCACAGCTTGAGCCTGGGATTGATAGCATGTCGATAGCAAATTTGCTAAGGCTAGGGTGGCGATCGCGGAGTTCTACCCAGTATTTTATAGGGTCGACGCCCTCGCCAGCGATCGGTTCGCTGCGTTTCCAAGCCTCATATTCATCTTCCTCGTTCTCCGTAAGCCCTGCAGGCTCAATAAAGTTGTTGATAAAGTTGCCGCGATTTCTGGAGCATTAACGCGTGTTCTTTTTGCTGGCATTATAGCAACGGCGAGGTAGATAGTAGCTGCAAATAGAGACGCGTTGATGGAGTTTAGATGAGTGTGGTGGGTGATAAGTAGTAAGTGAAGTGTCGCAAAAGGAGAATATTGTTGCCAGGCGGTTAGCCGGAAATTTAGTAGCTTATTTGCTAGAAATATAGCAAAAAAGAGTGTATTTTATGTTATAACTAGGTTTCGAACTTACGCACTACACCTAAAAATCATCGTGAGATTGCCCCTCCACCAAGTCCTTCAGCCCCAAGTTTCCAACCGCCCCATCTAACCAAGCTAAGCAAGCTGACTGAGCGAGCGCCTATCCCTAAGCTCGCTCGGCTTGCAAGCGCGCATTGCGCGCTCAGCTCATTCGGCTTGGTCAAAACGTCCAAGCCGAGCGAGCTGAGCGAGCCGGCTCGCTCGTTGACAAGTATGTCGCCGCGTCATACGTACGGATGCAATAAGCCTTACTCTAGTAACATACTAGGTAGAGTTAATTTTTCACTCTTTCCAACATCTGTTGCTTCTCCACTATCGCTCTCACCACACTGATCCCCTGTCTACAGCTGGGCACCCTATTCCAACACTCGACACCAGTTACCCCACTAAAATCAAACTGCGATAGCTACATAACCTTGAACAACGAATAATTAATCAATCTCGTTTTGCCGCATCCATGGCATCTTATAGGATTCACATCGCAAACTCCACCAGAGAGACTGGGAACGCTTCCAGGAAGCGCAAGGCTATCCATGTATAGACGGAGAAGGACACTACCGTATCCAAAGACGATGTGTCTATCTCGGGTCATCAACGCAGTGCATGTAGCACCCAAGGCACATTTCCGTGATTTAAAGCTGTACAGCCTAGTCTTTTTGATTTTGCTACAAATCTCAACACCAGGGTTGGCATCGTGCATTCTCTTTAACCACTGAGATGGATTTAGCCTTCACCTGGCTACTAGCATGTTAGAATCTCGAAAAGCTGCCATCATGCGCCTACAATATGGAGAGAATCAGCCATCACTGTACAAGTCAAGATATCAATATTAGCGGGTCATTTCGTCTGCTGCATCAATTCCATACATATACGAAGAGTTGGCAATCATTTCATTCTCGGTAAGAGGCCTGCTTGAGCTAAAGTAATTTCATTTCCTCTTGCTGACAAAGATCTTCGTTGCTTCAAGATATGGCATATAGTTTTCAGCTACACAGTATTAATCAGTTATCGCGCAAGGCTGTGGAAGCATTTTTTCCGAATCTGGGCCATCCTCTTCTAAGATTTTGTTCTGGTATTCCAATAATCCTTCCAGACAACAAGAAAGCTAAGTAAAAACGCATTTAGCGGCACCCCATCTAAGACTTTAGGTTTCCTTATCCACTGATATCATCCCAGCACTAAGCTCCGCCGTTGCCGTTGCCTTTCTTCGGATTCACACACCCCGTGTCTACCGGTTCGCATGTAAAGGTTCTGATCTCGCAGGAAACAGCTTTTGAAAGTATCAGTATCATGTCTTATCATAGCGTAGGAAAATTTCTTACTCGTGCAGAAGTTGCTGCAGCATTTGATGTTCAAAATATCGCAGCCAACCACAGTCCGCAACAATCAATTAAGTGGGTCCTAGAAGGTTCAGATTGGATTGATTGATTACCGCTTTAAGCCTAGTAGTTACCTATAGGAGTTTAAGCCCTACCTAGATAGGTAAGTGGGTCTAGGAGAGTGACCGGATTGAATTGATTGTTGCGGAGTCTACAGCCAACTATATACGTTAGTGAAAAGATACTCTCTTGGACTGGGTATATACTCACGTCCCGTTTGGGATGCAATCGCCCCTCCTGGAGCTCGTATGCAGAGATGTCAACAAGCAAGTCAAGCTGGCTTGATGCTTATACATTCCAGATCCCCGACTTATGCTGGTCGGGCCACCTTTGCACCCATCAGAATAAGTACTGTAATCGATATGCTATTGTACTAAGAAGCTAGTTGGACCAAGTGAATC